GGCTCAAACTCTCTTGGTCACGCCCTCTACAAACTCACTCCCCCGTCGTGCTCAATTCCTTCCATGGACCCCAGTCCAAAGTCGAAATCCATATCTTTGAGCATATCGCCAAGCTCTGCATCCGAGAGATTAATGTCCATGTTGGTCGGCACAGCGGATGGAAAGTTGTTCACACCCTCGGGCTCCTGTTGGATGGGCTCTCCAGAAGCCAACACGGGCAGCTTCGTGTGCAGCCACGCCTTGAACTTCTCCAAAAGGATGGGGTCATCAGCGGCAGTGTGGGTGGCCTTGAGGATCTCCCGTGCCTTGGCTTTCAGTCCAGTATCTGAAGGCAACACTCCCTTGTCCATAAAGTATGCCTTTGCATATTGCTGCAAGCCCCATTCCAGCTCACGAGAGCAGAAAATGACGGCTGGTTTCTGATTGGGGGATGATGTCAACTCTTCCAAGTAACTGTTGACTGCCGAGTGTCCCGCCGTGAACGGCTTGGCGCCGGTTCGCATCGCTACTTCGACATCATTATTGACCATGTCGTGGTCCTTGCGAATAGCATATGGTGGTGCAAAGCCCGTGCCGCCTTGCTCCAACGCCCACGCATAGCCTGGTGGGAGACCTGGGCCAGAGTCATTGATGATTCCAATGTCTCTTTTGAACCTGTGAAGCCATTCTGCGTTATCGGCGGCGGTGTAGTTCCAGGGATCGTCACTAAGAAACGCGAAACCATCAGTGTGATTCATCTAGAATGGGTGCGCATCAGAACTTACTCATCATACAGGATCCATCGAGCTTGATACTGCAACTCTTCATCTGTTGGGACATGGCGATTTGGATTGTTCTTTGACATGGTAGAGGTAACCCATCGCTTGAGTTCCTTCTCCAGCCTTCGGTAGCAGTTGGCATCGTTGAGGAAGTACTGGAACGACCTCAAGTGGTTACCGTTCTCATCGAGCCTGGCCTCGAACTCTGAAAAGGGGTTTGGCGCAGCAGTAGAGAGAGAAATGGACGTTTTATCAGCTAATTTGCTGGTAATGGGTGAGGTACCCTTGGAGGAGCCTGAAAGAGCCGATTTGTCAGGAGCATTGCGTTGCCTAAAAGCCGCGAGCCATTCATGGTTGTCTGCCGCAGTCTGGTTCCAGCCGTCGTCGAACTCGTAAATGGTGATACGAGCCTTTCGCTGCAGCTCTTCGTCTGTGGGCTCTCTGCCAATGGCTCGTTGCTCCTTGAGGAATGCAACCAGCTCAGACTCCAGCCTGGAGTAGTTGTGGATTGTGGAGTCGATCGAGTTTGGATCTGTCGACCGGATCGAATGATGTTGGACGTCTTCGCTTCGAGGTAGATGCGCACGCCGGCGGAAAGCTGCTAGCCACCTCGTCGATGAAGTGATCAGTCGCAACAGCCAGTTAGCAACCGCCTCTGAAGGGTGAGTGCACACTTCTTCGACTCGTCCCACGATCTTACGTGCTTCCTCCTGAAGCTCGTCATCCATGGTTGTTAGGCCTAGCAGTTGCTTGGCCTTGACGTATTCATGCAGCTGCCTTTCCATGGGGCACTCCTCGAAAAGATTGTCCTTGCCGTTAATCTTGAGGGATTGAAGCCTGTTTTCAGCGGCGCCACGGAGAGGACCAAACCTAGCTGTTTTGACAATCATGTCGTGGCTCATGATAATGTCACGAAGCCACGAGACCTGCGTCGCGATTCCTTGTAGAGATAGCAATTCGGAGGCGAAAATGATACGACATCCTTCCAGCAGCATGTCTTCGTCGCTTGGCGCCCGGCCGTGTTGATCCCAAAAGTTGCTGCCAAAGTAGGCCAGCTCCAATTTGATCAACTCATAGGCATTCCTGGGCGATTCGGGCGGGGACGAGCCAGCATTGTACGGCAGAGGAGACTTTCTCTCATGATGAATCAAATCTATATTTCAAAAGTTAGACGCCTTGAGCTGATCTACGGGATACTGTAATGGTCTCATACAGGGAGGGATCGAATTCTCGACCATGTCCAGCACAGGTACTTCAAAACCCCAGTCACCCTTCCAGTCCGCCATGGAGTAACCAGTCTTGAAATGCTCAGCAAGATGGTCAACTCGAATAGTCCAAGTATCCATCACAATGCCGCAGAAACCACATCTCGACCGAATCTCGGGGGTAGCCACTCTCCAAAGCTTCATTGCCCACTCCATGAATTTGACGTTGTGAACCAACCTAAGATGCTGGTTCAAGTGATCTTTTCGATAGAACGTCCTCTCTTCTAGAGATCGTTCTTGACACGCCGAGTGGTTATGGCCCTCTACGTGGGCATCGTCTGGGTTCACCTCGCCACAGAATACGCAGCACAGCTTCCCGTTTTCTGGGTTGACAGCCCGAGGGCCATCTGGCGCACACACCCATCTCTCCAGCGACAGGTGGAGGGACTTCTCGTGGCGCTGCCAGTCGTGCTTGGTTCGGAAGGTTTCCGTACAGAAAGTACACTGGAAAGTCTTGAGCGGAATAGAGAGGCTAGTTGAGCCTCCCTCCTTGCCGGGCGCGGCCCTTCGCCTCCTTCGCCGCCTTCCCTTGGCGCTAAAGGCAGCTGAGCCGAAGGAACCCCATGACTTTTGCGAACCATGAGAGAATGCGGATTGAAGAGAGCCACCACTGGAGTGGGATGTTCCCACACTGCTGGCAGAAGACTGGTTGCAGAGAGACCTGCTTGAACCGTCATCTGTGTAGTTGAAGCTATAAGGACTGTTGAGACCGGAAGAGACTCCAGATGACGACGATGCAGTAACGGCCCTAGCAATGGCGGTGACGGAAGCCGGTTCGTGTTCAGGAGGAGAGTGCTCCCAACGCTGCAGCGGGTTCATGGCTTCGAGAGCAGGTGTTCCTCGTCTGCGTGGGATATCGATCGAGGCAGACAGATTGCCAACGTGAGGTGAGGTTGACCTAGGAGGCTGAGCTTTACCGCGGCGCCGGGCATTTGCCAACCAATTGGTGATCTGGGTCTTGTTAAGGCCGGTCTGGCGCTGAAGCATCTCTTTTTCCTCATCACTAGGATAAGGGTGTCTGTTGTGAGTTGACAGCCAGTTTTTCAGAATCCGGACTGACTCTCGAGAGAACCTGGCACCAATCTTGGGTGGTGTTCCAGACTTGGCACCAGCAACACCATCATCAGCTGAACCCGCTGTCTGCGGATTCATCATGTCCAAGAAGGATGGGGTGCCTTGGGCCTTCACCGGCTGGAGGTTGAGGAGGTCTTCCTGGGGAATGGTGTTGACGGGCATATCGGTGGATGACCAGGAGAGCCTGGTGGACTCCGGGTTCAAACTATCTGGGACAACTCCCCCAAAGCTGCATTCAAGTCCAAGGGCAACGCAGCTGGTGCAGTAGCCCTTGTGAAGACCCTCTCTGATTTTTTTGCAAGAGTATCCGCCCAAGACGCAGTGGGCACAGGGGTTGTCTGGTGTCTCCCAAAGCAATGACTCGGTGATGAGGGACTCCACTCCAGGGATCTGAGCAAAGTTGTTGTGTTCAAAGTGCTGAAGGGCACAGAAGCTGAAATCGTCTTCATTGACATTCTCGAGTACAAGACCAATGTCATCCTCGGCAGGGTTCCCTGTGGACGACATGTTGGGCACAGGTGGATAGACGCTGTCAGCACCACCTAGGCCAGCGTTGTCCCAGTTGACATACTCGTCCAGCTCATCAATGACGGTCATCTTGGTAGTTTATGTGAAAGGGCGCGCCGTGCTATTGTCTTGAGCAAGCGGAAAGGCGTGGTCACTTCATCCAACCAGAAGCCACAGAATGACTTGGAAAGGGCGCGCGGCAGGGTCTGAAGACGACGAATCGACCCCAGATGTCGTCCCACCTTCGGATCCGATCCCAATGAGAGAAAACTCCGACCTTGGACACTAATGGTCAGAAACAAGGCCAATTGTGAGTCGTGAGATTGAAAACAATATTTCACTGTTGACTTGATGAAGAAAACAGCAGTTGAGATTGCAATAACAGGAGAAATGTGGCTCGAGGCAAGGCGGACCGTTGCCAGTTTTGTTCATCTGCCTACCCACGCGATCCCCAGCAGGGTCTCTCCGTAACGACCACCAGAAAGCCCCATCTCCACGGCTTTGTGGCTCCCACAAGCGGTGCGGCGTAGCGCTGGAGCCAGTGGGAGCAGAGTCATGAGTCTGGGTTGGTGGAGCAAGCCTCAGCCGGAGCCGGGGCATGCGAGGCAGGGATTGGCGGCGTTGCGGTCGACATGAACTTGTCAATTGTGCGCCCTTCGTTTGACAGAAGAGCAGCCCATCCGACCGTGTGTTGTTCCACTGTGTGGGGGAGCCATTATGGTTGTTTCTACCACCAACCGCCGCATAATGATAAAAGAGCTGTTGCTGGCCTCGGATCTTGCACACAGTACAGACACTATCTGGACGGTCGATGCGCAAATCCTTCCCCACGCTGATACATAAAGATATAGCCCGATGACGGCCTCAATGGCTCGGACACCCCTACACTTCCGTCGAGTGGCCTGCTTCGATTACTCGCGAGAAGGGTGTGAATCAATACGATGCCCGTTGCGCTATGCAGAGTGCGGAGAAGGCAAGAGATCACGGATCTCTGTTTGCGGACCAGACGGAGTAATCAAGGGTCTATCAGTGCTAAAATTTCTTCCGTGTTATAGACACCGGCCCTTTGCATATACTTTGTTCCCCGACGTACAACCCGTCCCACCCAGCCGATTCATTGATTGCTGACTCCGCGAGTTCTCGGGCTTCAAAGCGGGTGCGCGAGGTGCGATGTGCCGTCGACGTGAGGTAGTATTCTGGTGCGCGGTCCCATGCTCTGTCTGAAATTACGAATGTTACAGCCATGGCACCCAGGGAATATCTCCGGGATGCAGCTGATGCAGGGAATAATGCGAATGGGTGATTTCATCTGATGCTGGCAAAACTCATGGACGTGTGGTGATACAATCCACGTATGGGACACCACATCGCAGACTGACGCCGCCATTGAGATATAATCCTTCAGCAAACGCCCGCCCATGAGTCGATCTGCTTCAGGGAATTCATGCAATAGACTACTTCGTAAGTGGCATGACAAACCTTTTTGCAATTGATTATCAGAACCGCCGGGGACACTAGAGCCCATAAGGCAGATGACTAGTATCTTGGGCGCCCAAGTTTATCACAGCAACCGGGCCCCTGCTAGCCGCATAGCACATGAAGATGGAGCGATGCCGAATGGGCTCACCTACAACATCCACAGGGAGGTAGTATAACAATAACGTTATACCTCCGGACTAGCTCGTCCTATCGTCGTTGCCTGAGCGCCCCGCGCTGACAGTCGATGCGCTGGGGGTTGGTGTCTAGTTCCTGATGCCTGGCATCTGGCGAATGCTCTAGAAACTTCCGCAAAAGCCTCGCCCAATTGATGGTGTTGTCCAATGGCTTTGGGGCTTGCTAGACTAACCGCGAACGTGGTGCTGACGCCGAGCAAGTTCGAAATGGCGGCGTCTAACGGCACGTGGTGGGGCAGAAGCTTGTCCGCATTTCCACCTTGTTCTAATGTACGGGATAGGTCGGGGCGCGAGGCTTGATCAACATCTAGCGAAGCTGTGAGTCGCAAGCAGCTCCGAATCAGGAGGTCGTTATTGTTGACCCCTTGTTCGGTCAGCGTCTTGGTCACAGTCCTCGTGGGAGTTGACGCCATTTGGGGTATATTGGATGAAGATGACTCAGGAAGGTGCCGATTTCTGCTGCGGTCTGCTGGCCGAAATTTCATATTCATGCGGGAAATGAGATTACCAATACTGTATATCGGTGGCAGTTGGTGTGACAGCGAAGCAGTGGTTAGTATCTAGCCATCGAGAGAAGTATAACTAGTCCCAGGACAGGAGGCCATCTGATTTTTACCATTTCGAATCTCGAGCCTACTCAGAGAGCAAGAGAAGAAGACGAAGCTGGAGTAAATCCGTCGAACGGACAATTCTGCCTTCGTAGCCTACGGCTTAGTAAAAGAAAGCGGGTATGTAAACTGTGTTTAATCGCAGTTGTTTGAAATCTGTCCAGTGAGACATTCACAGGTAAGATCGAGATTTTACAAAGCAACACGCAACAATGGATTTGGCGACGCGATATTACCTTTCTCAGAGAACCCGGTTTTGAAATAGTACGGTATTGCTTGCTGGAGAACGATTCTAATGATAGGTAAGGTCTTGAAGGTGATGCAATCGGTGTAAGACGGACAAATGCATTACCGTTGCAACAGCCAACCACTGTAAACTGTTTGGTTTTGAATTTCTCGATTATGAATCAAGGAATTCCGGAATTCTACAACGGTATTGCCAATTTTGAAATATTTCAGTCTGCTCTCTAGGCAAATGAGAGAAATTTGTGCGATGCTTCTGGTTGATGCGTACAGGTTTTCTGTGTCACTAAGGTGTCAAGAGAGAGAAACTGGATCAATCTGCGTCAAATTCAACTGCAAGAAAGCTCATATTATCTTTATCCTCAAGACAGGCTAAGGTTTAGATACATACGTTTCTCTTTCGATCGGAGAGTCGATACTCTCGTGACAGTCGTGTAATGCGTATGACAGATGCCGAATTTGAGTAGGCTTACAATCACCCCATTCACAGGAAACACGCTGAAAAACAGAACCATAAAACGATCGCATTTCGATAGTATAGATAGGCAGATATTTGAATTATACCTGCAAATATTCAATATATCTTCTTATAAACCAAACTGCATAGTCCAGTCGAAACAAGAACAATTATTCCTGACTACACCCTGAGAAAGGAGACTCATTCAAACCCCCACATTTCCGCCTCAATATTCTAGAAAAGCCCGTTTACACTAAAGAAACCAAGTCGATAGACATCAACCTACGTATCGAATAAATCCGGTCCGCGGTAATAAAAGCCGAAGAAGGCATCCATCCTTTGCAAGAAGCCAAAATAGTTTCACCGCGGCAAACGCCACGCTGACATGCTAGTCTTCTGGCTCGCGTTTTTGCTTAGCGCCATGGGGTGGCAAAGGCGTTCAAACAGATTGTAGCAACCAGGCCTGTAAAAGCGATATACGCACTATAGGAATCCATGACAATGGTGCAGGTATTCCCTCATAGGAAAATAAATTACTTACCTCCAATAACTAAGGATAAAATACAATCAACATAAAGAGAAAGCAATGAATAATATCGAGAAGCCTTACAGAGCAAGTAAACTATTTGACCAATTCGCAGACCCGCTTTCTTTCAATTCATGGCTTTTGGGGGAGAGGCTAGTGAACGGCATTTTCGCTCGGCGTACTTTTCAACGTAGATGCGATACAATTTGCCGATCAATTTTGGACTAAGCGCGGACAACAAACTACCTGTAGTTGCGACAGAAGAACAAAGGGGTTAGACTAAGTTGTGATTATCAATCAACTTATTGACGTGCTGTTGGGTGACGACGCTTGATATGCCATGAGTTAGTTAGTTGTCTTACCGCTGTTTCTCCATGTAGGCAGATGATGCAGTATACCCATAAACTCGACCTTGTGAACAAGTACTTGGCGAGTTATGAATAGACAAGAAAAGGCAAGGAAGGGCAATCAAGCACGATAGCAGAGTCATTTCTTTTCATGTATCTATTGTAGAGAAACGATACTTCTGAGCATATATATAGACACATCTTATGGTACAATGCTCAAGCAAGACAAGGTACAAATAACCCAGATGGCCCAGACAAAAGCATCAATCATGCCGCAAACACCGGCCCATGCCTCGCGAGAGGTAAAATAACTCCCCTCTTCCAATTCAAGTAGGCGTACCTGCAAATCCTCCTTCTAGATACGCCGTCCCGTCCGTCCGTCCAAGACGCTATAAGTCAGTTCCTTTCCCGATGCGCCTTAATGGGTAGCTATGTTTTGAAAGGAAAATAAGAAAAAAGAAAAAAGTTGCGCAAAGAGTAGGAGCCCATTGACCATTTGTCAATCATGCCGTCACAAACTCTCTTCATTTTATTCTCCCAACTCCATGAGTTCTCGCTCTTTTGCAGCGAGCATCTCCCGCATCCGCTCAGCCTCTTGCCTCAGTAACAATCTGCGCTCTGCCTTGATTCGTTCGCTCTCCGCATCGATATCGTGTGGCCTTGGTGCCGCGTTTAAAGGCGTAAATCCACCGCCGCCTGATGGTTTCGGTGATATACTGGCCGGAGACCTCAGGGGCGGCAGAGAATAGTCTCCCCGATCCGCACTGGTAGGCCCAGTATTTGATATTTCATCGGCATTGGTCGATGGATTGAGGATGGATTTGATGGAAGAAATTCGCTTCGAGCTCTCATGACCACCATCTGCACCTTTGACAGAGTCTGCCTCGGTTGATGAAAACGATCGTTTGCGGTTGGGTGAAAGGAAAGAGGCAGGCGATAGGGAGGATTGTCTTTCGTCGGCCATTGTTGAGTTCATCGAAGCTAGCGGCGCTAGTTTATTCTCGTCGTTTAGAGATGGTGGCATACTGCGTGATGCGGTGCTGTGTTGGTGGTACACTGCCAGATCAGACGCAGATGCAGAAGGTAGTGGTGAAGGATTTCGGCTGGTCGGTTGGGGTTCGATGGTCAGAGGGTGACCAGGACGACGTCGAAGGCCTAGATTTACGGATCCGTCTTCGTTAATAGTTCCCCTCTCCGGGGTCTCCTGGCTTTGTGTTTCCAGTCCCTCCATGCCCTCGTCCATATCCTCATCCTGCGCCGCGGGAATAACTCGCTTTCGCCTTTTGATAGTGGCCTTTTTCATAGTGACTGGTCTATGGACACCATGTAGCTTGTAATACAACCCTAGATATCCCCCCTACTGGTTAGAAAAAACAATATTCAAGCAGTAAAGTAATGTCATGTATAAACTCACCACAAGCATTGCAGATTGTATGTCCACTTTCATCTCTCCTCCACAAGGGGGTTATTGTAGTTGCACAGTTTTGACAGGCGATGATAACCGTGGTATCCCGTTCTTGGGCCTGAAGGGCATTGATATCGATGGGAACTGGTTCAGTCTTAGTTTCAACACGGCCATGGCATCCGCCTTGTCGCTGCATCACATTGAGCTGGGCGCTCTTTGACATGCGGTTATTGTATGCAGGGCATCCGTTACATCCTTCAGCGCCACCGGTGCCGTTACAGCGGCCGCCGCCTGGACAGGTGCCTGACTGAGTAGCATCGGCTGCCACGTAGGTTGCGCCAGCGACGTTTGGCAGCAGCTTTGGTGCAGGAGAGGAGCTTGGCTTAGCAGGCGGCTGGGCTGAGCCGGTGCTGGGCACCAAGTTGGGCGGCTTTTTCAGGCTCGTAGGCCGAGCAGCATTCCGGGCCTTCAAGTATAAGCCACAGGCGTTGCAAATAGTTGCACCTTGGGGGCTTCTCCTCCAAAGGGGAGTACGGGTAGTGCCACAGTTGCTGCAAAGGGTGTTAGCAATGAAATTCACGACATGGCAGCATTGCATAGCCACGACAGAAGCTTACCTGCAAACCTGCCCGCCTTGTTCCTGCGCATTTGCCGCCAATAGTTTGTTGGTTTTAGGCGCACTCGACGTGCTCCTAGGGCTGCCAGCAGTCGACGAGAGGTCGTCATCGTTGCCTACATTTTCCCTTTCCCTTGCATTCAAGGCAGCATACTCATCGGCATGCGTAGGCCTCTGGCCGTCGCTTTCTGTCGGAGATGGAGCAGAGTTGATGGGACCAGATGGTGTGGTTTCGCGATTCTTTACCGACATAGGTCGAGAAGGCAAGGCTGTCCTCGCCGTGCCAGATTCCCGCTGAGGCCCGACCGGCGGCGTCCCCGGCTGTGATGCTTCACTCATTTCCGCGCCGAAGAGTTCCTGGTGATATCAAAACTTGCTCAGTAGATGACGGCCAATACCACGAGATATGTTGGGCGTGGTACGAGGGCTGACAAATAATTAGTGGCGCAGGCACGGACTCGTCAACCGACGGCCGAATGTAACATTTGGCAACGGGGGATGGTCAGCCTTGAGGTGGCGAATATATCAGGACGATATTTCCTTAGAAGCACCGACAAAATAGAGTCGCTCAAAAGGCTGAAAGGCGATGGACAGGCGATGGATCAAGAGATTTGATTGATGGTGGTGGTGACGAGCCGGCAGCGACGTTGTGCCGAATCCGAGTCGTCAGGAGACAGGCAAATTAACGTATCAAACGGTCAGGATGGGGGCCAGATGGCCGGATGAAGAGGCCACACCTCGGCCGAGAGAGCTCGTTGACGCAACGCAAATTGTCTGGCCAATCGATACGGAAGTCGAAGAGCAGCCGCAGCTTGGCGGAAGATGGAAGAGTCGAGAGAACCAAACAAAGTTGGCGGCGAGTCCAGGGCTCGGTGAAAGTTGGAGGATTCGGGGAGCGGGGCCCTTGGAACCGAGACGAGGTGAGAGTCACGGCGAGTCAAGGCGAGTCAAGGCAAGGCAAAGGCGAAGGCGGGACGATGCGATGCGAGACGAGGCGACGAAGGGTTCGATTCGAGATGATTTGGGCGATGTGGTGTGATGTGTGTTTCAAGCTTTTTCCTGCATGTACAAAGCTGGGTACCCGACTCTGTAAAGTGGTCCCCCCGATCTGTGGCCGAATCTGAGTCCCCAGATCTGGGATATAATCATACGGGCGGAGGAGATTGAATTCGGGAGACGGTCGAGCAGAGACCCGTGAATTGAATCGAGGCCCCCGATGTCGTTGATGCGAGGAGCACGTCCAGGCTCGGCACTAGAATATCAATATTACGGGCACAAGTGAGTACCTGTGAACGGCACTACTAAAGGTGAGTAGATGATCTGGGTGGTATCGAGGCCGCAGCGTGTTGGGCTGGCGTGATTGCCGTCGCTCTAGCACCTCAGAAGCGTCACTTCAGCATGCAAAATGTCCGGAACGAGACCCCAAGCCCACTGCAAGCCCACTGCAACCCACCGCTGGTCCGCCGCCAGCCCACCGCCTACGTCAAGTGGCCAATGAGGCTGTCGTGATACGCCGTCGAGATGCCTCTGCTTACAATAGTCGCATCCTGATTGGCTGCCCGTGCAGCAAATCTGTCATTTGCAAGGGGCAGCCACAACCTCGCAATGCGTCGGGCATCGGCAAGGCTAGACCCGTTGCAGCGTCCAATTTGACGACGCGATCAGACCGATAAGATAACGCGGTACCTGGACCAACGTACCTCGTAGCTCCGTAGCTCAAGCCGACCGGGCCTTTGATCTGCAGAAAAGCATCGTTTGTTCTTTGACTTTGATGCTGTACATTAGAGCAAACCCCACATTCACCACCCAGATTTCGAGATCCCGCTTGCCAATTGCCCTCGCGTGTTCGCCAGCTCCTATTTTCTCCTTCATCTGGGGCTTGAGCTCAACTCAATCCCACCGCAGCCGCCCACGATGGCTTCAGACATGGGCAGCCCCAAGCGGGAGCTCACGCCTACAACGTCCCTCTCGTCCATCCCCCAGAAGCGCGCGTTCGACGAAGGCCACAGTCCCGCCGTACCGTCACCGCTGAATCCAGACGTCAGGCCCTCGTCCGAAGCTCAGCATGCCGACGACGCATCGCAGTCGGGTCGTTCCAAGCCCGTCAGGACAAAGAAGGAGACTCTCAAGAAGCGCGAGGCCAAGGGCGGCGATAGCAACCCCGCCACTCCAGATCCCAAAGCTGGACGCGAACCCGAGCAGAGTGAAAATAGCCCGCTGCGCTACAAGCTGGCGCCGCCCAAATTGTCTGACTTTGATCCCCCTCGCGGACCTGTCATGACGCTGCATCATAAAGTTGACGGGCCAGGCGGGGAGACAATCGAGTTCATGGAAACTTCAGACCAGTAAGTATTTCCATCTTCCAAGTTGGCGACTATTCTTAACCCAAAAACCAGTGTCTTTAACAAGAAAAACTTTCGCTACACTCCCTGTATTGCCGACCCTCTCTTCCCCTCTACGCTATACTATCGACAGACCGAGCCAGAGCCATTTGGGCCGAGAATGAGCTTCGAGGATGCCGCAACTCACGTTTTCTTCGACAAATCCGGCCGGCAAGTCACCACCGACAAAGGCTTCCGCATGGCACGAGCCAATGTGGCCGTACGTGAAGGGAGATGGTATTGGGAATGCAAGATTACACAAGGCATACAGCCGCCGAAAGACGGTGACGCAAAGCCAGTCGGCGGGAAGCACGTACGCATGGGATGGGCCAGACGAGAGGCCTCTCTAGATGCTCCCGTAGGCTTCGACGCCTACAGCTATGGCATCCGAGACGTCGCAGGCGAAAAGGTCTTCATGTCCCGTCCGAAAGAGTTCTTCCCCCCCGGCGAGGGCATACAAGAGGGCGATGTCATTGGCCTCGAAATCCAGCTGCCGTCCGAGCATTTGCATAGAAAAATCATGGCTGGTCACTATAACCCTGCCGTGGATGCGGCGGACGAGCCTGTACCGGCAACTGCAGAAGCAGCCAACATTGTGCGAGACCGAGTACCGATCCGATTCAAGGCGCACACATACTTTGAGAAAATCGAATATCACACCACCAAAGAGCTAGAAGATCTTATGAATCCTTCGCCAGCCGCATCGTCAAGCTCCTCTAGCGACGCTCCGAGCCCTACACACCCCACGCCTGCTCTACGCACACTTCCCAATTCATATATCAGAGTCTACAAAAACGGCGTACTCATGGGGACGCCTTTTGAGAATCTCTTGGGGTTTCTCCCCCCTGCATCCAAACCAATGCCCCAAGTCGGGGCCCGAGAAGGCCTCGACGACGGCATGCTGGGCTACTATCCTGCGGTCAGCGTGTTTAGAGGTGGAGCAGTCGAAGTCAACTTTGGGCCGGACTTTTGGTATCCGCCGGCAGATTACGACTCTACCAATGGCGAGGTGGATATGATTCAACCTGACGGCCTCAGCGCAAACTCTCTCCATGCGGTTGTCGAGCGGTACCAGGAGCAGATTGCGGAGGATGTTATCTATGATATCATTGACGAGGTGGACTTTTGGATGCAGGATGGGGGCGGCGCTACGAATCAGGCTGGCGTTGATGAGAAGACTAAGGAAGTGGTCATGGCACCTGGGAGAGAAGAAATCAAGGAGTTGGTGCAGGACGATTGATTGTGCGATTGTCGCATTGCATGCATGGAATAACCTAACCTAACTCAAAAGATACCCAATTACGTATACTACCAAGAAATACAAAATGAAAAAATGAAAACCAACCAAGAGGAAAGACTCATTATCCAGAATTCATGTCGTGCTCGTGTCATTACCATAAAAAAAGAGGGGTATCGAACCATCTCATCAAATAAACAATTTGTTGGTCATTAGGAGTGATTCTTCTCCCCTGCGGGAGCACCTGAAGGCGGCACCTCATCAGTTGGTGAAACTTCTTTCGGGGCTGCTACTTGTTCTCCTTCCGGCGACGTTATGATGACTGGTATGACTCCCGCGGCTGCTGCAGCCCCTGCCGCCTCTACAACTTCCGCTGCCTCTTGAGCTTCTTTGGCGTCCGTAGTTTCTTTGCCATCCGTCACTAGTTTGTCGTTCTCATCTGATTCTTCGTCTTCGGAGAGCTCTGCTAGTCGACGGGCGGCCTCTTCGTTTCCAGCTGCTGCCTCTTCACGAAGAATGCGCTCTTCACGGCCGCGCTTGTAGCAGTACCAGAGGACCACAAGCAATACTGCACATAGTTAGCTTCATGACTACATCAGCCAAGGAAGAAGAAAGAAACTCACAGCTTAGAGCGACGCTCCAGATGACATTCATGCCAATAAAAGCCGGCCATCTCGACTTCAAAACCTCCACAATCGCCCTGAGCATCCCCACAATAGCACCAGGCTTCTTCACCAGATTCGCCAAGTTCTGCCCAAAGAGCATCCTCTTAGCCGCGCCCTTCATGCCGCCCTCAGCTACTTTAATCCCCTGCGACTCCGCAGCAACAGCCAGAATCTCCGGAGCTAGCGTAGTTGTCAATTTATCCGGGAGCTGCGTAACAAGCTTCTGCAACGACGAGGGAAGCTTTTCAAAGAGCTTATTGATGGTGCCGTCGTTGTTTTCGAACAGCTTCGTAAGGTCATCGTAGGCAGTAGGCACGCCGTTGACGAGATCCTTGAAGATCTGAGTGAACCTCTGAAGGATATCGGACGAGTCCTTGGATTCGGTCACAGCTGTGTTGTTCTTGGCGGAGAGATTCAAGAGGTCGAGGACACGGGTGAGGTCCTTTTTCTCGCGCTCGGCTTCTTTGGGCGTGACGTTTTCGGTGTCTGGTTTGAGTGTGTCGCTGGGCTTGACGGTATCTGCTGGTTTCTTGTTTCTTGTAAAGAATAGGGACAGCCTGTTGGGCTGCTTTTCTGCCTTTTCTTTTCCATTCTTTTTCGCCTTTTCTTTTCCGTTCTTGTCTGATTTTTCTCCGGCGCCTTCGTCTTGTTTCTTTGCAGCGTCGGGGGCCTTCCCAGCCTTATCCTTCTCGTCATCGGTGTTCTGCTTTGATTCATCGATGGAACTTTCGACGTCGGAGTGCCAGTCTACATCGTAGGTGTAGATGCGAGGCGGCAGCGGTGGTGGAGATCCATCGGTGTTCTGGGCGAGGAGCTCCTCTAGGAATCGCTCGTCCTCGGGCTTGAGGACTGTCTTTGGATGGTTAAGCTCTGAGCTGGACGAATCGTAATTCTCGTCTTGCTTATCGCCCTCCTTGTTTGCATCCGCTGCTGACTTTCCATCGTTCTTTGGAGTATCCTTTGCGCTCTCCTTCTCTTCTCTGCTCTTCTTGAATTTCTTATAGGTAAAGTACTCCAGCATCTTGCTCTCCGTTTCGATCGCAACGTAGGTGTAAAGGCTTGTAGGTGGGTCGTGAGACGAAGGGTTGAGTGATAGGAATTGAAATGCAAGGGCGTGGATCTACTTCGCCTCACTGGAATCTGATTAAATTAGTAGATCGTTGACACGTGCAAGCCAAGTCGTCACGATGTCAAAGAAAGTGAATCGTGAGGGTGATGTCATTGGGTGCAGCACCCTAAGCTTCGACCAATCAAAACTGCAGCGCATCTTCGAGCAAAAGCCTCCCTGCGCAAGAAGCAGTACGTACCCGCAGCATTAGCACTGTAGAGGAGTGAAATGAAGTCTGCGCAATACACTCCGTACAGAAAGACAGCGAGGCACATCTCGCAAATGACGGTGATGCAAATGTTTAGCATATATCTCAGTTGGACAATAAAAATTGTTCTAGGGTATCATTCGTAAATGGTAGTACCATATCCCGCCCATCATACAGTCATATCCGCGACAATATCAGCCAAGATATTCCAAACGACAGCGCAAATTTCGTGGCTTTGCCGATAATTCATCTCATCCCATCATTCCTCCTCCTCGCCTTCACTTTCTTCGTCACCTCCCTGCTCATGAACAATCTCATCTGCCAGCGCACTCCTATGGCCGCCGCTCTGTCTTCGACCCCGTCGATACGCCTCGGTCATTGTGATGGCCCTCTCTCCAACATAATGATTCCCAGTCCATTCACGAGAGCATTTAGGGCAATTCGTTCCCCGCCGTGACCTCCAAAACGCTTCCTGGCAAATATCATGCAGCCGGAGTGTGCAGTCGGGATCTGCACACCTGAGACCCCATGTGACAATCTCCTTGCACGCCTCGCAGAATTTGATCCTCTGCCACTCGCCAGGCTCAGCATCTGGGTCATTGTACATATCAATGAGCCAAGGACGGAGCTCCAACAGCGCTCGTGGCGTCAGCGAGTAGAAACCCTCTCTGCTAATCTCGAACCAGCCCCCCTCAACGAGACTTTCGAGAACATTTTCCACCTCGCTATGCTTCAAACCCCTATCTATCGGAGTTTGTGACTGTTCTTCTCCGTCCCCCTGACTCTCTCTGCGTGGCGGCCTTGCAAGTTTGATAGCTTGCATCTCGGTAATGCAGAGCGACTCAAGCCGGGGCCGGTTAAACTTTTCAAACATGGCATCGAGAACTCGCTTGATGAAGGATAGCTCTTCCGGGCTGTATATTGTAGCGAGCTGTGTCTGGGGGTCAGAAGTGGTGTTCACGAGGGCAAAGATCCTCTCCTTGGTGACCTGGTGCTGCGTGCTCCGAATCTCATAGTCAAACTGAGATGCTGCGGCGGAAGCTTTGTCGATGTAGTCATGAAACACTTCTTCTGTGATCTGGTCGGGCCTGCATTCTGAACCTTCTGGGTCGCCGGAATTGTCGGCGTTGATGATGGCGGCAATTATTGGCCGTGCTTCTTTGTATGTCAATGTTCCATTGGCAAGGAGGGCCTGAAGGAAAGCCCTGTTGCCATGACGATATCCCGATTGAGTACTCATGGGTTGTATCCTCGAGAATCTGTGTGTTTTCTTTATGTCTAAGAATGAAAAGAGGGGCTCGTATGAGGGTAAAATGCAGAATGATCTCAAGATTCTTAATCGGCTCTCAAGTGAAGCAAATTCACAAAACGCGTGAACAACGCGTGCCTCTTTAATGGACTGTGGCGGTGCATGGCTTGATTCGTCCACCAATACTGGAGATGTAAAGAGTAACGGCCAATATCAAGCAAAAATAATGATATTCTAATCTTTTTATCATCATAAAATCTCTATAACCTAGAAAAGCTATAGGTGCAATACAATGTATTCCAAGTCTACCCCATCATCTGCACAAGGCACGGGGAATTAATGCACATCTAGGTACACCTGATTGTATCTACACAGGCAGTACTGGTTAGATTCTCGTACTAAGAGCTGTCTAAATGCTTGAGTCTGTTGCAATCCTTCATATTTTCTCTCTATTGTAATGCTCATCATCCTTCATAGAACACTCTGCTTGATCATGCGTCTTCTTGGTCCAGTGAATGCAGCTCTTAATGTGTAGCTGCGCCACAGTTGTGATGACTCATCAATTCTTACTGGCTACTAAACCACTACACGTCGGGCTTTGTCCTACATAAATTCAATTCATCATTGTGTCAACACAAGGCAAATCCCCAATATACTAATTGCTCTGTGCCGTCGAAGTAGAAATTACAGTATACCACCGAGGACTCGCAATATCCCCATTGAGACACGCGGAGACGCTGTGAACTGCTTGGAGCTGCCCTTGCTCCGTCTCTCTCAGGTCTACAATACAGTCTAACAGCGCTCTTTGAGAGGTCTCGAGCTTTGGCAAACATCTTATCACGCATCCACTCAAGCGTCTACAACCATCTTTATTCTCTTATCTATCAGCTATTTGTATGGGATATTTGGATTCTTGAAGCCGCTTCAGGTCAAGGGGTCACGAGACCCACGTGTCGGGATAGGCAGCGTGTGGTCGTGGAGCAGAACAGCAGCGACACTCGTCCAAAACGCTGTATCATGATTGAGAAGCCATGGACACCAAAGACTTTGATGTGATCCGCATTGCGAGGAGCGATGGAGTCGATACCGGACCGGGGTATTGGCCAGTGACAACGGCGACACCAGCAGCCACCACTGCCGCCAAGAAATCGGGCAAGGAGGCCACTGTCGCAGACAAGACTCCGCGAACAAAGCCTCAGATGATGAGGCTTGCTGAAGACGACCCGAGATTTGTGGAGTGGCGGATCAAGTTGGGCATTCTATTGAAGCAGGAGCTTTCACCCAACCCAGATGGTAAGATACTCCCAGCAACGTTGGCATGCTGCAGCTAGAACACAGCCTGATAATGTCTTTTTCTCTGCAGAAGGAAATCCGTGGTATGTGCAATTTCCACGAGGTTACTGGCTATATGAAAAATCCAAGCACCTCTGGGTGTCTGGATACCCCACCAAATCAAAGCTATTCAAGAGTCCTCAGGAATTCGGCGTCCACTTGATATGGCTGCTGTCAGCATCCAAGGACTACGGCGACTGCTGCTGTGTTCACTGCAATATGCCCAACCTCGCAAAGCCTCCACTGGTTTCCGAAGAGGCGGCAGTGGCACAGCCTGCTGCTCAAAGCTCAAGTCAACCCTCCATCCCAGCCCCTGTTCATGTTCAGGCTCAGGCTCAGGTGCCAATTCAACCTCCTATCCAAGCCCTGGGAGAAACCCCAGCGAAGCTCGAGAGACCTGTCAAAGTAACGCCGGTTCCTTTGCCTCCAATCCCGGGCCAACCATCTCACAAGCCGCCCAATATTAGTCCTCATCCACAGGCGGCGCAGCAACCACAGCAGCCTCAACAACTGTCACAGCAACCGCTACAAGCGAAGCCTATCCAGCAGACTCCTGTACCGCTACCCACACCGATTCAGCCACGCGACTCGCGCGAGCCGTCCCAGCCCACACAATCTGCTCAATCCCCTCAGCTTATACAGCCAAACCCCTCCCAGCCACTCCCTACAGCTGTTCCCAATCTTTCAGCCCCGATGCCTGCTGCTGCGCCGGCTGCAGTGCCTACACCGCTTCAGCAGCAAGCACTCCAGCAGCCAAAACCTCAGGCTATCCAATGGTCGCTTAAGGGGCCATTGCTCTTCCGAGCTGGAGAACTCGTATGGTATCAGACAGGTAATACCTGGCGGCTTGGGATTATTTCGACCCCTGGCAACATGACCCCCAGCGGCATGACGTTCGAGTTATTACCCATTGGTCATGCCGTGGTGCCTCAACCAAATGTGACAAAAGCTGAGGCCGACCTGCGGCCATTCCACTGCTACAGCGTCCCTTCCGTTGACATTGCGGAACTCAAGGACAAGGTGTTTGATGACGTGCCTTGGGAAAGCCTGTTTCAGGCTGCCGGGAACAATGCTGTTCGACGAGATCTTATTAACCTTGATGCTTCCAAGATGGCGGCCTCAAAAGTTGACTTCTCTCACTCGCTTTGGACCCGTCGCGGTGATGACCCCACCGGAAAAGCCGTGTCCTATTACGGCTGCTTCTTCGGTGCTGAGCGCCTCGAGATCGGCGATGCCGTACGGGTGAAAATGGCAGGGGCCGAGGCGAACTCCAGCCCGACAACCGTGATGGGCTTGCTACACATCTTTACTAGCGCCGACTATCCTGGCTCTGTTTTCTTCCGCGGACCAATCTATCAGTTGTCAAAGGGCCCCAGCGCTGCGGGCAACGTCATCGACGATGAAAAGGATAAGCTGCCCCTCGCGCTGCAGGAGGAAATTCGGTGGCGGACGCAAGTTACGCGAAGCAAGCAGTGGTGCTGGATTCTCATCAAGGATAATGTTGTGTTCAAGGAGCAGTCTATACGTGGGCGCTTTTACCCTACGCACCGGCTCATGCCCATTTACAATATGAATGACTTCAGGGGCCTGGTCGCGGGGCAACCGTTGAGAGATCAGCATATATACTTGAATAACCGGATGGATGGAGGAGCGGGGAGACATATTGGGCGGAAGGCGAATCGAATTGATACGCTGGGGCCTTGTGTGCCGCATACGGCGAGGCTGGTGCTTGAGCCACACATCATAGAGGAGTAGTTGTGACTTGACGGGATTCTGTTTTGCATTTGTGAAGAAAATGGAATGGCAGCACGGAGCTGGAGCGCCCCCTGAAAAGGTTGATGGCGTAATACCATAATAGTGTTTTGTTTACAGTTGGTAGGTAAGATATACAATGCTTTGGGCAATACAGTCACAGAACGAGTCCTTCGGAGAATCATAAGCGTGACAGATATACAAATATATTTATATATATCGATAGCCACCCTCATCAAAGATGGAAAGAGATTTCATTTTACTTTTTTCTTTTTAATGTTGAGTTTACATCATCCTAACCCACCATGTGGTTAGAACGAAAGGCAGAAGAATAAACACAGTTGACGATGAGATGAGTGTTGAAAAGATAATCAAATAAAAGGGTAGACAGAGGGTGGGGGGAGAATAAACCAGTCATGCTCTCTCGCTTTTTGCGCTTAAAAAAAAATAAGATATCAACCAAATAAAATCCACAACAAAAAACACCAAGACAAAAAAAAACTAGTCGTTCATCAATGAGCTGACCATTCCGAGTGAAGCCATCCTTCTTTTTAATCTTTGTCCGTCCACCATATCCACCTCTTTGACCAGTATATAGAATAATGGATCTGATAGATTGTCTGCTCGATTCCCTTCCTCCCCCTTTCGGTATATTGTTCATGACAAAAGAAATAGAGAGCTGTTGCTTGTTTGCGCAGTTTGGCTGGACTGACGCTTAATATGTAAAGAGAAGAAGAAAATGTCGTCGTTCCAGGTAATATTCAGTGCCTGAGGGAAAGGGGGTGAGATGAGGAAAGTGAGGTGAAGAATGCTTCAGCACACGAAACGACGCTCTAATAAAGTCGAATGACGTCGTCAAGGTCGTCTATGTAAAAACAAGAACAGACGTAAAGGTGAATGCAAGACGTGAGGGGGGAAAGAAAAAAAAGAATTCGCTCAAGGATCGATGCAGACAACAGCTTATCCGTGCAAGTCAAACCAAGACAAATCCTACGTGACTTTGAGACTGTCCAGTTTAATCTGTATCGACTTGACCACGTCCGGGTCGGGTATCGGTTCCACCTTGCGAGGCCGAGCACGAGGAGAGGACTTTGATTTTGGATTTTTACATTTCCTGCATTCGGTTCCATTCGCGGCGTCCGTGGGATAGACTGCTTTACACTTTTCGCATTCGTAGTGAGGCACGCTGTTGGGGCCAAACTCATCGCCGGGATACCCAAATGGATATTTGTCCTTCTTTGGCCTATCACATATTCTTGTCAGCATTTAAACATGCCACTTATACGAGAATCAAGTGGTCTACTTACGGGTCTCGAGGGCAGTCGGTACAGCGAACGTGACTGCATCTCTCGCATACTTTGGTCCCGGCAATGAATAACGTCTGGCACTCGTGGCAGGTTCGTCGGACACGTTGGCGAGGCTTCTTATGGACGAGATCCTGGCCTCCTGTCTTGCTTGGGCGTGTAAGCACGAATTTCTTGTCTTCTGGGCCGTAGTCGGGCAGTATCGGGGCGTTTTCGCGGTTGGCCTTGATCTTGGCAGCTCTCCTTTCGCGACTGGCAATGGCCTCGGCCTCAGAGAGCTTCGGTGGGTAACGCGTGCATTTGGTGCAACGGTTATGGTTGCAGTTGGGGCATTCCTTAGCAGCGCCAAAGGTAGCGTTGCAGCGATGGCAGGTTCGTCGAATGCGCATTCTAATAGGCTTATCCATGCGCAGTACGGTGTCGTTAGGGATGGCGTTTTGCCATTGCATGGGTTGAATCTCCAGGCCAAATCGTTCGTTCAACTTTTTGGCTCGCTCTTCAAACAGCTCGAGCCTGGAGAGCTTGTTGACTCCGGCCATATTCTCATACGCAGCCCGCGCATCGGATTTGACGGCGACATGACTGATACTAGGTCTATACGTTAAAAGGCTTGTTAGCGATGCTACATACAAGTTGGGGCTCAGAAATGCCAACGATTATCGCATTACGGTAGGTAGCCGTAACAGGCAGTTGGCCAAGCCCCAAGAAAGCAATTTCGGCGTCACACGTACGATTTAGGAGCGTCTTCAACTCTGGGTTCTGTAACCGTAACAGGCGCAGCGACATCGCTGACATTAACAGCAGCTGAGGGTGCGACAGCTGGTGGTTGACGCTTAGAGCCGGCCGAGTCGCCTCTCCTCCAAACGCCCTTGACCTTGGAAAACACCTTGCCGATTCCCTTCTTCTCTTTCTCGGCCTTTGGCAACGATCCCTCTGGTTGGGCGGAGGAGCTCATAGTGTCGTTGTTGGTTGGTGTACACAATTGCAACGGTAGTTTGTCTCAAAAAAACCGTTGGCACGTTGAATCCGGTAGGCTGGTAAACGGGAATAATCGCAATGATAGCCTTGGGTGACCTGTCGAAACACTCGGAATCCTTCCGCAGGTCTCTTTTCTTTTTCTGTCTGCGCACTCCTTTTTTTTTTTTTTTTTTTTTGCTTTGTTCGGGGAATAGGAACCGTTACCACGGTAAATAGCGATCCTTCGGGGTCGTAGGTTTTTTCGATGGCTGGGCAAAGCTGGAATTGAGGTCGATAGGTGTCGCGAGGGCCCGGACCTAGAAATGGAGAAAGATCGGCCTAACGACAGCGCATCATCTGACGTCTCGCCGCGACTGAAGTGAAGCCGGACACAAACGAGGACTCGAGTGCCTTGAAGTGGTGTGTGAAGATTAGAGTCGGAGGAGAGCGACGGGTCGCACAGCGTCCTGGAGGTCCAGCGGTTTTAGCACTAATGCCGGGTTGTCCCAGGTGCTGCTAGGCCTGCAGCTTCAGCGGTCTTAGCGCGCAGTAGCTCGCACCGTGGTCGCACCGTGGACAGGGCCCCTGCTTGCCCTGCGTTGCGGCGACTAAAACAAGCCAGCGGCGTCAGACGTACGGTGCACGGTGCTATTCGCACTTACACCGGACCGGCGCCAGCAGCCCGGGATGGTTCCTTCCTCAAAACAGCACTGGCTCCCTGCTATCCGCAGGCAGGTACGAGGCACGGGCACCGGGATGCCAATGCGAGGCAAGTACTCGTGGCTGCTATTAAGTACAGCATGACAAGCAGGGCAGAGACGGGAATCGCCACAACTTGGAAAATTCATCACCATCGCCAGCCGCCGCGGAACCTACCCAGAACCCAGGCCGACAGGGGGTGGCGGGTTGTTTGTATTTGATTATCAATAGCGACAGGCGCAGGTACCGATACGACGCATTATCTCAGCTGCTGCGCGACAAGTCAGTCCTACGCTGCCGGCCAAGTTCCAGTCCAGGTACCGCTACCTGGTCTCGTTGCACCGTGCGATGCAAAACTGGCGGGCGAGCCTCTACGCAAGCGCGCGACTCATGGGGAGCTCCTATTTCAATTCCCCCCCACTCCCCTAGACATTAGCAACGGGCGACGATGGGGCTGCTGCCATGGAATTGCATGGGTGTCCAGCGCACCGGAGCCTGGCGCGGGGTCTGTCCAGTTTCTGCCCCAAGCAACACTGGGAAACACGACGCCAACGCCGCAAGAGGGTCCTGGAAATGGCCTGTGGTTGGGCAGACAGCACTTCGGACCCAGCACTCTGGGAGGATGGTGTGCGGGAAGCGTGTTACGGGAGCTGCCAGCGGGAACACCAGACTTTGCCTCCCGTCAATCCGCACCCAGCCCGTCGGGTCGCAGCGGCGGCGGTCGGGCTTTGGGGCCAGACAGATTGGACGCCGCCAAGGTGGACATGATGCATCCATCCAAACACCTACAGTAGCGCCCTGCAGCACGTCCTGCGCCTGTGCAAAGCGCAGATGTGTCAGTGCGTGCGAATACTCGTACTATCCTGCTGGCACCACGTTTGGCGCACCAAATATCGAATCGAGGAGGTGATCCGGCCACGGGAAGGTGGGGTGGCTTTTCCGTCGAATCCTAGCTCCCTTTGGTTTTACATTACGGAGCACACGTGTATCCTCCCTACGGAGATTTCCATCACAACACTGCTACCAGGCCTCCGTTGCAGAGCGATGGCCTACGCTACGTCTGAGCACCTGGGCATTTCTCTCGGTCCAACACATGGCTAACAGGGCTGCAACATGGCGGAGAGGGCATTACCGACCTCTCGAGCTTGACATGGGCTGTCGTATTCTAGCCCTATCACAAGTAGGCGAAACAAGCCCGTGCTAGTGCTGCCAGGAGGGCTTTGTAAGTTGACCGAAAGGACGACTCTTCTTTCGTTTGCCGGCCCTAGGCATGATCGACCAAGTTCCGGCAGAATTTCTCCAGGGAGGCGAGGCCGTCCTAAACCATTTCGGCAGCCTCTGAAGAAATCCCGGGCACCCGGGTTGTGCTTTGATTATTGCAGAAATGTTCTTTCCGCATTTGCGCATCGCTACTCGTGCTCGGACATTATGTCATGACAACCTCGCGAGAAATATGAGGACGTTCTTCAAAGCTGTTATGATGTAAAACACTGCGCAGATACAAGCAGAGGTAAGCATGTGTTTGCGAACTCACATAATTACTCCGCACCACAGCATATATTTCCCACGCCTCATGATTAATTAAAATCACACTATTGCGTATACTACACTGTCCTCTATAAGAACGAGACTATTCATTGTCATACCCCGAAGAAAGTCGTGCGAACCCGGGAAATTGCAAAATGCCTTCCTCTTCTGCGGCCCTTTCTGGTACTCATTGGTCTGTGCTGGAAGCGTTGGACAACCACAATCGCAAATTGGGCACCGTGGCGGAGTACGCCGTACCGGCTACCAGGTATCAGCAACTCTCGCGTTTCGCACCGTTGCTCTCATGCAAGTCGACGTTATGGGCCACTTTAGTCTCTGCCGTGAAAGCTTAGGCGAGACTGGCAACAAGTTCGTCTGCACACGCCATTTGCTACGCTACTCTCACAACCAACGCGCTTCTAGAACGGCGAACAGTACCGGCTGCAGACTAGCAAGCGCTGCATATCAACGCAAAGCAAGCAGGCCTCGAAACAGGAAGCTGGCCCGACAGTATGGCATCGAATCCCCGCACGACACGACATTTTCTGACACTGTGGCTCTACGTCGGCGAGTTTTCTGATGTGTCAACTCTCACACAGTTAGCTCAAACGCGCCCGCTAATTTGAGACCCTGTCAACTTGGAAGGTGCCTCATGCAGCATGGCCAGATACCCTAGCCAGGCAAACCAGGCTTCGTTTCCGCGGCTTGGCCTCTGCACGCGGTTACGACTTGGGAGAAGTACGGTACGAGCAATCAACCAGAGGACCATGCTTGTAACCTCTGATCCCTCAACGGCTTGGACGAGGAGGGTGACAAGATGCCTGCGCCGGCACGTAACGAGCAGCCAGTTGCCAGAGCAGACCAATCACACACGGCAAGGGCCGATGCGTCCTTGGCATCCTTTGCCATTCATTGCAACGAGCCAAAGTGCAGATCCACATCCATAGACGGTGAGCTGCTGCTGGGCTATCGCTTAGCATCTGCTAGGCGGTCACAACCTGGTGTTTGTTAGCCGATTGAGACGCCGAAGGGGAAGAGTCAAAGAAGCTGAGGGCAATCTAGATACAGGCGCAGGTATGAGTGCAAAACGTCAGCCTGGATTTTACTTCACCGACAAAGCGAAGCCGCGAGCGCAATGCCCCCATAACGCAATACCCAAAAAGCTCTCAGTTGCTTTGCCCCTTGAGGTAGCATTGCCGATAACATCATTTCGGAATTTTTCGCCCACATGCCTATTCCTGTACCTGTACCAGCACACTCTATGAGTACAATACTACTTGCACAAGCATGTCACCACACGCTCCAGCAGGGTGCATGTGGCATAATGCTCCCTTGTGTGAATTTGGTTTCTGGCTCTTGATCAATGACTTTACATTATCCCCGAGGCGAGGGTCTCTCTCTGTGTGGGGATGCTACTCGGATGGTGTGCATAGCTGCAGATTGCCTCAGCAGCTGCAAGACTAATACCAGTAGCGCACCCAACAAGCCGTCACGCAGCGTCCCACAAACCTGGAGACCGGTGTATCAACGAGACAGCGTGGCATGCAGGTCGTTTCATTCTTCCACGAAGCGAATGTCACCCTCTGAGCCACTTATAGAAGCAGATGAGCATACAAGTGGCTCGTCACAAAGAATCCCCTAATACAGAGTGTATTCCGTGGGGGCTCTCTCTCTCCTTGTTGGACAGTGAGCACCGCTTCCCAGTTATGGGGAACAGAAGGACGGCGTCGTTACATCATAGAGGTGAGTCTGCCCATTTTGCAATCTCCTGTGTCATATAATATGCGTTCAGTATGTATGCACCTCTCCATATTCGTGCCACACAAATGCACTTCGCATAGTGGTCGTATCTGCATGTACATATCTACAATAGTATTACAGCACCTGGGCAGTTTTTTTCCTTCCGAGCATCCCCGCGGAGGTGATCCGAGCATATGGAGTGGTATCCATATGATAGTTGCAAGGTTGAGTACGATGTACATGTGATAGACGCGAGGAACTCAATTTACCCTGAACAACCTCTTATTTCATAGAGCCTAACACAGAGTTCCAGTACTCCTCGCATACCACTACATGTGTACCAACGCTGACCCTCCTTAGGCGAATGCAGGATTCGGGGGGCTGGTTTTTTACAACGCCGACGTGGAGGCTCTCCGGTGTCTCAAAGCTGCTGGAACTCAAAGTCGGTGAGCCTCCAGCGTTTCCCAAAAGCCGGGAGTCAGATCTACTTGCACAAGGCACGAGTAAGCTTGGGTGAAGCAACTACCACTAGCACTTGCAGCCTAGTGCGAGCCAGAGCTGCCATCCGATCGGTTTTGCACTGGCCCGGCAAGCAACCCGATTCTCGTCGCCCGTTGGTGGGACCGGAACAAGCAGCTTGCGTCGAGGTGGACAGCGCGCCCTGCATCACACCCTGGGCCTGGCACCGAGTACGTGGATGAGCCAATAGGCCGTGGCAGCTTAGTAGTGATACCACCACACCACCGCTGTTGCTCTTGAGACAGCGCTATTAGCCTAAGTTGCGACAGAATGCAATGTGAGTGGTTCTGTTTTCGGGTGGACATCGTACGATGATTGCCACGGGGAAGTATCGTTGGGCTGCCGAAGAAATGACGTCCCATCCCTGCTTCCCTACAACGCATCTGCTCCATACTGTGCTACTGCGGCCGCCTCCTGTCTCCAAGCTGTCTGAACAAATGGCTCAATGCACCAAGGACAAGTCCCTGCTCCACAGGGAAAGGGAGCATTCCGTCACCGGGTTTCGCTTGTGCTAATCAGCTTCAACTGCCAAGCTGGTCTTCAACTTTACGATTAGTGGAAAATCGCCAAGCCCGAAGTGACATTCCAATCAACTCTTGGTAACATCTAGTGCGGAACTAATGATGGACAATAGGCGAGGCGATAGACTGCTTTGTATGTATGGTTGCCGAACCCCTAGTAAAAGGTAGTTATCCGACGAGCGATTTCACAGCTGGCAGCAGTATTCAAGGTTTGGAAAAGAAACTAAACTCAGAGACAGGGCCGATAATATGCGGTCAACTGCCGTCCGAGGAGGAACGAATGTGATCAATTTTACGTATTTTTGAGTCATTATTCCTTTCTCACTTGAAGGCATTCCCTAGATACTCTAATACTTGTCAGTGATGTTGCTATATGATCTTGTGATCCCTTGTTTACTTAGTCGTACTTAGATTCGACTAGCAGATTAAGAGAGTCTCCTCCACCACATGAGCCACTTTAAAACGGATATCTTTCATGGAGATACCCTCGTTGAATGACGCAAAATCTTGCTATTATCGGAGAATAAATAGAGGAGGCGAATCTTACGCCGATAGCAGTTAGTTCTAGATCATCGTGTCTGTGATGAATAATCTGATGTTTTGCAAGGGGTTACCCTAGGACGTGATATATTTGCATCTGCTTTCGATGTATTCTGGCTGTTACAAAAAGGGAGAGTGAAGAACAATGAAAGGAAAAAAGAAAGAATTAAGCTGTATCAGAATGTTAGTAGATGAATGATGCATTATGGCTGGGCGTGCAATTTGACGCTTGTCTGTATGACCCGACGACGCTCTACGCCACGGACATGGGCAGTTTATACTAGATGATCGAACGAATAATTAATCAAAATAAGTGAGTTGAATGTCACGAAGCTCTAAGGATAAGCATCAGAAATAGATAATACTAAGCCCAGTAGAATGAGCATTTATATGGTAGTCAGCACTGGCTACGTAGAGACCGCCTTTCTTTCTATAAGCCTAGTGATATAATTTCCATCTCATCGTGGACAGTATCGTACTGACAAAGACCTCAAAAGCACCACAGGAGCTCATAGTGGAAAAGAATTGCTTAAGTGATTACCATTTGATGATCAGTCATATAACTAGCCACATGCCAATTGAAAAGCGTTCATGGCTATCACTCCAATACATATTTACACTTGTTTTCAATAGCAATCTTCTAAGTGCCGTTCTTAAGCACGCACACACTGGACGGATCTTGCCTGGGTAAACCAGTATCCAGTCGGCTTGCCAGTGTGTCCATCGTTCCAAGTCTGCAAGTCGCCTTGGCCAGGTGCCTCGATACCACCGGAGTTGAGGTTACCAGAGGTAGCGACGCAGTTGCCGGGCTCAACCCACATTGAGCAGATCCAGCCTAAAAAGGGTACGCTCATTTAGAATACAGGAAGTCTCATCTCGTGGGAATTTTGTATGATACAGTGCTTACCTGAGTCGGGGCCGATTGCTCCCAGAGTCTCCCATGGCGAAGTCCAGCAGCCGCCGTCGGTCATCTGAACGTCCATACACAGGTTGCTTGGTGTCCAGTTGCTAAAGTTTCCTATAATTAGAACATTTCGAGGAAATATGATAGACCGTAGATGACTTACGGGCCAGGGCAGACGAAAACACCATCAGCAGCAACTCCGAGACTCAGTAAAGAGCTCGCAATGATTGCAGTGGTAAGTGACTTCATTTTTGGTGTAGATGATTGATTATATGGTAGAAAAGATACCAAAGAAGACTGTATAGTGTTTGTTATAATCTAAACATTAAGCATATTCAGCGTAGGATTCGCCTCTTTTTATAAATATTTTCCTCTGCGTTGTTTTGCATACACTGGGGCAGGTTGTGACGATGTCTCCATCATATATCGCTAGCATACGTGCCTAAACGGGCCGTCTCTCCGAATCACGCATGCCTTGTAATCTATTTGGCCAGCATCTCATGACTTTTGTGGACAACCTCGTGGTCTCTATACAGAAACACCTTTCTCGATCGAGCACGAGCTGGCACTACCAGAGTGCCGATGTTCCGAGTAAGCTGACGAAGTTCCACTTTGGAGATGCGTACTCGTAGGCCTCAACTCCATTCTCAACTTGTGATTTGCGGAAATCGGACAAGTAGACTGCCGTTGTCAACGTCAAGTATGCCGAGGATGCGGTGACAGAGGGGATAGTTTGTCTATTCGGACATTTGAGGCGGACAGACGCATTTACGCAAGATGCATTATTGAGCATTATGTAGACAGCTAATTTAGAATTGAGGGAGCATATATGGACATTGCGACTTTATTTAGAAGAAGAACCTCAGGAAAAGGTGCAATTAGGGCCGGAGACTATTAGAAGAGTTGCATTCTAGAAGCGAGAGAGCCGAAGCGGAGATGTGCAGGGCTGAGCTAGATGGGCCTATTGGTCAGGGTTATGGATCGGGGATATTTATGGATCGGCCTTTCTTATCTGGAGATTATGTTGTCTTATTGCCGGAAACTTGGCATGGGCAATGTGTGAGTCTGAGGTGTATTTGGTGAGCATATGAGTGCCAGTGTTGGTTTATTAGTTGACAACTTGCTAGCCTTACAAACAACAACTAGTACTATAAATAGAGGTAACTTGGTAGGTAGTATTTCTGGTCCCCAGTAATGTCAATTTGCATTGTTTGGTTAGCCACTGCTTTGGGAATAAAAGGATGTGTTAGAATGAGAGCCACAGTCTCAAGTGTCCTTGTGTCTAGACTTGATTCCTCGGTCTAATCTACCGCTGAGCAACTTGATGGGGACGGCTTTTGTCAGTTTCGGGCTTACCACCCGAGATTAATTATGCTTTTTACATGTGTGTAATTTCTTTGCTAAGCTAGCTATATAGGTATCCAAGTTTCATGCAGTTGTTCTAGTACTGTGCTGTGCGGCTCAATGGATGCAGGATGCTGACCGGCTAAGTTGGGGACTTTGCTTTTGGTTGGATGCTGCTGATGATTCGATTGTAAAGTGTGGTAGACTAGTCAACATAGAGTGTGAGCAACCACGTGTGCCGGGCTCCACTGGAGAATAGAGTATAAGAGGCTGGCTATTTATGGGTGGAATAATCGACTAGATATTGGATTCAAGCGGGCGTTGAGAGAGATGGTAGTGCCATGATAATGTGGAAACACATTGGGGGCTGTAAAATTAATAACTTCTAGGCTACCAAAATGACGATTCAATAATCTGTACGAATACAGCATCCTTGTGCATTGGTAGAAGTTAATCACATATCCTTGATGGTCTTTGAAGAACAAAGATATCAGATTCGATATTGTCTCGTCACTGGTGATAGTGGTGGAATAAAGTGGCACCAAAAAATGGGTATAACGGCGGTAGTAACTTGGGTATGTCAGAATCTGCATCTTTTCGGCTTTTCTTTCCTTTCTTTGAGATGAACCTAAAGACGGCTATGATATGGCATAATAAAAAATTCTCCTCCTATTTATTCAATTTGTCTATTCATATGGAATTTTATCAGATTAGGTAGCGTGAACAAGTGTATTCATCTGTGCTGTATACAGGCACGCCAATGTCGTCACTTCGGCTCATTGCCGGCAAAGCGGCGCAAGTACCGGACACTGGCGCCAATGAGGAAATGAACCTCTGATGCGACAACGCGTAGGCGCGGAAAATATTGTCTCAGCACCTTCAATTTGATTCTCTGAGTCACTTCTCGCAGCATCCAACCGCCCAACCACAACCGCCATCACTACTCCTCGCTCTATATTCGTAATCGGCACGCGCCAGACTGTGCAAAAGTTCACTGCACGGTCATCACTCTCACACCCTCTCGACCTCTTCTCCCAGCTATATGACCCAAGAGCCTCTCAAGACTCCAGCACCGCTTCTGAACAACAACTACCTCGACGCCCTCTCCTTCTCCCAGCATGGCTCTCTTCCCCGCGATGCCAGTGGCCTTGATCGAGGCCGTTCAGGCTCCAGCCTCGGCTCACAGCGTCTTCGCCCCGGCCCGGACCAGCATCAGCATCAGCATCAGCCCCTCCCGGGCGAAAATGCCGGAGTCAATGCCGACCAGCTGGACGAGAAGCTACGACGATTGAGCTTGGACAAGGGCCTCGACGATCTCCCTTCTGTGCCTGGACAGCGAATCTCCGAGTATGAGAAAGCTCTGAACCCCCAAGCTGCGAAGCAAGGGCCTGGATTCCAGGTTATAAAGCGCTCAGAACCCCGCTCGGATGGAATCCGTCTCGATAACTTTCCAAATGGTGAGCTTTCCCCAGTTACACAGCGTGCCTATAAGTGAATGGTTTGCTGACGTGTTCTGCTAGAGATCCTGACGCACATCTTTTCGCATCTGCCGCCCGACTGCCACTCCTCGGTGGCGCTGGTGTCGAAGCGATTCTGGGCGCTGGTCACCACTCATCATGCGTGGCGCATGGCATTTATGCGCTATTTCCCTGGACATACCGTCCTAGAAAGCAATGGCAAAGCTGCCGCGGCCAACTCCTCCGATGTTCTGCGCTTCGAGACTCGATACTTTCCTCGACTCACATCGCTGGCTACTTGGAGAAGCGAGTATCTCTTGAGGACTCGCCACCTGAGGAACTTGGCTCGTGGCAAACCGGGGGCCCCTCCGGGAGGAACCTTGTCTGGTCGTGTCGGCCGCGCTGGGAAGAAATCGAGCGCGGTTTTGACCTACAACTCGAAGCTGCCCTGGCAAGTGACCAACCTCCACGCAGTCTTCTTGAATGGAAAGAAGCCGCCACGGGTTATGCAAGCAGCCGGAGACCTCGGCGCAGCAACCATCAGTGATCCCACCACGGGCAAGATTGAGAAATGGGGTCTTGAAGATCTATTCACCACCCCACAGCTGGACGAGGTTGCTCCTAATTTGGTGCCATATGGCTTGGGAGACGGCCCAGCCGGTGGCCCCAACGTCATGGATGTGAGCTACACCTACGGCATGATATCTGGTGAAGGATTTCCCGGTGGCCGGCCCTTCTTCCGAGGGGTCAATGAAATGCGTGGCCGCTATATCGGCGGAGAGATCAGTGCTGTCGATACCCATCTTGACATCCCTAAGATCCCCGAAATGTCCGATGCGATTTGCAGCGTGTGGATTGCCAAGTCGTCGAACGTTACATCAACAACACAGTCAATGTGCGGAATGTTAACAGGCTCCACTCTCGGCATCATTACTGCATACTCACTTGGCTGGGATACCACCGGCCCGAGATACGCCAATGGAGATGTCACAGCACGATGGGTCATCAGTCCTGGTGTTCCTATCATATCCTTGAAAGTCGACGATAGCTTCAACCAAAAGCGGAAGTCAACCTCCAGGGTCTGGGCTGTGGCACTGAATGCGCTAGGTGAGGTCTACTACTTATGCGATGTCCCTATCGGAAAACCAGTTCGAGCAACTGGGGAAGACCAGACCAGAAATGCCTGGTATGCTGGTCGTACAGTATACTGGCACCTTCTAGAGGCAACTCGTAGAATTGCTCGAGAAGACGAGCTAGACAAGAACGCAACACGTGGAGGGTATTCGCCCCGATCGCCGTCAGCCAACATGCATCTCAGCCAGGACCAGCTCGTGGCGGAGGCCCGGGAAATAGAGAAGTTTATGCGCTACAGGCCCTCTCACTTCCGAAAGGTCTGTGAGGGCTGGGATATGCAGCGGAAGCTAGAAGTGGATTTCGCGAGTGATGATGGTAAAGGCGCTGGGGAGAACGTCTTTGTGATTGACTGCGGCCTTGCCGAGAACCGACCTGCTGGTATTCAACGTTACTCGCGTTCCTTGATACCTGTGCAAGCCACTCCCAGCGAATCAACGACACCTCTTGCACCAGTTTCTACGTCTCTCTTTGGCAGCATTGGAGGGTTCGCCAACCGGATTTCTCCAATCTCCGAATCTCACACACCGTTGTCTCCGCCTCCTACTCCCAAATCGCCTCCTGTGCCCTCGACAGTCATTCATGATTGGTCCAAACAAGTGTTTGATCTCAGGGGCTACAGCCACGATATTGTGACTTCAGCCGCTTTGGACAACTCGCTCTCCTCGCTATTCACACTGGGAGAAGACCCTCTGCACACTGCAAACGAAGCGTCATCTACAACGAGTCCTTGGGCCGATCACGGGGCAAGAGAAATCCCTGGGCGTAGAACTCGCTTTATCATCATCGGAACCAACACAGGCGCAGTTCTGGTTTGGAATGCCCGGGATGATGATAGGACCCGTGAGACACAACCGCTACGCATCCTCCAAACTGAGTCCCCGGAGGTATCTGCAGTGGCAGCATCTGGACTGTATCTCGTTCATGGCGGCAGCGATGGCCTTGTGCAAGCCTGGGATCCTTTGGCGTCTACAGTGGAGCCCATCAGAACCATCAATGCTAGATCAAACGGGAGAGTTCCTCGTCACATGCTAGTTATGAATCCGGCGATGGATGAGAATACATACGCAGCCGTGAGAGCCATATACCTTGACCCTGATCCCACAACCCTTCAAGGAGTGGTCTCTTTTGGAGCATTCTTGCGATACTGGTCCTATGGATCGAATGGTCACACCGCCGGGCGTAAACGCCGCGTCCGACATACTGATATGGATGCTCGGCTTGCTAGTCGTCGCCAAGGCCATGCAGTATCAGGCTACATTGCCTCTGAGGAAGCCGAAATGCGACGGGAAAATGAGCAACAGGCTCGCGAGCATACCCGTCGCCTCAAGAGATTCGGCGCGCTGGGCGACTTGACTGAGGAGGAAGCGATTCTTTATGCCCAGATGGTCTCTGAAGAAGCGTACCACGCAGAGGAGCAACGACGGGCTAGCGATTCTGCAGCTGATGCCAGTTTAGACACTGCTTCTTCCGTTAGCGAGAATACTGTCTCGACTTTGACCCCCGATCCAAGCGTTGCCGGCCCGTCTGCTTCGGAAACCAATGGTGTAGCCGAAGATGAGTACGAACAGCAGATTCAACAGGCCATACGATTATCCTTGATGGAAGGGGTCAACAATGATATGGCGCAATCTCCCCTGGAATCATCACGAGGTAACAGCTCTGGCGATTTCGACTTCTCCGTCAATGTCAAGTACAAGCCCAAGGCCGGCAAGAAGGGAAAACAATCAGAGTCTGGGTCGCCGTCCGCAAATCACACGCCCGTGGGCGGTCCTTCGCGATACACTACTACCGAAGATGAGGACTTGGCCTTGGCTCTGAGTCTTAGTATGCAGGATCAGGGAGGATACTCGTCGCCGCCTCAGCAGCCATCGGATGCGGAGCTTGCGCTCGAGATCCAGCATGAGGAGTTTCCGTCCTTGCCTGGTGAGGGAGTTGGTAAGGGGAAGGGTAAAAGTGTGCAGAGGTGGTGATATAGACAGAGGCATAGCAGTGTGAAGAGATTAGCAGAGACATTTTCATTCTATCAATGGACAGAGCAAATTTATTTGCCATGTTCCATCTTTTTATAGTATTTTAGTCAGATGCTCGAAACTCATATTTAGTGCGCGCGTGTGTTAATACAGTCGTTCGTTTTTCAAAACCCTTCTTCTCATGTTTCGCAATGCAAGGTTATGAGGTGCCTAGCGTGCGTATTGTAATATTGTACATTATAATTTGAATATCCAACAAGAATTCCATACATTTCGTGTATACTATAATACAGATTTGCGTCAACGGCAATAAGAAGAAACAAGAAGATTACAAAAGAAATAAGAGGCGGCCAACCATCACATCCCTCAGACGAGTATCCAAAGGCCTATCACGAAACAGAGACCCGTGACGTTACCAATCGATAAACCTCGACGCCATGAAAATGCGCTGCTCTCATCGTTATCCTGGCGAATCCCATGACCGCCCGTCTCAACAGGGAAATCAGGTATCGAATCCCTAGAAGAAGATAAAGTCGCCGTGACAGAAGACCCAGGGTACGTCAATGTCTGCGACGAGACGACCAAGCCGCTGGGACCAATAGTAATACTCTGGTTGTTTATAACAGTGGTCTCAAAGTTGTTTAGATCGCCGTCTTCGTTAATGGCATACGTCGCCCCGTTGACGACGACAAGAGACGGGAGAACTTTTCCAACTGTGATGCCTCCGACGATTTCGTATTCTGTTGCTGTGGCGTTTGCGGAGGGTCCGCCTATGGTTGTGCCGTGGAGAGAAACGCCCCTTGGACCAATCGAGATAGTTTCTCCGTTGATAACTGTTTGATTGGGAGCTATGTCGAGGCCATATGTGATGGTTGTGGAGTGTAGGACGACGAGAGAAGTGCCGATGGCCGTGAGCATTTCTCCTCCCGTCACAATCTCGTGAGTAGGCTGCGGTGATGGCAAGATGAGGGTTTCGCGACCAACGGCAACAGTTCCTGCGCCGAGAACAACTCTTTGGCCGTTGATACTCGTGGTGGTTTCTTGCTGTGGGATTCTCATAGTGATGCCGTCGACAACAACTTGCGTGCCCGAGATTATTACTGGAATGCCTCCCAAAGTTCCACTTGTTGCGGCTGGTGCGGGAGGAGGTGTTGCTTGAGGCGCAGGTTTCGTGATTGTCGAGCCCAATCCCACGACTGCAGTAGGGAAAATGGTGAATACTTCATCTCGAACTGTGACCGTGGTTGTCTGACCAGGCTTCAGGTTAGAGACGGTCCTGTCGTTGATAACGACCTGTGTTCCCCCAGCAGTAAGCTGAAAGGTGGTAACTGGGAGCTGCTTCACGCTTCCCGGGGTGCCAAGCTTGAAAGTATTGCTCTGAGGACTCTCTATGACGTCTACGGTCTTATGATGGCCATCTCCAATGTCGTCAGTAACTAGTGTTTGGCTATAATCAGGGGTCGGTTCAGGTGAAAACACCACGGATGGATTCTTGTCAGTCGTAATAAACGTTACAACAAATCGACTATAGGAAAGAAACGGTCTCATTGTGATAATGACTCCACCGCCGCCCTTTCTGGCGGCATCAGGCGTTTGCGTAATAATTTCAGGAAGATCGATGGAAAATGTGGGTAGTGGAATTGGGATTGGTGCAGGCATAAAAGGGTCGTAAGATAGAGACGCAGAGGAGGGCGCCGGGACAGTTAGTGTAGAAGTTGAATTGGATATATGAGTTGTGCTAAAAAAGGTTATCAGAGCTTCACCCGCAGGAGAGCAGTAATTGGGTGTTGTAATTGGTGAAAAAGGGGGAGTGTAGTCGGTGCTGCTGCCATAAAATGTAACTGTTGAAGTATAAACAATAGAATATTCTGTAACGGCCTTGCCACTAGGTAGTGGAGTACATGGCTCTGTTGAAGTTGTTGTGCTTGGTAGCAGTGAGGAAGAAGTTGGAAACGTAGAGTTTCTGTTGGTAGCCATCGCGGTAGACGGGCATTCTGAAGTATCTCCATTTTCACACGCCGTCATGTAATTGGTAGTAGAGCCGGTTATCAATGCCGAGATTCGACTGGGGGTCTCTATCGTTCGTACATCTTCGGTCGCTGAATACGAAGTGATTCTTCCAGAGCCATCGGCTTTGGTGTCAGTAGTTGGCACAAAAGCTGTCTCGATGTCGTATTTCGCAGTTGGATCTGCCAACTCTGAGAGTGTCGCCCCCGATACTGTTGATCCTGCCGTTGACAAGCCATGTTGGATAATTTCAATGGTGGTATTGGATTGAAACCCCCGTCGCTGGTGATTGTGATATAGAATCCCTGCGCGAAATGATTAGCAACATGATTTCTATACAAAGTAAGCCAAAGCCTCAGACGCACCTGATCTTACAGTTGCTGCAGCACACTCTATTAGAAGTGATGTGTAGAACAGTAAGAGAACATTGGTGCATTTCATCGTGCCCCCGATGACGACGTGAATCCTTCAAGTCGGTGAGTGACTAGAATGGAGCGTACAGATATAGAAGGTAACAATTCGGCTGGCCATCAGAGTGATATCGCCACTGGGTCGTGGTGATGCAAGAGTTATAGACTGATCATCCAGTGTACCGGGATTTGAAGAAGCTACGAAAAGACACAAAATAAGTCCAGAATTTTTGCATAATCAATGGTCGGCTGTGGAGGTAGGCTCCCTGTCGTATAATTCAATGGGTAGAAAAACTGATGAATGGGCTCAGTTGCTATGTATGGGAAGCTCCGTGCGGAGTATATACGAGCATATCAGCGTTGAACATGGGCACATATGCGCACATAACGCGGTACACGGCATATATCATAACTGCTGTGGTCTGCCGTGGACAACAGGCCAGTGGACGCCGGCCTTCAACCTCCTCCGTGCATCCCCTAGCAGTTGTTAGTCTTGTGCTAGGACCAACATGCCGCCTCGAGCTCTGGCAAGGGAGACGAGGTACTAGTGACTCTGGGCGTGCCCATGAGACACTTAAAATGTACCAAGCATTGGCGCTATTGGGGTGGTAGCACGAATGTCTAGCTGTTATTGCTTTGGCACTGGTGATTCTGTAACGGTATCCTGCGATCTTGAGTAGATTAGACCACGAATATGACGGCGACTTGTCCGTCTGAGTTTTAAGGATCTGACCAACTCCGCAGCCCGAGTTCAGTTATTCAGAAATTTAGGATTCGAGAATGGGGACACAGCAATCGACGGCGGAGGGAGTGCGATAGGCAGACGCGTCCATCCAACCAATAAACGCGGATGTGGTTTGAGCGAGGCGTTGGGAAGGGATAGGAGCTAATAATTAAAAAAGGGAGAAAATGGTCTCATTGTCTCATTTGAATCTGCTGTCAGTCAAGAAATTTCCTTGCAGGAGATGGGCTGAATAATAACCCATGACCCGGCTGCAGGAGGATTCCGCGTGTGACGCAAATGTCAAGAACATACAGTAGCTGCAAAAATGGCCCAAGAAATTTGGCAGCCTTTGAGGCCCCGACAAAAGGGCAGGTGTCGAGTACGAGAGTGCCGCAAAGGGGATTGCTTTTACGGGGATCGCGATAGTTTCCCGCCACACTTTCGACTGAGCACTCTCAATTTGTGCAGTCCTGTTCTTCCTTGGTTGGAGTGTTTTCTAGTCGTTCAATAGCATGCATGGTTCGTTTGATTTAGCGGGCGTGGACCAGCGAGAGAAATTATCGCGGGCTGGTCGGCGGATGAGAAAACCTGACATTTGCTTTTTGTCCATGGTCTGAGACATTGTTCCCTTGGCTCAGCCGTTCACAAATTGCACAAAATACAAGGGTTCTGCCCAACTTGTGCGCACCAGACCGCTCGTAAATCCCTTGCTCGGTAGACTATTGTTGCTACTAGCAGCTGCAAGGAGTAGTGCGGAGAAGTTGGCATCTCGAAGTGTGCCGTTGATAGGCCATGTTCTTGGTGTCGTTGTAGGGGGGCCGTCCTTGTTTCACCGATACGCCATCCATTTTCATGGCTCTCAAGTCTATTGACAAGTCATCTCTTGTGCTCTCTGTGTTTGGCACGACTCCACATGTCCATGAACGATTCGGTTTCCTGGTTTCCAGCGTTGCGGAAATGAGCTTTGTATCGGTGGAGGAACATGGGATTTCGGTAATCGCTCTTCTAGCGCGCGAGATCCGTCATCGAAAGATAGAAGCAGCTGCGCTTCGATCAGGGCTCGAGTAAAGCTTCATGATTCTCGCGATTTGATGATGGTGTCTGGGATAAGTTTGTTAATCGGAGACTGAAGCCACTTTTAGCTTGTATTGATGGTTCTGCAATGCTTAGATCCGGTGAGCTCCAGCCAACGACACAAAGGAGATGCTCACCTTTTCCATAACACAGACACTGTAGTTTTTTTTCCCCCGCTCGGGCTGTTTAATTGCGAGCAGTTCTAGATGGACTGAATGCAGGTTGGCAAATGAGAAAAAGGATAGCTCCCAATAATTTTTTTTTCCAAAGAGGTTATCTAGGGTAGCTCTAGGCCTTGCGTGAGCAGCAGCAACCGCTTGGTAAGGCGGCACCTTCTTCATTACAACAGAGGCACTGATGAAGTCACTTGCATCCATACATCTGCTGGCCTATGGATCTATCCTTGATATTTCTCCTCTCCTTCATCTTCTCAGACCAGCAGTATCACAACTGAAGCTAGATTTACCGCCATAATTTTGGGCACGGTGGATAATACAACTAGACGTCAACGTACTCGGCCAGCTGGAGCCTATCAGGCATCTCTCGTGGTAATGTCACTCGAAGGAATAGCAATACTGGCGGGCAGCATCACTAATACGAGTACAGGAGGTATTCCACTGCGGCAGACAAGGCCCTCGTATGCGGCAGGGACCTTAGCTCCGGCACACGCGTCCCCGGTCAGCACTTTACTCGTACATGGCGCAAGGGCGAGATGTCTAGCGAACGGGAGCCGGTACGCAGAGCGCCGGTGGGCGTTTGGACCTGGACTCTCCAAAGGGAGGGGGGGGGGGGCAACTTGCTTGGCAGCATCTACGGCATCCTGGGATGGATACTGGAGGCGAGAATACTCGTAATGGCTCGCAGGATACGAGCAGCATTGGTACGAGTACATGCTGGTCGGTCTTGAGAAGCGTGTGGGATGGTGGGGATCGCGGGTGGCTCCTAGTCGTTGATCCCGGCTCTAGCCATCCAGTGGACCCCATCTCCAGATACTGCTGATCTTGGGCCCTGACCCCGGCCCTCCAGCTGTTGATCTTGGTGTTGTTGGACTCCAGCTCATCTCCAAAGCCAAGCTGGTGTTGCTCTGCTGTTGCAGCCTGACGATATCGTCGCTGGCCCCCGTGGTGTCGTGCGCTCATATGGACGTGAAATCCACCGAGGAACATTGGCATTCCAACAGCGCCAACGGCTGGTCATAGCCCGCGCTCCGTTATTTGTACCACAGCATCAATTGATGTGCACCACGGCCGCCACACCGAGTCCAGGGCGGATTCCAGGCCAGGCATGTGGACAGCGCACATCTGGCTTAGTTTCGTACTCCGTACCTGTCAGAAGCCTCAAAGTACAGGCAAGTATGTACTCGTACGAGTACTAGTATGTAGACCGCACTCTTGTCTCGCCATCAGTGTCTGACCTGCATGACATTAGGCCGACCAGTCCCAGCACTGCTCTGTCACCGAAGATGTCGCCAGATCTCTCAGTCTTTCCACTCTTGCAGGCATACTCTGATTGCGATTTGCTCACAAGCTGCTACTGGCGTCGGAGTACTCGAGTGAGCTGATTGCTGAGCGTCCATGCAGAATAAGATACGATACGTGTACAATTGGTACGGACGCTCTCTGAGGAGCTAATGGCTCCCTGCTCTTCATATTTCAGGCCCATGGTGATGAAATAGAAGCGGTCAAGCCAAGACTGTCTCAACCAGTGTTGTTATTGCAATATGTTGTCTTGCATTGCAGTCTCATCGACCTCGGCGTTACAATCTTCTCCGTAGCTGCTCTGGAGAGACTCGAGTACTGCATGGTACAGGTATCGAGGAGCATACCCGGTGGCGCATCCAGAAAGCGTGGAGCACCCCCAAAGTGTCGCCCCAATGAGGCATTGGCAACTGAAACCATTCCCCATCCTGCTCCCGTTCTGGCTGGCAGCCATTACGGCTAGATATTACTACTGGCATTAGCGCTTCCGTGAGCCATCGACGGCTCGGTGCTAGACCAAATTGGCGTTGCTAGGCTGATCGGAGCGCGCTTCAGTATCAGACATTCGGGGTTCGTCCCAGACTGACGGCCGGAATGTTCTGAATGGACCCTCACCGGGTAAGTGGCTGGATGTACCTGTACAGAGCAGATGTCCATCCCTTTGGGTCGAATTGCCAAGGGCGTCGCCCCAGGTTCCGAAGAGTTTTTGGCAGATCGGCCTGGAGCATCCGCGCCGTGTACATGCAACTACTAGTAATCGATTCCGTTGGCAGCACCCCCCCTGGCACGAGGTACACCACCAGCCATCCATTCGAAGGGCACTGCTAGGTGGTCCAAGCCTTGCATTTCTATCCCTCGCCTTCGACTCTCTTCATCAATACACCACGGAGGCAATCCCGTGGAACCTCACGGTGTCCAAGAGCAAACTGTCCTCGCTGCGTGAAGCGTGAATCTGCCCACCGGTTCACGAGCTTTGTGGTGTCGTCAATTAACGGAAGCTGCAGATTCCCTACAGCCCCACGATTCTATACCCATGGATGCTGTGCTGTGATAGTGTCAAGAGTACTAACAGAAGCTGAGAGACGCTCATGATATCACGCCCTACATCCCCGGCAGTTCTATAACCTGGGGGTCTTCCTAAGGTGAAGGCTTGCGGCATCACACGGCCGCCATCGGAGAAATGCGTCGTGATGTCCTAGTGATTGCAGTAGTAGCCGGCCTTGCTTATGCAAATGACCCGGCCCCGGTGTCATTTGATGCCGGAGACTGGTACGTTGTTTATTATCTTCTCTGCCTTCTGCTAGTACCCGCATCAGCGGCGTACAACGCGTTTCATCTTGTGGCTGACCTTAGATTAATAGGCTTGGGATCGATGGTAACTGGTCAACCATCAAAGTCTTGCTGGGTTCAAGCTCGGATCTCGTCAATGTTCTCTTGAGCACGTCACTTTCCGAATTTTGGGCCGTTGGACCTGGAGGCTGTTTAAAAAGTACGTCTCCATCTCGACTTGATCGGGTCCCTCCATTACTCGCAAGAAGTCTCCCCGGAGCAGGCCATAAACGTCCATCCATCAACCAAGGAGCTGACTCGGGCCTCATAGAGGAACCGCATTGCACCGCTGCTCGCGGTGGCATTTACACTCCGTTTGGATCTAAACATTGGTCGTCTATGGGAATTTGGCAACTTGGCTTGGATTACTTGGGTTATGGTGGAAACGGCCAATATGGGTTGGATACAGTCAACGCATACAGCACAATTACCGACATTGGATTCGGCATGTCCAACGTTCTCATGTCCGCCATCAACACAACAGACTATTATTTGGGTTTCTTTGGCCTCGGTATTACACAGGGCAATTTTGGTCACGAAGTTGCTCAATCACCTTTAACACAAGCCGTCCATACCTTTGGATGGATTCCTAGTTATAGCTATGGCTATACTGCGGGTGCCTCCTATCGTATGTCTTTGTTTCTTTCTATGAATAGTCAGTGCTAACGTGAAACGATAGGAAATATGCCCGTATCGATTACCTTGGGCGGCTATGATACAGCTAGATACGTGCCGCACAGCATCGACTTCACCTTGACTCCACAGGACAACATGCCTCGCGCCCTAATTAGAGGCATCGAAGCAACTGTGAATAACAGCGCCGCTAAGCCCAAGAAGTGGCCGTCCGAAACAACAAGCCTTTCAGGATGGAATAACTCATTTACGGCCCTGATTGATAGCACCACTCCATACTTGTGGTTACCCAATGCCGTCTGTGACGAGTTTGCAAGTGCCTTCAACTTGACGTATAACAAGACATTTGATCTATATACCCTTACCAACGAACAGTACAATAGCTACGGCTCGTCCGACTCTTTTACTTTTGTCTTTAGCTTTTCGAGCTTTGACAACCATGACAATTTTGGATCTCCTTTGGATGTTCCGGGCTTGGTGAACATCACTGTGCCAATGCGAGCATTCGTCAGCCTCTTGCAATACCCTTTTATGCACCAGGCCATCAAATATGGAGACCCGGCTGTTCCATATTTTGCGCTGCGGAGGTCTGAAAATGATTCCGCAATCATCATCGGCCGATCGTTTCTGCAGGAAGCCTATTTAATAACCAAATACGACGAGGCCGTGTTCTCAGTTCATCAGGCCAAATTTCCTCAGGAACCTATAGCTGACGCAAATCTGATTCCAATCAAACAACCAAATAATAGCCCTTATCCTGCACCGCCGAAACAGACAGGTAGCAGACTAAACACAGGGCAAATGGTTGGCATTGCCGTTGGCGCCATTCTACTATGCTTATTCTGTCTTGTGAGCATTTGCTATCTCTGCCGCCGAAGAAAATCACAGGAGAAGGGCGAGGAGGCCAAGGAAACCAAAGACAGCGCATCAACGATAGTTCCAGACACGCCAAGGATACTGAAGCCTGCCTTATTTTACAAATTGACACGTCGCAAAAGGGTGCAAAGCGACGTGACTAAGTCCGCCACGACTGCCGTTCTCTCTCATTGTATGGAGGCCCCCGATTCTGAAATTTACGAACTTCCAGCCCCAATGGCTCCCGTGGAACTTGATACTAGCGATGGAGAAGACGACGGTTCAATAATTTGTGACACTGTTCCAGGCACAGAAACCATCAGGAGCCTCAGCGCATATGAAGTAGCGAAGAGGAAGATTGACCGACAGCTTCAGGGGCCTGTTCCCGAATACTCACCACCGCAGCTAGGGATTGTGCTGCCTCAAGAAAAGCCGATTTCACATAATATCGGCTCAGTGTATGCGACCTGGAGCGGAGAGACAACTCCTGTCTCGCCAATCAAAACTGGATCGGGAACCGGCTCGCTTCCAACATCGCTACCCTCACCAATTTCATCTGGGTCGGGATACAATAGCCTGGCAAGTCCGATTGTTGCGGCTCAGCTATCAGACGGTAGCTCAAGAGATATGGACATGCAGAATGACGAGGATGATACGCAACTGGAGACTGATGGGTCAAACTCCCAACACGTGGAGATTCAGGACCACAGTTCTTCTTCAATGGCGTGCCAAAAGACTCCAATTGACCCAACAAACATTGTCTGTTTGGGCAACCTCCCGGACAATCTCAAATCGCTCAGACATAGCATCATGTTGGCGCAAATCGTGAGCCAAGAGAACCGCGACAGTATCAGTAGTTTTACACCTCGCTTCAAGGCCGAATTCCATCTTTCCGAGCAGAGTCTAGGGAGCAATTATACCGATGAGGAGGAACGAATTATGGGTGAAATGACGCGACAAGCTACCTTCTCCCTTGCCCGGTCAAAGGGGGAGGAATCCTCGGTCGAGTCTACCGGAGAACACAGGAAAGATGACTCCTTCAACTCAGAGGCAAATAGTCCCCATTCCTCACGAGGAGAGGAACGAATAGATGGAAATGAACTCATTCATGTCCCGCAGATGGCAGAGAAGCGATATAGCTGGGAAGATTGAACGCTGTCGCACCAAGACTTGCCTTCCACCCATCCAAGCAGACATCCTTAATTCTTCGCATCTTGACGCCTTCTTTCCTGTACTTCCCTTTTCTATCACCCTTCATTAAAATCATTTCTTATCTCTTTTGTCGTTTGCTACATAGCCAGCAATGGAGTTTTCTTTGGGAGAATGGGATCGGTGTATTCTATGTGCCAATGGCATTGCACAGGTGAGACGGTTGGACAGAATATGGACCCATGGGAGTTTTTAAGAAGGATCTTATACCACCACTTTGCACCGCCTTTTCGTTGCCGTACGGGGTTTTTTTTTTTTTTTTTAATTACTTAAAGGACTATTTGTAACTTTAATATCCGAGATGACGGATACTTATATAGTAGGATGAGCAGATGGCTCGGGATGGCATTTGATGAGCTGTGATGGCGACTCTCCTTCGCATGGCTCTTTGCCTCTCTTGTCGCACGCTTAGATAGAAACAATAATGACAGAAGAAATTATATCAATCAGATTCGTGGCCTTTTTGCTGCTACCTTGGATAGCCAAGTAGTAAGAGCAGCCTAATGTACAACACTCGCCCCCTTTCTAATGCACGCTATGAATATCATGTTTGTCTTTATAGAATACCATGCACAGCTTTTACCAAATTTCCTGCCACCACGTTATCGCTCCTAGCATCTCCTTGCGAGTCTCCTCGTCTCCATTTTCGGTAAAAGGGTCGAAGACGGCGCGTTTGCACGCATCGGCCATCCTCGTGGAGCCTCCGCAGACGGCGAAAATGGCTTTCTGGGGAATCAGCTCTTCTAGCCTGGGTGCTTCTTGGCGAACTAGATCCTGCACGTAAATCTTCTCGCGCTGGTCTCTCGAAAAGGCCGTAAAAACAAGCAACTGGGAGTTTTTCTTGGCTGCATCTTCCGCGAGCGCACGCCATTCGTCTTCGAAGAAGTAGTCGGCCGCGCGGTTTCGGTTGCCGAAGAAGATGACCATTGGCGCTGGGGAGGGATGCGTGAGGCGTTCGTGGATGAGACACCGCACGGGAGCGACGCCGGTGCCCGTGGCCATGGCGATGAGCGGTCTCTGTGCGTTGGCGGCGCCGTGGATGGGCGAGAGGACGGCCTTGTAGGAGACGCGGAGGGTTGCGCCGGGGAGGAGGCTGGCGAGGTAGCGGGAGCAGAGTCCTTCTCGGGGTTTGCGGAGGATGGTGCGATATTTCACCATGGCGACCAAAAGGTCGACTCTGGTGGCACCGGCCTTTGAGGGGTGGATTGCGGATGTGCCGCCGTTGGCGATGCTGAAGTCGCGGCCGCGGATGAGCGGGAAGACATCCAGGAGGCGCTCTGCCGGGATCTTGACTGAGGTGAATTCGTCGAGGACCTCGATTATGCTGCGGCGAGAGCGGGTGGCGTAGTCAAAGTACTCGTCCATGTATTCGGGCATATTGAATTCGAGCAGCCGCTCCCGGTGGTATTCGTCGGACGAAAAGTAGGACATGTTCTTGAGAAAGGAGCGGCGCGGAATGGCGGTTATGTCAATGTTGTTGAGAAGAAGGCCGCGGAGCGTACACGATGCCGGTGCGTAAAGGTTGTGTGGGAGAGAAGGGCAGGCGGACAGGTCAAGCGGACGGTCAGCAATGTCGTTCCAGTCCATGAGGTCAATCAGCTTCTGGACGTCGTGCGGGAAGTTCTTTGGGTACAGCGTGAGGCAGTCTCCAGGTACGCATCGAACTCTTTCGCCAGATGGGTGAGCAGGTATGTCAAATGATGCAAGGCGGACATCCTGCCAGTGTTCCTGCGGCGTCAATCTTTCGTTCTTTGTCAAGGTTGCTGTCCATCCGGCTGGGATGGGTAAGAGGCCTGGAGGTGGTAAGTTGGGCTCTGTGAGTGTGGCATTTGTCTGGTCTATTGAAAGAGAAGATACATTGACCTCCTGGATCTTCTCGGAAAGCGCATGAAGAGCCGGAGCCAGAGACCAGCGGGGAGGGAGGATGGTGTCGTCGGGAATGGGCTCCGAGCCTGATGGAGGTGGATAATGCTCTAGAAGATGCTTTTTCAGGTCCTCAGCCCATCTCACAAAACTGCCATCGATGCTAGAGAAATAACGTGTGAGCTTCTTGCCGACAAAGTGCCTGGTTCATGAGGAAGAGTATAGCTAAGCTTACCCATCTGGAAACTGTTCGTCTGCTTCATATGCGTCAATGAAGGTGGCAGCGCCAAGCTGGTCTAGTCTGCGCACAAGCTTTCGCGCAGCCCAATTAAACCTAGAAACAAATCATATACAATTAGTTCACGTATTCAAACTGAAAAGTAAGGGCATTGTATAAGAGGGTTATTTTCATACTTTAGATACGTGCTGTCACCAAGACCGAAGCAAGTGTACTTTAACCGACTCAAGCAGTTTGGCGGCAACTTCTTCCGCAGGAGCTTTTTCCAAAAGAGCAGTGAGTTGTGAGGCATGTCACCCTGGCCCGTTGTCGAGATGACAAAAATGACGAGCTGGTGCTGCAGCAGCGCATTCTGGCAACGTGGGGGTTCATCATTAATCACATGTATCCGGGCACCTCTGTTTGCTGGGCGAGAGACAACATACAAGATCTGTAGCATCGAGCTCACTGACATGGCTCTCGAAATGGAGCCTCTGGCACAGCCGGCCAAGCTCTTCGGCTATATCCTGGGCATTGCCCGTTTCCGACCCATACAGGACCAGGACGCTTCTCTCTTGGCTCGCCATGGCGACAAGGGGCGGATGAACTGCCGAACGCCAATCGGATCTGTCGCTGCTGCTATGTGTGCTCGCAAGGAACGTGTATGACTCGCATGGTGTCCGGAGCGCACAGCAAGAGCAGATCCGTTCTATCGCATTGGCATTTTCAGTTGGCGCTTAGTTGCAAGATTGCATGTAGGAAGAAAAAAAGCGGGTGTCCGATGCCGGGCTGCAGCCGAGTTTGGTGGAGTCCATCTGATCTTATCGGTTCATGCTGCTTTATCTGATCAGAATTGCCTCTCCCGGCATGGAGCCACGTGCCGGGACATGCAAGCAAACGAAGGTTAAAAAAAGATGTATACAATGGACGAAAAAAAGGTTAAATTCACAGCTGAGGACATTTTGATGAATTAATGAGTATTGAGCACGTTTGAGCTGAAATATGAAACTGGGGATATCGTGATGTGTAGATTTTCTGAGCAAAGATTTTCACTGCTGGTAGTATAAGCGTGGCTTGCAACATCTGATGGCGAGGCCAAAGTACGATCCGGCACAACACAAAGCCTCACTTCATGCTATGCGCAATGCCATGTTTGCGTTGCACATTTCAGCAAACCAATTTGCGCTCAACAGCATTTTTGTCAGTGCTTTTTAGTCGGCAACGGCAGGGAATCCGGGGAAGGCTTGCTCCGTTCTTGTGGCTGGGCTAGCAAACAGCTTGGCCGAGCTCTAGACGGAACTACAGCGGACAGCTTCAGCAGCTAGTCGAAACACAAGAGCAGAGCAGAGCAGAGCCGATGACTCAAGAAAAGGAATATTCTGACGATGCCCAATCTTAGTACCTGCATATATAAGGCAGCATGGCAGATAGATAGCTATTACTACTGTCTGTTCGGTGAAAATAAGACTTTAAGCGAGGCCATCAACAGCGCCGAGGCTTCCCAGGGTTGCACTTGTTTGGCCATGGCTCGGGCCACGTTGCCCACCTTAGCTGGGTGGATCGGCGACCAGGGCATCGAGATCCCCTGTGCCGTGCGACTTGGGGGTTGGCTGGATACACTGCTGTACATGCGCGAAGCTGGACCAAAGCCGTGATGGATTGGTCTCGTCGTGGTCCCTTGCAGGTCTTTTAGGCACGTTGGCTGTGTTCTCCTGTCGCCTTTGCAGCAGCAAATAAGCCGGATTGGGTAAGAAATCGGAGAAACTGAGTAATAGGCGCTGCTGAGCTGTCGGCAGCTGCACGTCCACATCAGACGACTGAATAAGCCGTGGCTGTTGTCACGTCATGCTTGAACCGTCCACGGTACTGATGCATCCCCTTTCCCATTGATCCCATGAGATTATTGATGGGTTCCAACAGGTTCAATGATATTACTCCGTTCCTACCTAGTAGTATCCATTGAATTGTAATGCCCGCCTCCTATGTGCAGTAAAGGCAAGGTAGGGATATGTGGTGAATAGGGGCTTCTGAAGCAGTGGCAGCTGCCCTTGAAACAAAGCTCGCTCGCAACGCGCAGCTGCCTCAGTCCTCCAGTAAATTATGGGGAGGAGCAAGTTTCACGGCGTAGACAGTACGGATGGGTAGGTACCTGCCCGCTGGCAGCACGGCAGGCACAGCCAACGTTGGATGCACTGCATTGGACGTACCGATAACACAGTCTGCGGTTTCTGCCAGGTACCGTCCGTCCATCTGGATTGCATCAATCGTGCCAGTGCACTGGAACCTTATACCATGGGGTACCCAGAACCTAATGCCGCCTGTACCTGTATTACTAAAGTACTTACAGCTTGCGTGTCCAAACTCCGCACCTGTGCTCGTACAGTAGGTACTCCGTCGCAGGATATTAGGCCATCCGGCTGACATCTTAGAATAGGGGCGCATTGCAGTGCCTTGCCTGAGCACACAGCTTCCACGAGTTCCAGAATGTCAGGAACAAGATACACCTTGACCGCATCTGCTCCAGGGGCCGCCGGGTACTTGCAACGCCGGTACTCCCTGGTAGCGCCACTCGGTACCCCAAAGCTGGGGGATACATGCCACGACTTGTGCAGGAGGGGTCTGGACTTGCCCCAGCGCTGCTTGGCCTCTGCCTGACCTCTGTCTGAGTGCTGCCTGCCTCCCCCTCCTCGCTTGTACCTGCCGGGTCGCGGGGTACCTGCCGCCCAAGCCTAAATGCACCTGCGATCCTCGTACCTGCCCCCCTGCACGGTCCTTCCCAAGCACCACCTCCGAAAAAATATTTCAGTTATCGCACGCCTCGCCTCTCCTCCTCTCCTTTTCCCCTTCTTCTCTCCATCACACACCTTCAGTCAACCTGTGTTTCCGCGCAACGCACCGACGTCTGTCTTCCCTCAACTTGTTTCTAGGGCACCAAGCTACCCTGACCCAACTCCCTCCCTCATTGCACCAGAGTTCAAGTCCGACTCTCTTCCACAACAACACGTCATACGCCGACTATAACATCCCCTCTCCATCCGACTCGTCACCATGTCTGCTACCAACGTGGAGAAAGGCCCCGATGCCAACCCCGTTAATGACGCTGCAAACGCTCTGGGCAACCTCTCAATCAACAAGCCTGCCGATGACAAGGCCGCTGCCAACGAGGCCGCCTCGGCCAGTGCCGCTGAAGGTCGCCGTCTGTACATTGGCAACCTGGCATATGCGACAACTGAGGGAGAGTTGAAGGATTTCTTTAAGAGCTACCTTGTGTAAGTGGCCCCTCGTCGTTCACGCCTGCCTCTCTATACTTTGTCTCTACCTACCACGGCTTTTTGTCTTTTTGGCGGCCTCTTTGTTCCTGCTTGTCCTGTCAAGGCTGGTGACAAAGCACATCCCGCCTTAACGCTCTGGCGGCCCAACTTTGCGACGGTGTCCTGATTGGCGGTGAATGTCACTCCGCCCCGGCGTTGCTAGCATTGCATCACGCGATTAGCCTCTCACCTATCTCTCACCCCCGCAAGACCTTGATAGGGCGTGCCATTTGCTTGTGTCTCGGTTTTCCATCATTCTGCCGTTTCATCTACTTTGTTCTATTGCATTCCATCATACAGAGCATGTGCTGACAGCCCAATCTTTGCAGCGAGTCTGTCTCGATCCCCAAGAACCCCCGCACTGACCGCCCTGTCGGCTACGCCTTTGTCGACCTCTCTACCCCCAACGAGGCTGACCGTGCCATTGCTGAGCTCTCTGGCAAGGAGATTCTTGAGCGAAAGGTTTCTGTTCAGCTCGCTCGCAAGCCCGAGCCTGCTGGTGAGAAGCCCGAGGGCGCCAACGGAGAGGGTTCTGGCGCTGAGGGAACCCGCCGCCGAGCTTCTGGCCGTGGTCGTGGCCGTGGCCGTGGTCGCGGTGGACGTGGTGGCCGTGGTGGCCGCAATGCCACTAGCGTAAGTGTCTCCTATACTGAGCTACCATCCCACATGGTGCTGACATCATTATCATAGGAGAACGACGAGAAGAAGGAGGATGCCTCTGCTGACGCTTCCGGCGAGGCTGAGCCCCTGAAAGATATTACCAACACAGCCTCGGACGACAAGGGCGACAAGAACGACAAGAAGAACCAGAACCGCCCTCAGCGGGAGCGCCGCGAGCGTGGCCCCCCTGCTGACGGCATTCCTTCCAAGACCAAGGTCATGGTCGCCAACCTGCCCTATGACCTGACCGAGGAGAAGGTGAGTTGCGTATAGCCCATGTTTGCGAGAATGCGTGCTAAGTGATATGAGAAGCTCCTTGAACTCTTCAAAGACTACGAGCCTTCGTCAGCCAAGATTGCTCTCCGCCCCATCCCCCGCTTCATGATCAAGAAGCTCCAGGCTCGTGGCGAGGCTCGCAAGGGACGTGGCTTCGGCTTCGTTACCCTGGCTTCCGAGGAGCTCCAGCAGAAGGCCGTCGCTGAGATGAACGGAAAGGAGATTGAAGGACGTGAGATCGCTGTCAAGGTCGCCATCGATAGCCCCGACAAGACCGATGAGGAGGCCAATGCCCCCGCAGCCGCCAACGGCACCGAGGAGGTTGCCGCCGAGGCCCCGGCTGCTACTGCTTAAATTTAAGCGCGGCAATTTTTTTTTCACAGGCTGAACAGCTTGCCGCCTACGTTTGATGAGTACTCTTTATGATATGGCACGCGATTTGGACGATTTCAATTATGACGCCAGGACTGGCTTTTATATCATCTTCGGGGCTGGAAGGGAGCTACATTCGAATATTGCTTCAAGTCTTCATATCCCCAGGACGGTATAACGTGCCAGCTACTTCTTGACAAGTTAATATTTCCCCTCCGATGGAGCACGGGATTTGAAACCGAAAAAAAAAGGCCGCTTCAAAATGTTTTCTTATTTTTCGTAAATGCCTTTCCTTGTTACTATTTTCTTCTAGCTATGCGGTAACTCAAACCAAGGGCGGCAGGCAAAAAGGAAAGCGAACACGAGAATGAAAAGAGTATATTTTTGGCTGTGATTGATAATATTGCCTCTTGCTAGTGATGTTTTTGTCTCATCTTCCTCTCGAAGTCTTTTCTTTGCTCTGCATCCCTAGCATTATGTGTAGACAAGTACTGTGAGTTTGCCTTTGGTGCATGTGACGGAGGATTAATCTACAATTTGGAATTTCTTGTATATCAAGCGTCGACGGCATAGAGATAAAGGCACGACGAATGTATTTGGTGCTCTTATTAGGATAACAACTCAAGTAATCTACCTACCTGTTAGAGCTATCCTGGCTTGGCGGATGTAATTCTTGGTCCCTTGTCCGCATTGAAACACGATGCCAACCTGGGCTCAGGGCCCTTGCAAGGACATCCAGGCTACCTTGTTTGCAACATTCGAGTTGAGTCTCGCCGCCCGCTTCAAGTAAGCCGTATACGAGGAGGTTGAATATTGCACCGTGCTCATTGTGTCGCTTCAGCTTAGGATCCCGAGAATGCCATTGACGGCTCTGATGGCGATAACGGGCATGCATTGCAATGGAGACGGCAGAGGTCCATCCATCCATGCTATTTAGTGGTTGCATGTGCTAAATGATAGTGGAGGTACCTGTATCCATTTACTGGTGCAGTGTAGCAACGATAACAAGCAACCAGGCTGTGGCAAGCTCAAGGGCCAATGGTTTGCGAGCCCTGCAGAACAGTATATTCTAGGTTTAGTCAACATCCACGTTGCCCACCAGATGGATGGAATGAGATTAAATAAAATAAAATAAAAATAAATAGAAAAGACTGACAAAATAACAATCATCTCTATACAGAAACCTTGACTGGAGTCTTATATATGTTGAAAGATTGGAATACAGGTAAAGATAGTGGATGCTTCGTCCCATCACTGGTAAAGGACAGCTGCAGCAGCGCACGGCGAAATTATGGGGTTTCATGTTGGGGGCACAGCGCAAGGTTAAGAGGCCCCGCTCCCCTTGCCGCGACAACCTCCCTGCTGCACCAAGACCAAACATCACGCGCCAGGGCCGTCGAGTCGTTGGAGGAACCCGACGCCTTTTGTTTTGCTACCACCCGCAGTCGCTGCTTTTCTTTTTCCTTTTTCTTCTCCTCTCTACCAACGCTCCTCGTCAGAAACGCAATGGCTTCCAAGGCCATGTGGGAGGTCGATCCCGAGACCCGGTCCAAGGTACGGCGCATCTCCCTTCCAACTTGCACCTCGTCCCCCCTTTCGCGAGCCGGCGCATCGTCTGCTCTGGCAGGGGCCCCCGATGAACAACGACTGACCTGATTTTTGATTGTGCTACTCCAGTTGGCTGCTCTGCAAAAGGAATCCAAGAACAATGTCTGCTGCGACTGCAATGCCCCGTCGCCACAGTGGGCGTCGCCCAAGTTTGGCATCTTCATCTGCTTGACGTGCGCCGGCGTCCACCGCGGGCTCGGCGTCCACATCTCCTTTGTCCGAAGCATATCCATGGACGCCTTCAAGGCCAACGAGATTGAGCGCATGCGCCTGGGCGGCAACGAGGGCTGGAGGAAGTTTTTCGAGGAGCACGAGGACACCAAGATGAGGGGACTTACCTGGGACGATGCCACCATTGCCGAGCGGTACAGCGGCGAGGTTGGCGAAGAGTGGAAGGAGAGGCTGTCATGCAAGGTCGAGGGACGAGAGTACGTTCCCGGCGAGAAGAGGCCCGTCACCACACAGTCGACTCCCGCCGCTGCGAAGCCGTCTACCCCCCTCGGCGGCTCCGCAAACCGAAGCCAGAGCCCCCAGCAGGGCGGAAAGGTCAAGGTGGACGACAAGTATTTCGCCAAGCTGGGAGCAGACAATGCCTCACGGCCCGATGGCCTTCCTCCCAGTCAAGGCGGAAAGTATGCCGGCTTCGGAAATATGCCTACTTCTAACCAGTCCAGCCAGGGAGGTATAATGCCGGGGTTTGACGATTTGCAAAAGGACCCAATGGGCGCCATTACCAAGGGATTCGGCTGGTTTGCCTCCACCGTGTCCAAGACTGCTAAGACGGTGAATGATGGATACATTCAGCCCACCGCGAAGAGCGTGAGTATTTTCCCCACTTGTTTCTATGAGTCCCGCTCTCCTGATGACCAGCAATTACTCTACGGAAGCTAACTCTTTTGTTTTCCCTCTTTCTAGATTGCCGATGGTGAGTTTGCCAAGCAGGCCCAGTTGACGGCCGCCCAGCTTGCCAAACAGGCACAGCTTGCCGGCAAGAACGCACAAGAGGGCTTCACCAGATTTGTCGAAGGCCCCGAGTCTACCAAGCGAAACGCACCTCTGGATGCTAGCCGCAAGGACTTTTGGGATGACTTCTCCAGCTTAGCTGAACAGCAGAAACCGAACAATGCCATCGGCACAAGTGCTATAGGCATGGGCAAGAAGACGGCTCCGGGAGCCCCAGCCCAGAAGCCCAAGAGTGGCGACGAGTGGGATGATTGGTAAACAGTTGAAATGATTTCATGTTTGCTGGCGTTGGAGTACTATGGCCTGAAGAGATACACTTTTTTGACGAAATATGAGCGTTTGGAATAAATTGACAAGACGATAGCCGTCATCCAAGACACGATGGCCCATATACCAATTATGACGAGTGGCCTCGAGGCGAATCCAGGGCGTTGAACGAGCCTGGATGGAGCAACGACATGATGAAAGCCGCTGAGACAAGCCTGCTATAGAGGTATACACCATCTTATATGTATACCTGCTGCTCAGACCACAATAAGAGGGTATTACTGGGGAAGATTGCGGCTGGAGGAGAAAGATTCATGTATATACAAGATGCATCTAAATATTAATTCATTTTTCCCATTCAATATTATTTCCATGGCTTCTTCCCCTTGCCTGCTGTTGAAATAAGTGAAAATGATCGTCTTTCTGTCTCTAGCCCGACGCCGGGATCAATGTCACGTGAGTGAGTATCCGAGGTTGCACGGGAGCCGGCCCTAGCCGGCAGCTGTAAGGTCTCGGTCTCTTGGCCCGGCTATTTCATACTCGTATGTCGAGATCGGGAACGTCCCTCATTCTGGTCACATCCAACCCATCAAATATCCAGAAACAACAATGTCTGCCCTGCGGATTCTCGTCCCCGTGAAGCGAGTCATTGACTATGCTGTAAGAAGAGTCCCGGCTTCCAATGTTCGCTGTGAGGAGTGAGGAGCATGTCAATTGACCAAGATGGTGAAAACAGGTCAAGCCGCGAGTCAACAAGGCCCAGACGGGCGTGGAGACGGCCGGCGTCAAGCACTCGATGAACCCGTTCGACGACCTCTCCGTTGAAGAGTCTGTTCGAATCCGCGAAAAGAAGCGCGCGCCCGGCGGCGTCGAAGACATCTGCGCCTTCTCGGCCGGCCCGCCCAAGGCGCAGGAGATCCTGCGGACGGCCATGGCCATGGGCGCGGACCGGGGCATCCACGTGGAGATCAAGGACGGCGAGGAGCTGGAGCCGCTGACGGTGGCCAAGCTGCTGAAGAAGTCTGTGGAGGAGCAGAAGAGCAACCTAGTGATCCTGGGCAAGCAGAGCATCGACGACGACGCGGGGCAGACTGGGCAGATGCTGGCGGGTTTGCTTAACTGGCCGCAGGCGACGCAGGCGAGCAAGATTGAGTTTGGAGAGAATGACTCCGTGACGGTGACGAAGGAGATTGATGGTGGCGTGGAGACGGTGAGGGCGAAGTTGCCGATGGTGATTACGACGGATTTGCGGTTGAATACGCCGCGGTATGCTACGCTGCCTAATATTATGAAGGCGAAGAAGAAGAAGCTGGATAAGAAGACGCTTGAGGACTATGGATTGACGAATGACAAGAGGCTGAAGGTGTTGAAGGTTACAGGTACGTTGAGATACAGTTTCTATATGGCTGTGTTTTCCTCCCCATACTAGTATTGATGCGATATGGATGATATGAGGCTAATTAATGTGTGATGAACAGAGCCACCGCAGAGACAGGGAGGCGGCAAGGTTGAGGATGTCGATGGGTTGATTGGCAAGCTGAAGGAGCTGGGCGCTCTGTAAAAGGGGGGAAATGCGTACATTGTAGATTTGGTATACCTCCACGGCTGGTTATGAACTCGAAGTTGCATTTACGCCTATGGTAGACTATTATTACACAGGAAATGATATATCAATCTGACGTCTCCTAATCTTGGAAAACTCAAGTAACTCGAGTCAAGTCTTTTCTCTACCGAAATGCACTGCAATTGACCGTATACTGAATCAGTGCTTCGGTGTTGTTCCAATCTGCCCCGCCATCATCAATCTATCCGTCTCTAGTATGTCATGCCGCAACTCAGATCCAATGGCTTCACAGCAGTTGTTCGCATATGCATGTACACAACCATGTAACTCACGCCCTATCACCCAGATAATGCCACCAACATCCCACGCCCTTCTGCATCTCCAACCTCGTCTTCCACCCGTCTTTTCTCTTCTTCTCCCGCAAATCCCGCCCCCAATTTCAATGACTGCATTGTCATAATAGGGCACACGAGCCACAACGATATCGGCGCCCCAGAGCTCGCCCAAACAGGACAAGCCGCACTTGTCAAGGTGGCACTAACACGCCAAACCCGGCCAAACCAGCCAACCATTGGCCAGCAATTAATCTCTTGCTCCAAATTCATCATTGCGCTGAAAAAAAAAGGTCGATGGCACTAAACTATTATCTGACCCCTCCGATGCACCCTTTTTTTCCCTCTCCTCTTTTTTCTCTTCTCTCTTTTTTCTTTCTTCTTTTCATCATCTGTCAGAAGAGTCAACAGTCCAATCGCACCTTGTGCAAACATTCACATCAACCCAATCCAATCTACCATCTAGAGTGCCTTGTGCCTCGTTTATATATCTTCGACTTGCCGTTTCTCAATCCGCCCTTATGAACGGGCGCCCGTCGGAATTCACTTCTCAGGTATGTGACTCTTTTTTGATGTCGTTTTGTGCTGTGATGTACACGGCTCCCCACGTGTCCTTTTACATACAACTCCATTCTCCCCCACATTGGGCAGCTTTGGAAGAGCCCTCGTTTGCTTATATCATAAAATTCTGCATCAATTGCTTTCAAAATGCTAATATTGTGTGTTTTACAGGACTATCTCTCTGGTTGGTGCTACCATGACTCACCCCCTCATGATGTAAACTAACAACAAGCTTCACAATAGACCACCTGTGGAGGGCCTTGTCAGCTTAAAATATCTGCCTCCCACCACCTGTCATTTACCAAAGAAAACCAAACACCGAACCTAATCCGAACTCGCCGCTGCCATGTTCTCCAAGCTGGCAGCTAATTTCGCCCAACGAGCGGCTGGCTCTGCCACGAGCGCCTCTCGCCGGGTGGCTTTCCAGACCCGATTCTCGTCTAGCCAGACGCTTGCCAATGGCAGCAAGGGCAGGAACATGCCTTTTGCGCAGCCATTGGCAACTCAGCCTGCTGGAACTGTGCCCGCTACATTCACCATTCGAGTAAGATGCGCCATATATGTTCTCCTAGCACATATACATCGCCTATATAAACCATGTACTGACATGATTGTCTCACCAGGATGGCCCCATCTTCCGCGGCAAAGCCTTCGGCGCCAATGCTAACATCTCTGGCGAAGCCGTCTTTACTACGTCCCTGGTTGGCTATCCCGAGTCCATGACGGACCCCTCCTACCGTGGCCAGATTCTCGTCTTCACCCAGCCCCTGATTGGCAACTATGGCGTTCCCTCTAACGAACGTGACGAGTACAACCTCCTCAAGTACTTTGAGTCTCCCCACATCCAGTGTGCCGGTGTTGTCGTCTCCGATGTCGCCCTCAACTACAGCCACTGGACCGCTGTCGAGAGTCTGAGCGAGTGGTGTGCCCGTGAGGGCGTCCCCGCCATCTCCGGCGTCGACACTCGAGCCATTGTCACCCACCTCCGAGAGCAGGGTTCTTCCCTCGCTAGGATCTCCATTGGCGACGAGTACGATGCTGATGAGGATGAGAGCTTCGTCGACCCTGGCCAGATCAACCTGGTCAAGCGCGTCAGCACCAAGGCTCCCTTCGTGGTTGAGTCCCCCGGTGCTGACCTCCACATCGCCCTCATCGACTGCGGTGTCAAGGAGAACATTCTCCGCAGCTTGGTCAGCCGAGGCGCCTCGCTCACCGTCTTCCCCTACAACTACCCAATCCACAAGGTCGCCCAGCACTTTGACGGTGTCTTCATCTCCAACGGCCCTGGTGACCCTATCCACTGCCAGGAGACCGTCTACAACCTTGCCCGTCTGATGGAGACCTCCAACGTCCCCATCATGGGCATCTGTCTCGGCCACCAGCTCCTGGCCATGGCCGTCGGCGCCAAGACCATCAAGATGAAGTACGGCAACCGAGCCCACAACATCCCCGCCCTCGACTTGACCACCGGCCAGTGCCACATCACCAGCCAGAACCACGGATACGCCGTCGACTCCAGCACCCTGCCCAACGACTTCAAGGAGTACTTTGTCAACCTCAACGACGGCAGCAACGAGGGAATGATGCACCGCACCCGCCCCATCTTCTCAACCCAGTTCCACCCCGAGGCCAAGGGCGGCCCCATGGACAGCTCGTACCTGTTTGAGAAGTACCTCGAGAACGTCCGCGCTGCCAAGAGCGCCCAGCAAGTCTACAAGGACAACCGACCTAGCCAGTACATCCTTGATGTCCTGAGCAAGGAGCGTGTTGGTGTCGAGCCTGTTCCTCTTGTCGGCCTTGCTTAGAGCAGTGCCGAACTTTAGGAAATGGTCTATTTGGATCTTGAGGGGTTTGCGTTTTGGGCGTTTTAAAGTAATAGGGAACTTCAGATTGTTTCATGGTCCTTGCTTTTAATTCTAGTTGATTTTAACTAAAAAGAATTACAATTATTTTATATCACTTATAATTGAATATCGCTTGTGACTATTTCGTGAGGATCCTTCCAATAGTAGATGAAATTTTAAGCGAGATCTCAAAAAGTGCTCGAAATGCTTAAAATTGCAATTGACACAAGTCCTCTTATCAGAAGATCACCGGATCATCTCAACATAAACAAGACTCATACATGTTTATACATAGGTATCCTACATTAATTCATACACGCATATAGATCCTCAACCGGGATCCAATGCAAAAGCAAAAGCCACAGGGGGCCAAACATCGCAAAAAACCTTCATATCCATCTTCCCTCGTAAAAAAAACCCTCCGTGTTGCCACCCTATTATTATAACCCTGTATATTATCCCCTCCCCCTTAAACGCCATCAAGATTTGATAAATTCCATCATCCATGGTATCCCCCCTCTCAACTTCCCACGTCACACAGCACGATAACCCGTGGTCGGGTCGTTCTAGTCCCAGCTACTCGTAGGATACCCACCACCAGTGCGTCGGCTGGGGCCCGCACCGCTAGGGACATATCGATCGCCTCGGGACCGAAAGGGCGGTGTTCCTCTTCGTTGCCGAGGGCCGCTTCCGCGTCCGGCACGGCGTTCAGCTTCACGATGAGGAGGTCGAATGCCCTCGAAGATCTCTCTGCCGCGATCCACGAAGTTGTCGCCGCCTTCAAAGGAGTAGCGGTTGGAGTTGAAACCAGGACTCGAGTCCTCATTGCTGTAGACTGATATGTTGTCCAGACGGCGCCGGGCAACACTCTCTGCTACCGCCTGGTATGGGATGTGTGGACGGGCCTTGGTCCTTTCAACAACATGGTCCAAAGAGCTGGCGGTAGATCGCGGACCTGCTCGCCTTCCTCGTGGCCCGGTAGGTGGCGGGCGCATCGTCTCAGAATCCCACTGTCGACTGCGGTCACCCTCGACATCCCTTCCCCGAGAGCGATCCCCCTCGCCCTCATCCTCACGATACTGGTCGCGGCCACGCTGCGCCCGAGGGCCAATGGGCATAGCATTGGAACTTCCAGGCCCAAACTGGGGCAGCGGCGGTCTAGTAGCAGCAGCCGGTTCTGGCTGTCCCGTTCTCGACGCAAATGTAGATTCCACCAAAGAGGCCTGGACATCAGGTCCATCAGTATAAACCACCTGCCAACGAATCGACGACCGTCTACCGCCAGCCTCTTCCGTCTCGATCCATTCGTCGACTTTTTCGGAGGGAATAAAGTCTACTGATAGCGCCTTGCGGTTGCTCTCATTCGGCCAGACGGTGTCGTGCAGTGCTTTGCGAACTCGTTGGGCGGTGGCCACCGAGTCAAAGGCGACAAAGGCATGAGTACGGATCTGATCTAGGTAAAATCTAGCAATGGGGTCCTTAGCGGCGTCAGAATCATTCGTGGCTGCAAGGCTGACGAGATGGTTCTGCAGATCATCGGGGCGCAATGGGCGCATCAGATTGCTAATGTAGATTGAGGTAGTAGGGAAGTGCTGCGCCGGCTCCACGCTCCTCTCTGTCTCGACGGGCTGAACGTCTTCCATGGCAGAGGGCTGTTCTTCGTGAGAAGCGCTTGTCATGTCAATATCCGCCTCGTTCGGTTTGTCTGCGACGGGGGCGACATCCTCATGGGTGGTGTTATCGACGCGTGCACGTTTTTGTGCAATGTCTTCTTCGGTGGGAAGCGGGCTGTGAGAACGTCGCTTGCGCTTCTGAGCTTCCGGCGTCGGTTCGATAGAAACCTCTGCAGTGGGAACCTGTGAGGGCTCCTGTGTGGATTCTTGTGTGGGTTCTTTTGGCGCGGGGGAAGCAGTTCGTTCAAGGGGCTCTTCTTTGCCAGCTGGCGGGTGGCTGTCAACAGCCGCCTCGCTACCCTTGCCAGCATCGCCTTCTGGGGCTTCAGAGGGGTTCTCGACAATTGACACAGTTGGCTCAGGCTCAGCTGGCTCAGACTCAGCTGGAGCTGGAACTGGAGGCGCAATGCGATCCTCGGTTGGCAGCGCAGGCTTGGTTTCCTGGCCGTCATCGGCCGTTTGCTCGAGCGCTGGAGTAGGGTCCCTCGCGGGAGAGCGTTGTGCGGCGTCGACATTGTCTTCTTCGACAGCTGCCGGTTCATTGGACTCTTCTGGTGGGTTCTCGCCTCCCTCCTGCGCTGCCTCTTTGTCGGCAGCCTCCAGTCGCGCAACTAGCTCTGCCTTGAGGCCAGCATAGGGCAGACCGCGACTCTTGAGCTCTGCTTTGAGGTCGACGACTTTGAGTCCCGACCAGTCCACCATGGTGATGTATTTAGTAGATGCACCGCGGCACCTACTGTCGGCGGCTCGAAAGGGAGTAGAAGGGCGGCCGTTTGTTGCTTGCTTGCTTTCAGATGCTTGGGCGAAAGGGGGCGATTGCGGCAGGCGGCGGAGCTTTTTGGATGCGGTAATGCGCGATGACAAAGCTGACTAGGGCCAAATAGAAGAGATGGATAGAAATATTAGTCTTAGGCGACGAGATAAAATGCAGTTGTGAAGGCAGATGCGAGTTGAAAAAAGCTGCTTTTTCTCGCCGTCGGTTGAGGGAGAAAAGCTGCCAGGCGCGTCGCGAAAAGCGTTGGACGGTCAAATGCTTGTGAAGCTCGATGCGCTGCCCCTGCAGGGCTCCAGTTCAGCTGCATTTTTTGGGCCAAGCGGACGGGCCAAATCGTGATTACATAAACGTGTGGGTATTCCCACTCTGGCCTAGCGCGTATCCATGCCACTTCCATTTCACTTCCATTTGTACTTTGTGTTTTGTATATCTTTTCACTTTTGTGCTCGAGTCTACACAAGACGTCAAGGTTTTGTATTACGGCGCATGGCTGCATAACGTACTGTAGCACCTCGGTAGTCCATTTCCTGCAGGTGATTTCAGTTTCTGTCTTAGCTGTAGCTTTGAAGCTCTGGCTGGTTGGACGCTGCATCCCCTCGTGACCACTTGCTGCGAGCGACACTGCCATGTCCGCATTTGTTTAGTTTGGCCTTTGGGTCTCGACACAGGCACTTGTACGTACTGCGGCTATTTTCTACCTGGTACCCAAAGTACAGACTACATGTCATTTACGATGAGCTCAGTTAGTACTTGCTGCTGTTGCTGCTTCTATTCTTGCAGTACCACTGGCTTCATCAGAAGCTGCAGCATCATATTACTGGTCCCGTGAGGTCCAGGTCAGATGTTTGCTTGCCTGGCAATTGAGTTTGACTCTTGGGCGGATCTCAATGACGTGAAGCAAGAAAACAGACAAAACCGCTGCGAAAAGTATACTCGTGAATACAGGCACTTACTAAGGGAAAAGGAGCAAGCAGAGCATGGATTCCCACCAGGATCCGATCCGCTTCAACCAAAATGCAGGCCTAGCAAGGTTCCCCGCTTCAACTCAATCAATACCGGTGCATCGCTGGCTAAAATTCATCGAGACCCGGCTCGAGGTGAGCCAAAGTGGGGTTTCTCAAAGTATTACTCCGGAGTAGGGGCAAAAGCTTGTCCCCGCTTTGTTTGACGTTTGAGTGTTTGCTCTGCTTTGCTTCTCTCGTGAGTGCTGTGGCAGCTCATGGATTAGAGACAAACAAGGTGATAAACAGGTGGTGATGATGACATCAATCTATAGAGAAGTCAAAACAAATAAAAATTAAAAGAGTTCCAGATTCATTTCATTCGTTTCCTAATACTACAGCTAGTTCTTCAATGAACACGGCGGATGCTATAACATCGACCCGCAAGATTTACTACACAGCCAAGCTTTCGCTGGCGATTAATATGGCGCCTATATTGTTGCCATTCACACGTCGAGGCCGTCGACGACGACTCCCTTGTTCCAGGTCCACTGCAGGAGCCTGGCCACCTCTTCCGCACACTTATCATCCACCAGGGCGCTGACAAGATACAAGGATGCATCTATGCCAGCGCTCTGACCCCCCGCGGTGATCACCCGAAGACCACCGAGGCGCATCGCCGCACGTCTGACGATTGACTCACGACGTGTGTTGGACTCCTTGAAGGAGATGCTTCCCTTGCTGTTGTAGAAAGGCATAATTAGCAAACAAATCGACTTGTAGATGTAGAGTTCACAATGGTGTAACGACTTACCGGCCGTGAGGTCGTCCAGCATCGGACGCGCGGCGTGTGTATGGGCTTTCGTCTTCGCCAAGCTCGAAGCGAAGGTTGTTGACGACATATCGGGCATCCTCAATGACGTCGGTGCGTTCAGTCAAGAGTCGGGTAGCAGCATCGCTGCAGAGGTTCTCAAATTTGGTAAAGTAGTCGGAGTGAGTAGTGGCAGAGAGGCCACAGAGGATACCCTCTCGGGCAAGCAGATGTGAGCCGGTGCAGATGGACAAGAGGGTTCGTTCTCTGGCCGGATCCTTCTTCTGAAGGTCGGAAAAGGCGGTGATGAGGCCAAGAGGCTCAAGCTCCTTCTTGATGATCTCATCGACGTTTCCGCCGAGGATGACGAGAACGTCAAACTCATCGAGGCGCTCATGAGCCTCTCGGAAGGTGATTTGGGACTGCACAATGGGGCCCTGGGCGGAGAGAACCTGGGGCTCACTGCCGGCAAGAGTCACTTCAAATGCTTTGGTGGCTGTTTGAGATGCGGGGAAAGCTGGTTAGCATTTGGGTCCAACCCAACCTTGACGGCCTCACAACAGCATGTACGTACAATCATCGCCAAAGTCATGCTGGGCTTGGCAGAAAGTAGCCAATGGCCCTGCAAAGTCAAGCATGTCAAACTTGGGATGCAGAGCAAAGAGGACGTCGATGGGTTCCTGGTCAGCAATAGCTGAAGTCTTATTCGCAGCCATCTTGAAATGCGGGGGAGATGTGTGTTTGAGAAAGACAAGAAGAGTGTGGGTGATTCAGATGGAATTGACGGCTTGGAAGTGTAAGCCGACAGCGTATGATACGACTTGAGGAATGAAGAGGAGGTGGACGTCTCTGACGCTTTCAATTGGGATGTTTTGAGGGTATAATTGAGATGGATGAGGAGAAAAAAGAAGGAAGAAGGAAGGAAAAACCAAAGTTCGAGGAGCAGAAGAAATAGGGCCGTAGCTCCAAGAGAGGGGGAAGCGAGGAGGGGCACGAGGGAGGAGATCACGCGAGGATGGAATGGACACTGTACGGTAGGTGGCGCGCTGCTCACCCCGGGCACCCGAGCTTAAGAGATGATCAGCACATAGAGGCACATGATGCCCACATAAAGGCCGCGCTAAACTCCTCGTACAGTAGCAGTCACTACCTGTAGGTCGTAGGTCAATTAATCTTCTTGCGCACTTCCAGTCGCCTACCAATTGGTAGTAATTGCCGATACCAATCTACAAACCGCATCAAACCGGTATTGCCATTGTTCTTTTCTCTCTCCGTCGTTTACTGCCAGACTTCGGTCTGTTGAGTATGCGCGGGAGTCCATTCGTTTATTGCTTTTATTTCGGATATTATCATCATCGGTCTGCTTGTATGGGAAGAGATTGAAGGGCTAGGTTGACAAAACGAAACAACAGGTCCCTGAAGTAGATGATATTGGTTTAGCCCCTATGCTACGAGAGAAACCACTGGCATAGCGAACCATACCAAGTGATCTGCATTTATATAAGTGTTTATTCTAAACGCCCAGTCCCTTTTATATCTTGGCCCCCATCTCAATGTCTCCTTTGCAGTATTTACATGGACCATGATGTTCCTCACCTCACATCTTTGTTCCCAATCCCGTAATCTCTTCTCTACCAGCTCCGCTTCTCTAAAATTTCCTTGAGTCTGTGATCTCTGCCTGAGGTGTTTACCATGATCCCGTGATCTTTCCCGTGATCTTTTCCTTAAATATCTCTTCGCTCGCTCCTCTTCCCTCATCTCTCTTCCCTCGCATCTTGCTACACGTTACGGATGGGAGTCATGACATCCACTCGACAAATCAGCATCTCCATTACACATCAATTTTTCGCTAGAGCTGTTGCGAAATGGCGAAATGGAATGATATATGGTACACAATTCAAATATGGATTTCTCTCGAAATGTTTGAGATGAGCTACCATCCAAGGATGTCACTTCGCGATGTGAGAATGGGAGCAGGGAAGGAGACGACGTGCTCCTTCCCAAACTCCCGCAACGGATAAGCGAAGACACACAATTTTTTTTCATGACCTCAAAATTTTCCACTTGTTCTATTGAATGTATACATCTTGAACAGCCAAACGAATCGGATCGACAATCTGTTAAGCTGGCTACTGAAGAAAACCACATACACCGACACAATGGACACAAAACAAGGAGATCTGGTGCCAATCTCAGAAGAAGAAGTTCTGGTGCTAAGCGCATTGAAAGAGACAGGGTTGCCATCTGATTTCTTTTGGAGTGATAATTGGCTGCGTGTACTCTTGGGAAAGACAAATGCAACTATGGAGTTGAGAAGCAGAATTGAACAGTTTCAGGAGAGGTATACACCCAGCGTCCAACTTCCTTGCACTTGGTACTAATTATGCCATTGAATAGTATTCGAATGCGAGAGTTTCCACAGTCTCTCATTGATATAACAGCCTTTTGCAATGATATGGACCGACAGAGTTGGCATTCACATGATGCTACTATCGATGTGCTTTGGGACAAATATCTTGCAGATGTGAAACAGTGCAACAATCAACTAAACACTGATGTAATGGTAAAGCCATCTGGCCCCTATGGAGCAATTTTATATACTCAATGGTATGCTTATTTTGACTGCGTTGTCCTACCTCACTGACACTTATTAGGCACTATCCCACGTTCACGACCAAGAAGACCAACCTCTATTGTGGCCATGTCATGGTATGCCTTTGTATTCCGTTTTGTTCACTTAGCGAGACCTAACATATTATTAGGATCCAAGTAATCCCAGTTTGCTCCAACAATTCCTAAAACTTGGATGTCCACCGACTGTACTATCATCAGACATGCTCCCAATTAGATCCGACTCATGCAACCCTAGCTGGACAAAAATCCACAACTGGGATCAAATCTCTCGGCTAAGTAAAGCATTTAATTATGCCTTAATGAGAAGATCACCCATTGTTTTACTTGTTGGTCAAGCCGCTTTCGACACATTTGATGAGTATTTACGTCAAGACCAAAGCCTTCATCTCACTAAGGTTCGAATTTTTATGCCTCGGACGCTCGGCAGACAACCCTTTTTCTATGCAGTGTCGGAGAAAAAGTCATCTGAGATCCAGCAACTGGTCTTTTTCGTTCAACATGGCAGCCACTTTGTATATGGGGCTTCTATTAAGGCAGGACTCTACGCCGACTTGGTATAGAATACCGTGGCGGGTATTGCAGACATTCCCATCCAGCGAACAGATCACTTCACTAGGATGGCACTTCCAAATAACTCATCTCTAGAGAGCAAAAGAAAGAGGTACAAAGAGCTGGGCTATCCTGGCCTCGTTAAGGCCCGACAAAAGCGAGTTGAGAATTGTGAGGAAAGGAAAGCTGAAAAGGCCCGACAAAATCAAGTTGAGAATTGTGAGGAAAGGAAAGCTGAAAAGGCCCGACAAAAGCAAGTTAAGCTGGAAAGGAAAGCTGAAGAGGACCGACAAATTGAGCTGGACCGACAATGGATAGCTGAGCTGGACCGACAAAAGCAAGCCGGGCTGGGTCCAAAGGCGCTAGCCGCGCTGAATTTCGTCAAGGCCCGGAAAAAGCAAGATGAGCTGGACAACCACAATCTCCTCAAGGCCGGCGCAACCTTTCAGATAATAGCTACTCGTTCCAGGGACCTGGCACGTCTTTATACCCTCTTCTTGTCCTATGAGATACAGCATTTGCTTTCGAAGCCTGCGAGCTTTTACGTCGAGGATAATGTCAAGGCCATATTTCTGCACTATAGAGATTTTCATCACTGGTCATTAAAATGGGATGATTTGTCTAGATGGGTAAAGGTTTCTTACATAAAGAGAATCCAGAATACCTATCGCGAATTCCAGGACTTCCAAGCTTTAACAGCAAAATTCGAACAGCTGAAGACAAAACCTCGATACAATGTTCTTAATAAATACGCACTCTGGTCCGATAGGGATCACGATTTGGATCAGCTTTGCAAAACCGACAATATCGGCTGGGAACCTCATCCAGCGGTAACGATTTTCTGGCCTGGTTCTTTGAAACGCCTGAGGGAACAGTCGAAGACGGGTTCAAACACGAGCCGATTAGCCAGTAACTCTTCAGATGCCGGCTGCAAGCGAAATAGAGAGTCCAGCGACAACGCAGCAGAAACAACACAGGCACATGCTGCTGCATTACCTCAGCCGCCGGCAAAACGCACCAAGATCGCGATATCCGATTTAATCCATCCAATTGACCTCTCTTAAGGAGACTCCCGTGCCGATTCCCATTATTCCTACTAGTCGACCCAAGAATTCTTAATCTCTATGTACAACCAATTTTGACAATAAGTTAGTTCTGATTTCCTGCAGGTAAAAAACGTTCTACTTCATGTATTTAATATCTGGCTTCATGTCTTGATCTCGACGGCACTGGAAGTCTCATTTCGCAATAGCTTTAGCGGAGGGTACATAGCTAATTAATCAACGAAGACACTTCGGATTTCTCAATACAGTAACATGGTTTTATTGAAGCCAAGAGAACGCACCATGCGTCATTGTAATTATATGCAAACTTGACCAAAGCTCTAGCGAAATGACGACCAATTACTGCATCTCTTGGGGAAAAAGCAAGGGGGGCAAAAGGGAATCCCCTATAAAATCATTATTTTAAACATAAATCACGAGTCACGAAGCGCGTTGGAATAGAGCTCAAGAGAATTTGATTCAGCAAAATAACCTCCCCCGCCAACTCCCGCCAATCCGGTCGCTCCTTTTAGTTAGTGAACTATATGATGTATATAGTTTAATCTTCCAAAATTGCAATGCCATGCTAGTTTTCTTCCTCATCCATGCTATTGTCCTCCCCCATATCAGCATACTCATCAGCAGAAGCGAACTCCTCACCACCGTCGTCTTCATCTAGCTCCCCTGATAACTCATCTGCATCAGCAAGCGAAGCATCAAAAGAGTCCAGCGACGTTGGCTCTTGTTGCCGCGCCTGTACCGAAAGATTCAGCCTCTCCTTCCGATCTTGTTCCTCTTCCTTCACCTTAACCCGCCTGATGCTCCTGTCAAGCTTGTCCTCAAGGGACTGGCGTAAACGACCCTCCTCATAACTCAACCAAGCCTCCATCTGGTCCATGCTGTAATCCTTGATTAGCTCAAGGAGCCCAACGACGACCCAGTCATTGTTCCGGGTCCAGAAAACAGACGGTCGTTCCGAATTCATCACCAGTTTGGCGACAGCCGACAGGATTATCCCAAGCTTCCTGGCTTCCAATGAGTAGTATGACAGACTCGCACCGTCTCGGTCCCAGAGCACTACCTAAGCATATCTGTTGAAAGAGTGGTGAAAATACGAGCGCATCAGCTCGAACAATACAATCTCTCGAAGCGCTCCTTCAAGCCAACTTGGCAAGTTGCACTCCGCAGACAATTGGCGGGCCCATTTTGTCAGCATTACTCTCTCTTGGTGATCATGGAAAGTGTCCTTCACTTTAAGGTTGTGCCAAATAACCTGATGTTGCTGTCCGAGACGATTGAGCCGCCCATGAGTTTGCAAGATTATCTTCGCGCTGAAATGAAGAGTTGCGAGAATACCTATGTGGCACGCTGTGTGAAGATTAACCCCCGTGGACATTATATTAATGTTTGCAACGAAGACTTGGGCATCTGAAGTTGGGTCGCAAAAGAGCCTTATCGCCTCGATTTTTGCGCCGGGCTTATCCGACGATCGTACTGTCAATGTATTGAAGCCAGCCATCAAGAGCGTTGCATACGTTATTCTATCTGCGAGTTAGCCACAGTCCTTTGGGGTTGTCTTGAGGTAGGTATCAAAGTGCCATTTCGCTACAGCTTTAGCGATTAATTTGGCTACAGCTTTACTGAAATGACGGCAAAGCTCGAAGATGCATCGAAGTGTCATTTCAGTAAAGCTTTAGCCAAATTAATCGCTAAAGCTGTAGCGAAATGGCGCCCGAGGGGAGTTCGTTACTTACTGTTGTATCCAAGGGGTGTCTATGTAGACCACCACTCGCTTTTGGTTCTTGATGACATAGTCATGGCACAGCTCTATTATCCTGGCCAACATGGGGCTCGAGGCGGTCAGCCATCTCAGCCAGCCGATCCGTTCCGCGGGCGCAATGACATCAGGATCAAGACATGACCTAGTGAAGACGTAATTGAGGCCGCAATTATTATCAAACCCGAGCAGTTGTTGTAAATGCTCAACGCCCACCATGGGCATGTCGTCCTTGTTGGCGCGCTGGAAAAGCCGTTGTTGTTGGCTTTTTGTGATTGGCTGAGAATCGCGCACGCTGACAAGCGCCTTCGAAATGTTAGGGATATCTCTGCCAAAGATCTCGTCCACGTTCGTGTAAAGGATCTTCAGGTTCCGAAAATCAAAAGCCACCAGAACACCCTCTCTGTAGGCACTAAAGTTGATTGACGCCTCGCGGTCAGATGGGTTGATGATGCCTTGCGGCGAAGCGGTGAATTCTTGCAAAGTATTGCTTGCCATCAAAAACATATTTTTGGCAGCGTCGCGACCATGTTTTCGGACGAGATTCTTGCGGGTTTTGTCGAAATTTAACTCTTCGCTTATTATTTTCATGGGTAGCATGTCTGCCGATGGAAAGCACACTTCGCCGTTGGGCAGAAGAAGTCGAGATCGCTGAGTGCGCCGAAGCGAAACGGCCCGAAGGATGGCAGATATGACGTCTTTCCCAAAGGCAGAGGACCACTCCGCCTCGCGCCCAACTCTCTCCACAAAGAAAGGATTCAGTTGCCATATCTTGACACCGTCCTGCAGAAACTTCTTGACTTTTCCCCAGTATTTGGAAGGATGCTCCTCGATGAAACTTCGGGAGAGTATCCCTCGCGTCTTGCGGCGGCTATCGAAGACATTCCACTCCTTCTCAGGGTCATAGTCTTCCCGCCAAAGCCCCTCCAGATATCCAATCTCGCTATTGCGCAGTAGCGGCATGTCAATCCCAAATCTAGGCCACATCAGATGTAGTGGAGAAAGGATGTCCTGGAGGCTACTCATTAGTGGTGTTCCAGTTACCCACATCAGCCACCTCCAGTTCAAAAGCCGAAATGTGCGGTTATAGATTGAGTCCACGCGTCTGGCCAGATGTGCCTCGTCGACAATGAGGAAGCCCCATCGAATTTCTTGAACAGCGGGGCGTCTCAGTCTGTACTTGACAATGTTGCCATCAGGCTGAATGTCATCGTCCTCAGATAGAAAATGGTGTCTTCTTTTTTGGAGCTCAGGGTCATCTTCGGACTCGTAACGTGGAACTCGTTTGCTTGCATCAAACCGCTTTTTGATCTTTTTTGAGACCATCTCTTCGAGATCCATCCAGTCGTCTTCGCTTCCAGATGATTCCTCTTCCTGGGCTTTACGTCTGTTCCTTGAAGGACCTGCCCGCCGTTTGGGTTTGGCGCCTGTTTGGCGCCGTTCCAAAAACACAAATCGTTTTTCCTCACGAACCACTTCTCTCTGATGCAGAGTCGGATAAGTGGTTACTACAACAATTTTGCCGGTCTATAAAAAATGTCAGAGTTGCTCTACAAAGTTGGCAGTTTGAACTCACCTCTGGATCAGATTGATCAAGGTTGCGCAATTTGGTCAAGAACTCGGCCTTTTGCAATATGGTTGCGCCATCGAACCGTTTGGAGTCCGATTTTGAGCCGTAGTAGAGCCATATAGTAAGACCTGGGAAGTTTCTTTTCAACTCCCGGTGCGTCTGATGAATTGTTGGAACTGGATTCACAAGCAAGGTGGGGTAGTAAAGTCTCGGCTTTCCCTTTCCAGCTTTATTTTGTGATTCGACCAGGCGAGCCCGACATTCGATTGTGGCAGCAAAGACCTTAGTCTTGCCAAGACCCATCTCATTGCTGAAAAAAACATGACCCAAAGTCTCCAACTTCGCGAAAATGAAGCCTAAATCTGATGAATGTTAGCATGATTCGAATAGCCTCAAGTGCACTTCAAGGTGGCATTTCGCAAAAGCTTGAGCGAAAACCCGCCAGAAGTCGAGGGATCTTAAGGCGCATTTCGCTCAAGCTTGAGCGAAAAGAAGCCGCTCAAGCTTCTTTTCACAAAAGCTTGAGCGAAATGCGCCTTAAGAAAGGGGTTCACTTACCAGCTACTTGATGAGGCTTCAAAGGCTCGATGTCTGCATCCGGGTATAATTTGAGAGACGGATATTCTTCAATGTCAAAGCGACGGCAGATGGACTGGATGTCGGGGTTTTCAGGCGGAGGTTGTCCGTTGCAAATAAACTCAATTCCGAAAGCACGAGTGATGGCTTGCCTCAGGGCTTCTTCATCCTCTGGCTTTTCCGACAAAACTTGTTGGATGGCCTCAGAGGCAATACCCTGATCCAAGAATTCGGCCAATTGGCCCTCATCGACCAGCGAGGTGAACGTCGTAACACTTTGCTCAATCTTCGCATGGGCCACTGCGAGATTTCCCCATCCATAGTGCTTGGAGATAAAATTCAAGAAGTCTTCCTAGGACCCTTGGCTCATACCCTCCAATGTCTGCCATAGAGGTTGGCTGTCCCGCAGATCGGAGCCATCCTTCTTGAACCGTTTCTGCTGCGAAGATACGCACTCAAGATACAGCGTTTGTAGCTCAATTCGCTTGTCGTTCTCAACAGAATCTGAATTCGCGTTATAAAGCTGCGAAGACGTGGTTGCGATTTCTGAAGCTTCCAAATCACTGCCATCCGAGTCCTCGTCGTTTTCTTCCAGTTTGCGTGTGCTTGGCAGGGGGTGCGCCAAGGTTTGTCTGACAGCACACTGTTGCGGGCTTTCGTCGTCTTCGATTCCGGCCATCGGCTTCTGTCGCACTGGGTCGAAATAACCAAGAAACTTGTCACGAGCCGATGGTATTCGACTCGCATGGATGTTGATCCCTGGAGCCGTTCGCCGATACAAGGCGAGATATAGTAAAGTGATTGACCTGTTGAGATCTTCCAGACTAAAGGTTTCTCCAACTCTGCGGCAATTGCCGCCATGTCCATCTGGCGTCGGGTAACGTGAAAGGTAATCAGGGTCTGTTCGGCAATACTGAATGTCTTTCTTCCACTGTGTGGGAGCAAATAACAGGATTTGCACAGCGTGGGCCAAGATCGTCGCTACAACGTCAACCTCTTCCCCCTCTTCTCGACCAAGCAGACTTGCTGTAACAGGAAGGAAGATGGGGGACGTCAAATCGCGGATAATTTGGTCGATGTATAACTTTACCTTTCTGTCTTCCAAGTACGCCTTTATCACCTCATCCGGATTGATCCGATTTTGTTCTTTCTCCTCCTCGGTCAAATTGCCGACATGAGATCGACTTTCCGAGAAGATCGTGTGCATTTCTGGCGTCTCGAACTCTTCTTCCTCCTCGTCCTCGATAAGCTGTTGGGCGGTGGTAGCCTTGAATTTCGCTGCCATGAACACAAGGCCCTCGGGGACAATGTCGCATACTGCCATAAGGTTAGTATATGTATTCAAGAGGGCATTTCGCTAGAGCTTTTGCGAACAGGAGGGCACTTCGCTAGAGCTTTTGCGAATTTGATTCACAAAAGCTCTAGCGAAGTGCCCTCCGAACGTCAAACACTTACCCACGGTGTCGACAAAGTTGAGTAAGGTTTTCTCACTCATCCCGTTGTAGGCAGCCAGAGACGCTCCTCCCTTGGGTAGTGTAGTGTATCTGTGAAGTACGTGAACTCCATCGTGATGTCCCAGGCCTTTCCAGATTTCCGAATTTTTCTTGATGTCTTTGGGAGTATCTGGCGTGGTGATCGCGGTGTCCGCAACACTGTAATCGGTGTTTTCTGGATCTGTTCGCCATTTCGCCAAATCTTTCTGTAGGTGCAAGGGTGCGAAATGCTCGACGGTCAGATCTTGTTTCGCCTTGACGCCGGACTTCGTAGCGGACTTCGGAGCGCTTTTCGTAGCAGACTTCGGAGCGCTTTTCGTAGCAGACTTCGGAGCGCTCTTCTTCGCGGGCTTTGGTGACGCTGGCGGGGAACTTTCAGGTGAGTCTTGTGGGGGACTTTCGGGTGGGTCTTGCGGGGGAGCTTTTGGTGGGGCCTTCTCCTGCCGCTTTCTCGCCGGCATTTTGACGCCCAATTCGCTAGAGCTTTTGTCAAGTCGATGCTAAGTTGTCGTTTCGCTAGAGCTGTTGCGAAGATGCGCGTCCGGAGAAGAGAGAGAAGGAGCGAGGATGAAGAAGGAAGGAAAGAAGAAGGAAGGAGGAAGGAAGGAAGTTGGGGGGAGGAGAATATATAGTTGTTACATGTCATGTGATCTATCACATGACTCAATGGAGAGCCAAGATACTTGGGTACATACCTTCGAGACTACAGGTACTTAGGTAGGTACCTAGTTAGTACTTAGTACTTCGTAGTACTTTACTTACCAACCTATGTACTGAGATACCTACTAGGTACTACCTAGTACCTAGTACTACTCTTTTACCAAGTACTGGACCTAAGTATTTTTACGTAGGTATAGTAGTACTTGATTATAGTTGTTACATTTAGAAAATTTAAATAAATAAGAAAATAAGGTAAAGATAATTTATACATATCATTTTTATTATATGTCTGTTATATATTAAATACTACCTAGTAGGTAGTAAAATAATTTAAAAGTGTGCAAATTTTGGGTACCCGTGGGCCAAATCCGCCCTCTCAAAAGCTTGTTCTCCATCCGGCTAAACCTCACCAACTCCAGCGCGCAACGCCATCTCCAAAAACGCGAGGTCCCTGATTTCGAGCCATATCGAAGCTTGCAGCGCATCTGCTGCTTCTGTACCTGCTCTTGAGAGACCTACCGGAAGCATCTACGATCCTGGAGGTGGCCACGGTGGCCTCAGCTGTGGCCCGATGCAAATCCTGCCGTGATGGCTTCTACAATGTAAGTTGATCGTTGATCGTCCATCAACGGGTCCTGGTTTGTGCGGGGTGACTGGCTCTGCCCCTCGGATTGATTGAAACTGACTCCACTGTTGGCAGATCCCTCAAGGAGCTGTCCAAAGCCATCAAGGACTTCATCGTCGAGCCAACCGTGCCCCTTCCCGACGATCTCACCGAAACAATCGCTGGCTACCTGCGGAGGCGCGAGAAGTATGACGAGGCTGCGTCTGATCGGCTGCAGGAGGAGCTGCTCCTCATCTTTGATAAGAATGTCCGGGGCAACACGGCCGCTGCTGGCGCCTGGCTGAGCATCTTGCGCCGGCTATTTACCGTGCTGCGGACTCCCGAGCGAATACTGGTGTGGTTGGACGCCTGCAAGGGCATTCTCGACAAAACGGGCTTCGACAAGAACGTTGTCGCCGAGGCCATGGAGATACTAAACGAGATTGTCACCATTTCTGACGACTACCACGATGGCATCGGCAAGGACTCGGCGACGAACCCCCTCATCGATCGATTGTTTGAGATATGGATGGACGAATTTCACCCTGCCCGCTTTGAGGGCTACCAGCCGTCAGAGCACAGTGAAAAGATGATTAGCGATGCGTTAGGGCAATTTGGGAAGAAGCGACCAAAAGTATGTCTATCTATACGTTCACATCCGTCTTTCCATCTCTTCTGGACCCTTTCTGCTCCTTTTCAGATCGATGGTAACTAACTGGAATCCAGGATTTCTTCTCTTCGTTGGATGGCTACCTTGTCAAGAAAAAGTTCAGAAAAGCCAGTCTGAATTTCTTCTGTTCATTTATCCAATCACAACCCCCTCATTTACACCAAGTAGCTCAAACTCCATTATTTACCGATCTCTTAACATGTCTTCAGCAAGACACGTCAACCACGGTCATCTCGGCTGCGCTGACTGCACTCATTATGTTACTGCCGCACATGCCTAGCTCTCTGGTGCCACACTTGCCTACTCTTTTTAACATTTATACCAGGCTACTCTTCTGGGAAAAAGAGAGGGCGGGAACCATGGAATCGCCCTTTCACGATTCCGAACAGGCAAGCCGGTGGGAGGTTTTTGCCTACGACCCAGAGACGGAAGACACCAACATATCACACCTATCCAACTACTACACGATCCTATATGGTCTCTACCCTATTAATTTCATGGACTACATTCGCAAGCCCCAAAGATATATGCGCCATGCCAACGTATCCGGTGCGGACGAAATCGAAGTACAGCCGACGGAGATTCGACACCAGTCAGAACAATTCAGGAGATGCCATGTACTTCACCCCAACTTTTACACACTCACCATCGAAACGGAAAAGACGGATTTTGGGCGGTGGATCAAGAGCGAAGCCGCCGAAGTCGTGGCCGAATGCATGGCGCTGTGTGTTGCACCAGAATCCCAAATGTTTGGCGACCACGAACTGTTACATCTGCCCGACTCTTCGGGCCAGGTTCTCAACGACGAGTTGAGCCAAGTCAGGTCAGACCCTGGATTGCTGAGCAGCTCAGTGACCAAGGTGAATTCGTGGAGGAACACTCATATGTCGGCAACAGAGTCCGTCACCAGCGACCGTACACCCTCGACATTGATGCGACGGGGCTCTCAATCTAGTCACCATTCGGCGAGAGATTCTGGGGAAGCCGCACGAAACAAGGATATGTTCGGCGTGGACAGCCCTTCTGGCACTCAATTGCTCCAGTCGGCCTCACATACTCAGCTTCAAGATCTTATTAGGTCGAACAAGGTAATCAAGAGTAGTCTTCACCAATCTTTGGCAAACGACAGCGTACCATCTCTTGCTCTAAGTCATCAGGAGTCTGTGGTGGATAGGCCCTCGACGATGATGACGCTGCCACCGCAAACTCACACACCTGTATCCGCTGGAGAAAGCAGTAATGCGCAGATTGCTCACCTGCAAAGACAGCTTATCTTGTTGCAAAACGACCTCAGCTTTGAGAGATATCTCAAGCAGCAACACATGGCTCATATCGGCGAGCTCAGGCGAAGACAAATGGCAGAGGCCGCTACCGAGGCGGAAATGCAGAATCTGATCATGATGAATCGAAACCTCAAGAGCCGCTACGAAGAGGCCAAGATGGCTGAGATGCAAGTCCGCAAGGAGTCGGAAAAGAGCAGGGCCATGGCGAAGAAGTGGGAAGCAGACCTTGCAAACAAGCTGAAAAATCTGCGTGAAGAGTCAAAGAAGATGCAGACGGAGATTGAGTCGGTTCGGAAAGAGCTCGAGGAGAGCCTGCGGGAATGTGAGAAGCTGCGCAAGCTCGTGTGCGACGCCGAGGTGAAGGAGCTGAACGCAAAGCAAAACATGCAGTCGATTGAGATACACGGTGCAGAGATTGACCGGCTCAAGGCAGAAGTTGAGCGACTATCGCTTTCGGAAAGGGACTACCAGGCGAGGGAGGTTGAACGAATGGCGTCTGTCAACGCAGCTGAGGATGCGCAGAATCAACTGGAAACGCTCAAGCTGCAGTTGACGGCTTCGGAGGCGGAGGTGCAGAGAACGAAGAAGCTTTTCCAATCCCAGGTGGCAACGCTTCAGACACAGCTTTCAGAAGCCCGCGAGGAGCGCAACAGGCCCGCGGTGACGGTGAACATTGCAGTTGAGAGCGCTCTGGCGGCGAGCCGGGCCAAGCAGGCAGAAATGCAGAAGCAATACAGCCTGCTGACGCGCAAGTACACGATGCTGCAGTCGTCTCTTCTCGACATGCAGCTAGAAGCATCAACTACGACGGAAAAGTCCAGCATTGCGGAAGGCGAGGAGGATCACATGTCGTCATCTACGGGGCCAATGCCGATGAAATCAAGGCCCCTTCAACTTCTCTCGACGACGGAAGCAGCTGAAGGAGCAGGCTACAATATCACAGCTTCTCCCGTATCGAACCCAGGAACTCCCACATCATCTGTGCTGCAGCCACTACAACCGACTAGCTCCGCAGGTACAGGCGGGACGGACGGACAGTCGTCGTCGGCTAATTTGTCGATGAGCCCAGAAAGGAGTTATTTTGGTAGTAAGTTTGATATATCTTGATCGCCTCACTTATGTACGAGTGCATATTTTATGATTAGCAACACTAACACACGCACACAGGTGGACTCCAGAGCATGATTCGTAGGGATAGCAAAGACAAGGCCAAAGACGAATCTGGCAAGCCCAAGAAGGAGAAGAAAACGCTGGGCCTAAGGGGGATACGGGGATTTGTTGGCAGTAGTTGAGGTAGTTGGCATTACGACGATGATTACCCATTCGCGATTATATGATAGAAACCGGCACGGCTTATATAGGAGTAGTGGCATGGAGTGTACATGTATTTGGGAGTTGATGTTATCAGTATGAGTTAGAGACACTGCGTTCCCTGCGCAAGTAATTAACTCTTAACCTAACATGGCCCTAAGGACCTTGATCTGCTCTAGAATACTTGATCGGCTGGTGCCGCCCCTGGCCGATTTCGCTTCAACACTTGACTCATACTTGAATATCTCCTTGATATCATCCGGGAATCGGCTATCAATGGCCTTTAGTTGCTCGAGCGTAAGCTCATTCATCGGGATGCCCAGCTCCTCGCTCTTTGCTACACATCGTCCAGCGATATGATGTGTCTCCCGGAAGGGCACACCGAGTTTTGTAAGTCGCTCAGCTACATCTGTAGCAAGCATAAAGGGGTCTAACGCAGCCAGCATCCGCTCTGGCCGAATGGTGAGTGTGGAAAGGATGCCGTTTGCAATCTGTATACTATCGGAGATAGTCTTGACATGATCCAGCATGGGTTCCCAACTCTCCTGTAGGTCTTTGTTGTATGTGCTCGGCAATCCTTTTTGGGTCATCATGAACCCACTCATGTGGCCAAAAGCTCGGCCGGCCTTGCCTCGTAATAGCTCGAGACCATCTGGGTTATGCTAGGATAATTTTGTTAGCAAAGAAACCACAATGGTATATATATTTCTTCAAACCTTTTGTGGCATCAGCGATGAGCCTGTCGAGTAGGCGTCGGCAATATAGATAAAGCCAAATTCTTGGGTACTGTAGATGATGAGATCCTCGGCCCATCGCGAAATATGTTGCATAAATAGACTGCCCCATTGAAGGAATTCAGTCACGAAGTCTCGATCAGAAACAGCATTCATAGAGTTCCAGAGGATATCGTCAAAACCAAGCTCTTTAGCCATCATCTCGCGATCAATGTTGAAGACATTGCCAGCAAGAGCACCACAACCAAGAGGGCTCTTGTTAACCCTCTTCAGACACTCTCGGAGTCGCTCAACATCATTCATAAAGGCGAAGCCAAATGACATCAACCACTGCGAGAACCTGATGGGCTGGGCACGTTGCAGGTGTGTATACCCAGGCATAAGGTAGTCGCTAAAATGAAAGAGTCAGAAGGGATACGCTCGCTTGGTCAAAGGAGGCAGGGGAGGGTTGTTGTTAAGCTAACGTACATTTCAGACTCAGCACGGCCAGTAATCACCTTGACCAAGGCAACGAGCTGGCTGTCAATCTCACGAATCCGTTCGCGCAACCACATACGCATATCGCAGACCACCTGCTCGTTTCGGCTGCGACCTGTATGTAATTTGCCAGCAATGTTCTTGCCAATGATTTCGCCAAGTCGACGCTCGTTGGCGGTATGAATCTAGATGTTAGATCTATTGTGTTAGCTATAAACATCAATTGGTCAAGTAGCTAATCTAGAAGGGGTAAAACATAGTAGTATCTTACTCACATCCTCATCATTAGACTTGATAACAAAGTGACCCCCCTCCCACTCTTTCAGGACCTCATGTAAACCCCGCTCGATTTCAACAAAATCGTCGTTGGAAATGATGCCAGACTTTGCATTAGCGCGGGCAAAGGCGATGCTTCCGAGAATATCTTCCTTGAAGAGGCGCGAATCGTAGGAAATGCTGGCGTTGTATTGATGCATGAGGGGATCGATGCCGCCTGTGATTTGATCCGCGAGGTTAGCATACATACATGGAACCCAGGAGCTTTTCAATTGCCCCGCCAATGACATGACGAACCAGTGAATCGTCCACCCCAGAGCATGCCCTCGCTGGGCGCATCGCCAGGAGCCGCCATGATTACCACGATTATTGAATATCGTAGGTATGCCGATTGAAGTTGCTGCGCGCTTCCAAGATATCGATATACAGTCAATTGGCGTGGAGGGGTGCAATAGTCATACGGGAAAACTTTGGAGGGGCCGAAGCTATGGAGGGGCCGAGACCGGCCAGCGGTATTAGGTAAGTCAAAGCACCTAACCCTTGTTGATCACGTGATGTGTCAAAAAGAAATGGACGGAAAATGAATATGAGAATAAGAGCACTACTCGAGATAAGTTTAGAGAGATGAGCGTGTGCGCATCGTTTGATTCTGTGTGTTGGTTATTTGTCGATTTCCTCTTTTTTCTTTGCAAACCGCTTTGGGTACTAATCTATCTAGTCTACATGTGCATGTCATTTAAACTCAGCTTATTTGATCAGGGCCGCCCAGATTGATCAAGTCCATCGGGTTCGACCGCGGTTAGCGAATTGGGTCAAATTCATCACCTTCTAATCAAGGCTTCCTGGCAAGTGGTCTGCAAAGAAACCGAGACTGGAGAAATGATTAGCACACAAAAACACTCCACGCGTACAAGCTACAGGGTATGTTAAGGTGCTCGCTCTGCAAGTTTGTGGTCTGTAATGCTCCAGCCATAGCTGCAACTTATTGGCAACGGCCGTAACTCGGCCCACCGAAGCAGTGGAAACCCAGGATGGAGCAAGCCGGTTTGCTGGTCTGGTCGCGGTGGAGCGGCCCATGGAAGAGGGAAGAAGACGAAGACCTCCGAGAGAAGAAAATGCCTCTCTACAGTACTCGATAGATACTGGACTGAATTCAGCTCATGCCATGCTCTGCCAAGACGCAATGGCGAAAACGACGTCATTGTCCATGCCATAGCATCATGTCATGACCCATCGTCGATGCTGTAGATCGTCGATGGAACGAGGCCGCCAGGGATCAATACGATACCAACAGCGTGACACCCAAATTCACCCACCACGTCATCTCTCTCGATCCCCTGCAAAAGAGAGAAAAAATAGCACAGCCCAAGCAAAAAACGCCACAGCGGCTGCCCGGCATCCCCCCGGTTCACTCGTGGGCGCTAACACTCACTGACAGATGCCTGTACGAGTCTGTCTCTCGCCCGTCTTAGATGCGAGATGCCGCCTTGTGTGTACGAGTGTCCTAAACACAGTGAACATCAAGCATAATGGTCTACCATCTAGGCACAGCACAACTCACATCCTCGTTGTCATCACAAGGCCACTCAGCTCAACTAGCAGAGAAAAAATCCTCCGAAAGACCAACCACCGCAGGCCTCAGTACTCCATACAAATCCCCCCTCGTGACCTCGTGTTCACCAAAAGGGCAGTCAAGCATCGTATTCCATTTAGCCGCCAGCACCAAACAAGCTGCATGGCCACCCAGAAACGTTGGCATCTATACTATTAGACTATGTACTACCATCAAGTAAACACAAACCAATCTCGACAAAGGCCGTAAACGTTGGAATTCTCATCGTTGTACTGACTGTCCTTGCTACATTACCATCCTTCCGGCTCTTCGGAATCCCGCGTTGTGGCTCCCGCTAACGCACAAAGAAAAAGTCCAAAGGCTCGGGGGCCACAGGCTTTTGTTAGCCGTACCTGCATGGAGACGCTAACTATTCGAGTTAGCCTCTATCCTGCTGTCACTGCTTGTGCTTGTGATTCTCCCAAGTTTGCACGCCATTAGAAACCTCTTGTTGCTGGCGATGATGACATATCTTGGGTTAGAAAAGAAAGACGTATGAATTGATAAATTAATCAAATAAATGAATAAAAAATAAATATAAAGGGAGAGAGAGAGAAAGAAAGAAAAAAAAAAAAAAAAAAAAAAAAAGAAATCTGTGACGCTTGAACCCCTGTGGCTTGATTTAGAGCAACTAGAGACGATCGACGTACGTAGGCTTTTGAGAAAAATCGAGCAATGGAGCAATGGAGCACCACACAAAGACGGAGACAAGCTGACGAAAGAAGAAAAGAAACAAGAGGCGGTGGTGTGTGGCAACGTGGTGGTGCCAGCTGGAGTGGGTGCATTTGTGCATCGGTGCCTTGCTTTTTTCGGCATCCACGCCAGAATCTCGTATCCCAACTCCAGTCAACTCCGCTCTCCCGCTGGCTGACGTTGTTCTCTGGCTTTCCTTTTCAAGGCTGGCTTCTCCTTTTTTTTCTTTCTTTTTTCTTTCCCGCTCTTTTCTTCTTCTTATACCATCTCATCCTTCGTTGTTTCTTGGTCTCTCTATCCCCTCGTGGCTGCTGACCTCGTCCCTTCGCTTTTGACCTGTGATATAGCAACGAGTAATATCGTCAAGCTATATTCTTGCAAGGACATTCGCTTGTTTCTGCCTCGGCTTCCATTTCGTTCGCTTTTTTGGAACCGACGACACCTGATATCGCCACCTCAAAACTCCGGGTTTCCGTCTCGTTTAATCCGGATCTCCCGCCGTATATAGAGGAATCAGGAAGCATATAATACCGACTTCAGATATTTTACTGGATTTGAGTAAAAGAAAAATGCCTTCTTCATCCGCTCTCCTCACTCTGGCTACGGCCATTTCGGCCGTCAACGCCGCTTACCAGGGCTTCAACTACGGCTCGACCTTTACCAACGGTCAGCCCAAGGCCCAGACTGATTTCGAGGCCGAGTTCAAGACCGCTGCTGGCCTCGATGGCACCGATGGCGCCTTCACCAGTGCCCGTCTGTATACCATGATCCAGGGCGGCACTCCCAACTCGCCCATTTCTGCTATTCCCGCTGCCATCAACACAAAGACCAGCCTGCTCTTTGGCCTGTGGGCATCTGGCGGTGATGCTGCCTTTGCCAACGAGATTGCTGCCCTCAAGGCCACCATTAGCCAGTACTGCGGCAAGCTCGACGGTCTTGTTGCTGGAATCTCCATTGGTAGCGAGGATCTGTACCGAATCACTCCTACTGGTGTTGCCTCCAACGCCGGCCCTGGAGCTCAGCCCGGAACTCTGGTCAACTACATCAACCAGGTCCGCGACACCATCAAGGGCTCTTGCTTGTCTGACGTCCCCATCGGCCACGTCGATACCTGGAACGCCTGGGTGCTGGACTCGAACAAGCCCGTCGTCGATGCCGTCGACTGGCTCGGCATGGACACATACCCCTACTATGAGAACACCAACGCCAACAGCATTTCCAACGCCAAGTCTCTGTACGAGGCCGCTCTGCAGAAGATCCAGAACGCCGGCCCCGGGAAGGAGGTTTGGGTCACCGAGACCGGCTGGCCCGTCAACGGCGTGAGCTCTGGTGCTGCCATTGCCTCTACGGCTAACGCCCGTAGCTACTGGGAGCAGGTTGGCTGCCCCAACTTTGGCAAGACCAACGTCTGGTGGTACACTCTCCAAGATGCCGCTCCCGATGCTCCCAACCCTAGCTTTGGCCTCATCGGCAGCACGCTGACCGAGACGCCCCTGTTTGATCTCTCTTGCAAGAACGTCGATACCAACCCAGGCAACCCGGCTTCGTCTTCTGCCGCCTCCAGCAAGCCCGCTACTTCCTCTGCTGCTGCTTCGTCCACCAAGGTTACTACTCCCGCTACCACTCCCACCTCCGAGTCCAGCTCCAGCTCCAGCTCCAGCTCCAGCTCCACCCCTGTCTCTTCAACTACTAACTCAGAGCCTCAGTCTTCTACCAGCTCCGACTCTCAGTCTACTAGCTCCGACTCTCAGACCACCACCACCGACTCTGGCTCTCAGTCGACGACTACTGCTGTTCCCCCACCGCAGTCTACTAGCTCGGAAGAGCAGCGGACCACGACCTCGGAGGCTCAGACTACTGGTTCCTCGGGCTCTCAGACCTCTGCTTCAGAGCAGCAGCCCACTGGCGGTGCTCCGGTCACTTCCGCCCCTGCTACCACTTTGACTACTTCTGTCCCCTTCCCCAGTTCTAACGTCACTGTGACCACTGGTACTGGAGGCTCTCCCACTGGCCCTGGCTCAAGCGCCACTGCTTCCTCGACTAATATTCCTGGAAGCAACGGTAACAAGCTGAGCTCTTTCGGAGCTGCCGCTGCGGCTATTGCTGTCGCCGCTTTTGCTCTGTAAAAAGACAAAACAAAAAAGTTTGACTTCTTTCGCTGGTGTAAAATATGGGCTCTTTTGATGAAGTAAAGGCAAAAGAGTACCGATATGATTGGTCTTGAGGAGGTACATATATTGTGGGAGAAATGATGTCTTTAATGAGTTTTGATGTCTTTTTTGGTACATCTACCTAGAGAGTCCTCGGTAGAATGGTTGTTTGGTTTCTTTTATTGCCTTGCATGTCTTGTTTGGATGATATCCTATAGACTGCTTAATGAAGGGCATTGGATTTTTGGATAAAGGGGGTTAACGGATCACAAGGATGAATGAACACGCTCCTTTTATGATGGATGATATAAAGACTAGGACTGAAATATATGACAATATTATATATCTACTTGAATACTTGCACATGACGGACTACCCCAACTATGAAAGTAGAACGCAGCCATCAAGGAGGCCCATACGTCGAGCGGTCATCGCCAATCACGTCCCAAAACTCCTCCACAAACTCCTTCTGCCCTGCCGTCGCCGGCCTCACAGCGAGATACCTCCGATTGTCAACAGGAGGATCCCACCCCCCGGGATGCCCATCAACCATGACACCGCCAGCCTCGACGAGGACGCACCAAGCGGCGGCGACGTCCCAGGCCCAGGAGCCGCACTCCCAGAAGGCGTCCTGCTGGCCGGCGGCGACGCGGCAGATTGCGATGGCGGCGGAGCCGGAGCAGCGCAGGGAGTTTACGAAGCGGCCGCCGTCATGGGGGGTGCGGAGGAGGGCGGTGAAGACTTGCAGGTTGAGGGCAAAGTTGGGGCCTTGCCGGTCTGAGCCGAATTCGATGGCTATGCAGGCGGGGGAGAGGCCTAAGAGGGGGGATTTGGGGGAGAGCTGCTTTGTATTCTCAAAGCTAGAGATGTCATTGTTGTTGGTAGTGGTGTGGTTGATGATGTTGCTGGCTTGTGTGGTGTGATATGCGCCGTGGCCTTTGATGGCGGACCAGAGCTCGTCGCGGAAGGGATTGTAGACGACGCCCACCGCGGGAACTTTGTCCACGACGAGGGCGATGGAGACGGCGACTTCTGGAAAGCCGTGGACGAAGTTGGATGTGCCGTCGATGGGGTCGACGATGAAGGTTGGGTCGTTGGTGATGGTCTGGCCGGGGTGGTACGTCTCTTCGCCAATGAAGGCGAAGGAAGGGTAGTGGGAGGCGAGGTTTGTGCGGATGAGGGATTCGACTGCTTTGTCTGTCTGGGTGACGATGTCGGCGGCTGTGAAAAGAAGATTGGTTTTATGGGTTAGTGGTGTTTTGTAAAAGGAGAAGATGGTGAGTGAGTGGACGGACTGTTTTTCTTGGAAGAGGTTGTGAGGGGCGTTGGGTTGGCGGAGAGGATGATGGTGCCGGCTTCTTTGGCGATGGCTATGAGGCGGATACGGAGAGTTTGGAGGTCTTGTAACGTCAGGTTACTACTTGAATCTGTGATGGAATCCATATTGGGTTGATTGGCCTTGAACCCTACGTTTAAAGAAGAGAACAGGGACGAGGAGAGGGAGTAAAGGGGCTTGTTGTGAGCATCATATACGCATTTCGAGTGGATTCCATTTTTACAATCTTCTATTATTATCATACATATTTGCATCGTCTCCGAAATAATGAACTTTTTCTTTTCATTTACACAATAGCCGCCTTGATGATGAATCTCAACATTGACACTCAGGCGTGTAAGTGAGGCCATCAAGGTTCGTCGGCAGCAGATAAGGCCCGTCATCGGCTAGAGATAAGGCCCGTCATTGGCTAGAGATAAGGCGCCCTTCTTGCCCGAAACGGCAGTGGGAATCGTTCGACCTCGCTAGCAAGTTGCAACGCCTAAATCAAGCACGTTTTTGACTCGCGTTTCCCCCCAGGAAGCTTCCCCTCACCGTCTCACCGGGGCCCCTCCTTCCTCAGAACGTGCAAAATGGCTTCAGGCAAGTGCTGACCAGGCTAATTGCCCGATTTCCCCCCTCCCAAGATGCGCAGCCCCACGTGATTGTACTTACACAGGTAGCAATACCCGTATACAGCTACAGTTTCTCCCTCTGCTAAGCCGGAGATGGACTTCAGTATGTAATCCAAACCTCGCTTTATCCCCTTCCTACATACCTATTCCAGTCACCGAGATTCCTCCCGCTTCAGATGCATCGTGAGGCCGGATCGGAGCCGGATCCGCTATTATGCAGACCCTAGAGCCGAGGAGCTCCGGAGCGCAGCAGCAGCCCTACCGGGGCCGAGTCCGGAGCGGCTGCCTCACCTGCCGGTCGAGAAAAGTCAAATGTGACGAGCTCAGGCCGGTTTGTCACAATTGTACGAGGCTGAGACGGCGCTGCGTCTATAAGCCGAGGAAGAATCAGCAGGCCAGTGGTGCGGCACCTCAGACCCCGGAGCAGCTCACGCCGGACGGGTCTGCCGATATTACTGCTACTACCCCGGGGTTGGGACAGGCTGCAGAGGTGGAACTGGCCTCGCAACAGTATCCAAGTCCGTTGTCTGAAGGAAAGGAAATTGGCTTTACACAGGGGATCCCGCTTGATGGCGAGTTCAGCATTGCGGATGGCACCGCAACGAATCCGTTTCAATCGCCTGATAGCTCCATCGTGGATATTACCTCCCGTCTGGAGAAGGCGCTGCGGCAAGATGCCATCTCCGGCACTACGGATGACGCTGAATTCGAGCCCGCTTCACCAACAACATTGATATCCCGTGATATAGAACTCACAACCACTATCGATGTTTTGGCTATTCGCGAGGTACCTTTGCAGCCGTCAGTGGCATTCTTCGTTGAGAGCGTCGACTGCCCCGCAATCGTTCCCTTTGATGCCGTCAATTGGCGGCGCATGAAGGCTCAAGTTGCCGAAGTTGGCATGAGCAACGAAGCTGTGGCCGAGGCGATTGTGGCTCTTGCTACGCTTTACAAAGGGCAGATATATGGCCTGCCGCTGTCCAAGGCTATGTATCTCTATCAGTCTGCTAGGTCGAGATACGAAGAGCTCTTGGCCGATAGCGACCTAGATTTCGACGTCGTCTTGATCGCAGCATTTCTTTTGTCTTTATTCGACATTGTACAGTATCACGAAACAATTCCTCTTCTTAGAGAGCCAAGCGAAATGTTTCTCACGAGGCTAAGAGCGTGGACGCAAGACCAACTCCCATCGAGTCCGCTTGCAATCAGAATTGTGGCTTGGCTGAGATTACTTCATACAACAACAATTCGCGGTGGAGGTACGGGGCTTGTCTCGGAAGATGTTTATGAACTTTTCTCCAGTTGCGGCGAGAGCATGCCCAACATTGCTGCGCCATTGAACGACCCTCCAGATACTTCGACACATATATATGAGATGCTCACCACTCCGATATTTGACTTTTATTTCCGGCTTCAGATAATATCTGGTGAAATTGCGCAGATGACCCATTACCACCGCTCACGCACCACTGGCGTGGATCAAAAGGATGTAGTCGAACAAATGGCACACGTCAGTGCTCGACTGCACACTCTCTGGGACAATCGCTGTGCCACCCAGCGCCAAACCCCTGAGGACTTGCGTGCTCACCTTGCGCCAAAGGTTGCTGACCCTATCATTGCACTGGTCGGAATGGCCAATGCGGCGTACCATGCGGAGTTTATCGAAATCGGTCGCGTCTTGGGAGATCCCATTTCCAAATCCGCAGAGTCCAGACAAGCGATGGTCCATCTACGAGAAATCGTTGACGGGGATTGGAATGCTCAGGAGGGAGGTGTTTTGAAGACGGGCTATCTCCGTCCATTGTTTTTATATGCCATTGAATGCATGGACAAGGAAGAGAATCAGTGGGCTGTGGAGCGGCTGGAGAGGATCAAGAATCCCATCTGCCGGAGCGACTTTTTTGCTGCATTTGGTAGAGAGTTGTCAGAGGCACAACTGAGAAAGGAGAGGAGGGTTACGTCCAAGTTTTTCTGTATGTGGTATTTTGGGGTGCCACCTCCGTTTTTGTGAGGACGTGGCGCGGAGTGATGGGTTCTTTTTAGAAAAAAAAAAAAAAAAAAAAAAAAGAGGAAAAAAGAAATTTCTAGGTGTAAATATCGGGTTGCAAGGCTAATGGGAAATATCGGAATGCGAGATCTATGTGTTTTGCTGGGTAATGGGCACTTAACATGAGTGGGAGGCGTTGGTGGGCAGAGGAACGGTAGCTATTTTCAATATTCATCATCATTGTGTACGTGCACTGATATACGCAACTATCTAATTGATCGAGAAGTTGGATAATGGTTTCTGTTTAGAGGAAGTTCAAGAATTATCATTGCTTTATTCACTACCTATTCACTACCTATTCACCGTTTTAAATATACTCCCAGCATTACCCTACCATCTTTTCATCTTTACTTTTCCATCGAGTCACTTTAGATCTTCTTCTCATCATCCCCGTAAATAGCCTCGGTCAAATCAACCGGCGTCTTGGAAAAGTGTCGAGGCGAAACTTTTCTCTCAAACAAGATATCCAACTCAGCCGTCGTCCGATCCTTGGGCTCAGGAACGCAAAAATAAGTGAAAATAATAGAAATGAGACAGCCACCAGCCCAAAACAAGCCCGTCTTGGCACCCCAGTTCCAAGCTGTGGGATTGAGCTGGTACGGAGTGAGAACACCTGCGATGATGGTAGTAACAGCGTATGTCCAGCGGGCGAGGACGACGGACTTGCTGCGGAGGAGAGAAGAGGGGATCTCGGAGCAGAGGGTGTTGGTCAGGGGTCCGATGGAGCAGTTGTAGAGGAACGAGGAGACGATGAGGAGGGAGCCGATGGTCCAGGCGAAGGCGGGCGTGGGGGAACGGGATTGCGGGACGCCGAGGGCGCCAACGAGGATCATGATGATGAACATGAGGACGAGACTCCAGAAGTAGATTGTGCGGCGGCCGAAGAGGGGGAGCAGAACCCACTGTTGTTGTTGGAAGATTTTGGTTAACAAGGACACGGTATGATATAAGGGGGTGAGATAGGGGTTAGTTCTTACGGAAAAGAAGCCGCCGACAATGGCGACTGCAAAGCCTGCGATTGTCATGTTAAAGGCTTGCGTGGTGGGCAGACCGGCCTGTTGATAGAAATACGTCGAGTATCCGCGGAGAGGGTTTCCATTGAGCGTCTGAATACAGTAAATGCCGATAACGATGAGTGTGCGCCGAAGATTTGTGCCCTGGAAGCAGGCGAGGTACGTCATCTCGGCGTTGATTGAGCGCTCGTGCTCTGTGGTGACGACCATGAGGGCGATGTTCTTGTCAATGTCAAAGTTGACGTTCCTGTCGGACGTGAGGCGCTTGACGACGGCTCTGGCGTCTTGGAGGCGGCCCTTGCGGACGAGCCACCAGGGGGATTCGGGGGCGAAGAAGATGGCGGGGATGAGGATGACGGGCCAGACCCATCTGGATAGGGCAGAATGTTAGTGGTTTGTTTAGATGATGATGGTGATGGAGATGGATTTGAGGTAAGGGTTTGATTTACTGGACTGCGAATGGGATTCTGTAGGCCCAATGGGTTGTCATGGGGAGGACGCCGCGGAGGATGCCGGTGGCGATGAGTTGACCAAAGGCCTTTTAAGATGTTAGTTTGTAATCTTTTGATATGTTTTATGGTATTATCAGAACATACCCAGCAAAAGTTGACATAGTTGGTGAGATAGGCACGTAGGCAAAGAGGCGATATTTCAAGAGCATAGACAACGGGGATTGTCTGAAACAGTCCAAGAGGGATACCTAATGGTCATATTAGTGAGCAATTAACTCAATCCAACAAACAGAAATACGCTGCTTACCAAACAAGACTTGTCCAACCTCGAGCACAGCCAAGCTCGGAGCAAAAAAAGTAATAAAGATGAGCCCAATAACACTCATCATGCCCGCAAGCATCGTCTTGCGAAACCCAAACCTTTCGCTCACATAACCCGCCAGCAAGAGCCCCAGCAACTGGCCCGCAGACGACCCATTGCTCAGCCCTGTCTGCCACGGCGCCGAGATCTGGTATGATCCGGGCTTGACCTCCTGGCCAAAGGCCCTTTGGAAGGTCGGCTGGGCGAAGAGCGTGCCGATGAGCTTTGTGTCGTAGCCTTCCATGACGACGGCGGTGGACATGACGATGCTCCAGAAGACGCCGGTTGGGTAGAGCGAGAGGGCCTGAAAGAAGGTCAGGGAGTGTTCTTGGGTGTTGGCATCTTGGGCGTCTGAGATGTCGTAGGCTTGGGGTTTGAGGGTTTCCACGGGGGGCTCTTCTTGAGATGGGCGGCCCATTGTGGTGGAGAGGAGGAGAAGGAGGAGGATGACTAGATGTTAATGAAGTATTGCCAAGATTAAATCTTCCTGGTTGTCTCCTTTATATCTTTGCAATTGAGCAGATGAAGACAAAGATTCAGGAAGAGCTGGAGACCTTGTGATGCTGTGCTGTCATTGTTGCAATTGGCATTCAGCGCCTCTTATAAGAATTCGTCTAATACCTTTCAACTCCCCATGTACACATGCAAGCCAATACAAAGTATTGTAGTACCAAAACACCAAAACAAGTGTTCAATGGCACGAAGCAAGAACAAAACCTGGGGAAATAGAGTCTAGACCGGCGACCCTAGCAATACTAATCCCGGCCTCTAATCCATGCCAATTGAATAGTCTGTGCTTCAGCAAGCCAGTCACAATGGCAGATCTGACGGCGTGGTGAATCTCGTCAGTACTTTAAACCAAGGAAATCCATATAATTCTGGAGAATAGAGAAACGATGCTCGGTATAATTGCCGAAGAGGCGAGTTGAGGCAGTTGTTGGAAGGGTGTCTTGCTTATCTCCAGGCGAGGCGCTTATCTGGTGCCGAGCGGCCAAAGAGGATACGACTAAGAAGCACGCTGGGGGGCTATTTAGGCAAAGGGACTTTTGGGGGACTTGCTTTGTCTATGATTTTAGAGTTGGCGGGTAAATTGTGTTGGTGGAAGCTAACATGACTCGGGGTCGTGTAAGACAATGTTGCAACTCTTTGGTGGTAGGTTACATGTTATTTCTATAAGCTGGCTGTTGAACGCTATTGAATTGAGAACTGCCAAAAAGTTGGAGAGTAAAATTGACGAGTGATGAAGTGAACAAAGTGTTTATTTGATAGACAATTTATATTGAGGAGAACTGTAGTTGAAATACGTATATCAATCGTGATCAGGGTTGTGGGTGCATTCAAAGAGCATATTAGATTGTATGTGTATAAGTAATTATGTGAACAAGAAGGACTTTAAATAGATATCTAATCTTGCTCTCCAAGATAAAACAGTCTGTGAAAGGCATACATGTTCTCAAACGTGCAGAACTCCAGCGGCCCAAGGTCAAACTCTCGCTGCAGCGCCGGCAAGTGCTGCGCAAACACCTCGTTCAGCGCATCCCTGTTCTCGCCATCGATGTGCCTCATCAGATACGCCATGGTGATGTGAAAGCCGTACGTCTCGTGGTTCGGCGCCCTGAAGCCCAGCGCATCGCTCACTCTATCTCGCAGCCGTCGCAAGCGCTTCTCCTCCTCTGGGTTTGCTCCCTCAATCTCAAGCCCGATGCCAATAACAGCGGGATCAAAGCCCCGGACTCGCATCTTGTACGGCGGTGCGAGGCCTTCCTTTTCCAGCTCCAGGCCGACTGCCCTCAGTTTCTTGGAGAATTCGCGGGTGCACTCGTCCAGGGGAAGCTTTTCCATTCCGGGAGGCCACATGCCGGGCTCGCATTCTGTGTCGCGGACGCCGTCGACGACGGTCATGTGCCATGAAGGCTTGGGCAAGAGATGGACGAGCTTGGAGAGCACGGGATGGGAGCTTAGAGATGCGTGGAGGGCGTTCATGCCGGGCTGGAGAGGAGAGTCGGCGGGAACATGGCAGACGGTGGTGTTTCCGGGGAAGCGCTGGACGACTCCGTCGGCTGAGAATTTCTCGGGGATGCCAATGGGATAGAGCGGCCGTTGAGGCGTGATGACAGTCGTAGTGACTGTTGATGTGGTGGTGGTGGACATTGTTGCTTATAAGATGATGTGATGATGTGATACCAGTTGATCTGTGGCTAGCAGGGTTGAGAGCTTGGAAGAGATTAGAATGAAATGAATCAATTGAGAGCGTCGTCACGTCACATCTTTGCAGGATTCTTGATAGTGATTCATTCCTTTATAAAGAGCACGTGGGATGCAAGATGACGATCGATGAATGTCTCCATTCAAAAGTTCGTCGCTTCGAGATAAGCCCATCGCCTAGAGATAAGACTTGGTATGGAATGATCTCTTGGAGATGCGAAGCCGGCGTTTTCTTAGCGCCAGGCACGGGGTTTTGTAAGAGGCACAATGACGGATCGGCTATGCGGCTGCCACGTGCCAAAGTGATGATGACCTGACGATGCTGACGGATTGGAATGACCAAAGTATTGTATACGAAGCTCTAACTACCTAGCTGATTTATAGAGGGATATGTATTGATAGTAGAGAGATGGGTATCCTTTAGTATGGATTCCCTTCTCCTGTTTCTAGATTCCAATACTTGACCCTTCATGAAATATACATGAGCCCTCTAATCAAGGGAATTCAATAAAGCCTTGAGCCTCTAGAGATGTCTCTTCCCCAATGATCCCCTCAATAATTCTTTCCAGTTTACCGAGCAACATTTCCCCTGAATTCAATGGCAACACACGAGTGTTCCCCAGAAGACGAAGCTCTAAGCAGTCCCTTCGAGGATATGATATCAACGTGATATCCGTAGGTACGATCTGTGGATTGTCAAATGTCTCAAGGCGAGCTTCGACATCACCAAATCGCATTCTAGGGTTCTCATCAATGTTCATGGAGTTACTCAAGATCGCCGAAGCTGATATGATGGGATAGTTGTTTTAGCGAACCGTGGCGGAACATATTCTCAGTGCGCCAAGCTCTCTGTGATAGTCCTCTTGTTATACTTGTGTAGATAGGGACTACCTGGTACCCATTCATTTTAGAGTGCATTTTAGAAACTACCAGAGTACAATATCCATATTGTTTTATATGTAAAGCACCAATTCGCAATCCTCCCGTATGTAGCTTCGATCAGCAGTTTCAACATTTTCTGTACGACATTCATACTATTCTAAACGGAAAATGCTGCCCAAGTCAATCCCGCTGAGCTTTGGGAATATCCGTCTAATGATTGAGCAGCGCCATCGCCGCCTGTGGTTGTGCTTAGGTAGTGACGCACGGTTTATCCCGTGATAAATCATCCTTATTACAGACAAGGCATTTCTTTCTATCTCCTCTTTCATGCCTTCATGTCATAATATTGATCACGGCACTTGAATCTCAAGCTTCAATTCTCGGAGTTCAAATTACAGTTCCATATCCTTGCAATGCAATTGAAGCTTATCCAGTTCAGGCACATGCACCCAATAATGTCACAGGGACTCCCGGAAAAGTGGGTTCCACAGCGCTATCGACATTCGTGTCTTTCTGGCGTGTCTCGATTAGGCGATTCATCACTCGACAGCAAATCATCATCACCATCTTTTTTCTTTTTCTTCTCCTTTTCGTGCCATTGACGGAGGAATTTCAGGCTGTTCGACGCAATGGCTCGTAGCAGCGCCTTCAGGACTTTGGCTGCGTCATGCGTCTTCATGCTGGCGGCCTGCGCGGCGGCATCGCAGATCAAGGGAACCCCGGCAGCCATCGAGAGTCTAAGCTTGGAGGAGCTTGATGGCCAGCTTCAGGTATGTTTGGCAAGATAAGATAGCTTCACCCTCGGCTGTCTACGTGGAGGAAATCACGGCATCTATTGCAATGCTGACAGAAACCTTCTCTTCTTTGCGCGTCTAGACATGTCCAGTCATCCAGGAACTCAACGCCGCCAAACGGGCGCATTTCGAGACTGCGCCATCCTCCTTCACCACAAAGCTCTTCTCCGTGCTCTTCCCCGGCTCGCCAGCCGTCAACGCCCTCCTCGCCACGCTGTACATCTCCGGCCCGCCCAACTTCCTGCTCGCCCTCGTCCCGACCAACATCGACCCCTCCTCGCTCTCCGTCATGGTGGCCTTTGCCGTGGGAGGCCTGCTGGGAGACACGCTCTTCCACCTGCTGCCCGAGATCTTTATCGGCGAGGACGAGCCGGACAGGGCCAGGTTTGTGCTCGTCGAGCCGAACCGCAACCTCATTCTCGGATTGGGCATCTTGGTTGGCTTCATGACGTTTGTGGCCATGGACAAGGGCTTGCGGATTGCGACTGGTGGTGCTGGGCATGATCACTCACACGGACATTCGCATGACGAGGGACATGCTGTGAATACGGATGTCGGCATCTCTACGGGAGCAAACACGCTCAAGAACGAGGCTAAATCGAGAAAGACGAAGAAGGGCGACAAGCAGACCCCAGTTGACGAGTCGAAACAGCTCAAGGAGATTAACCCCAGCGTAAAGCTAGGAGGCTATCTCAACCTAATGTGAGCTATCCAAATACTCTCTACTAGAACATTAATCAATACTAACCTTCCTCCCAGCGCCGACTTCACCCACAACATCACCGACGGCCTCGCCATGTCCGCCAGCTTCTACGCCTCCCCCACCATTGGCGCGACCACCACCGTCGCCGTCTTCTTCCACGAGATCCCCCACGAGGTCGGCGACTTTGCGCTCCTCGTCCAGTCCGGCTTCTCCAAGCGCGCCGCCATGGCCTCCCAGTTCGTCACCGCCATCGGCGCCTTCATGGGCACCCTCATCGGCATCGCCGTCCAGGAGTTTGGTTCTGGTGCTGGCGGGGATGGCGAGAGCATGGCGAGGAATGCGGGTTTGTGGGGGACGAGCCTTGTAAGTTGCCCCTTTTTATCATTTTTTCTCTCTACGAGAATTAGATATATATTTTTTGAGGTTGGCTCTTGTATTAATGTGTGTGTGTGTTTTGTTAGACATGGGGCGACATGCTGCTGCCCTTTACTGCTGGAACCTTTTTATACGTCGGCACCGTCGCCGTCATCCCGGAACTCCTAGAGACTGGCCCCAACAAGATGCTGGAACTACGCAAGACGCTGACCCAATTCACAGCCGTTGCTGTCGGCGCGGGCATCATGCTGTACATTTCATGGCACGAGTAAAGAAATCTACACTAGAGGGGGCATATATAGAATAGACAGACACACTAGATATGTCAAGCCGAAATGGCTTATCACCATTTAGACCCATGACGATATCAAACAAGATCCTGACTCTGTTCTAATATATCGTGTACGATAGGAATACTCGAAATGGCGTCAACTTGTAAGGAATCGGGCTCAATAACTGTGCATCATATCCTATTCATCAAATGTAATGAAAAATACAAACTACTCATAACCAATGTTTAAGTCATTCCTCCTCCTAACCCGGTATACCATCCGACAATGAAACAGTCCACCATTCCATCTATACTAATAGCCTCATACCCATCCCATCAGCGAAGAAGAAGAAAAGAAAGAGCAAAACGTCGGTATCTTGAAGAAGAAAAGAAAAGCAAAACAATGAATATGATAAGCAATCCTCAACAGCAGTCCCTCCATCTCTCCCGTATGCCATGCAAAGCAGCCAGCCTTCATTCAAACTCCACAAGTCTCTTTTCAATAGACATGGTAACTTTGTTTTTAGGTATGCTTCTTTGTTGTTTTTTTCCGAGTTGAGTTTATTATTTTGAGCTTTTGGTGGTATCATTTGGTATCATTTCTTTCATGCGAGCATCTCTTAATCCTGGAAAAACTTGATGACCTGCTGCAAATCTCTCAAGCCGACGCCGTGCTTGGGGTAGCAAATGTAAACCTCTTCACCGAGGGCACCAAACTTGGATCGGAAACCAGCCTTTCTGCGCAGGCCAAGACTCTCGACAATGGAACGGTAGGTGGTGGCAAGGAACTTGGCCCGGATGCCGTGAAGGTGCTCGCCAGGAGTCAACTTCTCCGACACACCGACACCAAACGTCACCTGTCCGGTGACGCACGACAGCGCGTGCTCAATGAGGACCTCGATGGCGCCGTTGACAGCTCCGGGGAAGTCCAGAGCCCACTTGACCTGCCAGCCGTGGCGAGGCGACAGCTTGGCCAAGACAACCATGGCGTGCACCTTGCCGTCCTTCTCGGCGGCAAAGTAGCGGCGGTGCTCCGGGTCGACCCAGGGGCGCACCTCGGTCAAGTGCACCTGCTTGCCCTTGCGGTTGGCCTTCCAGGCCTCAATGGCCGGATCGGCGCGCGAGATAAAGTCCTCGTCGGGCTTGACTTCGTGAATCTTGACACCTTCGCGCTCGACTCTGCGGGCCTTGGGTCCGCCAGCCGGGCTCTGGTGTCTCGCGGTATCGACACGCTGCTCCTCGGTACAGGAGAGGGTTCGCCAGCCCATGTCGTGTGCCAGAATTCTCTGCACGTCGTACGATACAAGCATCCACATGGGGACAAGGCGGAGCTCAGTCACGACGTACTTGACAAACGACGAGATGACGTCCGTGTACTGCGACTTATCGCAGAGAGGATCGCCAGTGATCATGGCAAACTTCTCCTGCTTGACATATCCAATGGCGGCGCCAGACTTGTGTCTCCAAATCTCGAATCGCTCGTCGAGCCAAGAGGTGTTGGAAGCATCGCCATAGTTGGCAATGAGCTTCTCGACCGGGGGAGTATGGAGTGCGGCATACTGCTTGGTGGTGTCGGCCTCGGGGTGGGGCAGGCCGGGCTTGCGGTCGGGGAGGGACTTGGGGTCGCGGTAGAAGAGCGAGGCGTTTCGCACATCGCCGAGCTCGAGCATCCAGGTCACGATACGCTCGAGACCAAGACCGGCTCCAGCGTGGGGCGGCGCGCCGAGGTCGAAGCCGGCCAAGTACTCTTCCATGCCCTCTTCGGCAATGCCGGCGGCAGACATGTTGGCACGCAGCTCTCCGGCATCGTGGATACGCTGACCACCGGAACAAATCTCCTGGCCGCGGATGAAGATGTCAAAGGATCGGGTCCACCTGGGGTCTTCGGGGTCTTTGTGGGTATAGAAGGGGCGGGCGTTTGTGGGGAAGCGGTCTAGCACGTAGTAATCGGTGTTGTACTTCTCCCTAACAAGCTCACCCAGTCGGATCTCGTCAGAAGTGGAAAGATCCTCCTCGGGAGCCTCACGGCCGTCGTCTCGGAGCATCTGGAGACCGTCTCGGAAGTCGAGAATGAGCGTCTCGTCCAGGTACTTGAACTCGCTGCTGGGCCATCGCTGCTTGAGGACCTCGACCTCGGGCATGGCGTAGACGGCCTTGAAGACGTTCTTGAGGAACTCATCAAGCACCTGGATGACCTCGTGGTAGTCATGCTCAATAGCCATTTCAATGTCCAGACCGGTGTACTCGGTAAGATGGCGATGAGTGTTTGAGTTTTCGGCACGGAAAACAGGACCAATCTCATAGACACGACCAAAGTCGGCAGAGACAGACATTTGCTTGGCGAGCTGGGGGCTCTGGGCCAAGAAGGCCTTGCGACCAAAGTAGTTGACCTTGAAGACGGAGGCACCGCTCTCAGTGGCAGCAGGCTGGAGCTTGGGGGTGTTGATCTCTACAAAGCCATAGCCCTCGAGGGTGTCACGGAACTGGCGAGAGACCATGGATCGGATGCGGAACAGGGCCTGGTTAGCCGGGTGTCGCAGATCAAGAATACGCGATGACATGCGGTTGCGCATGGCCTCGGGGGGTCTGTAGACGCTGAAGGGGGCGCTCTGGGCCGGGTTCACAAGCCACAGGCCATGGATATCAACCTCGGCGTGGGAGACGGTGGCGGATCGGACAGGCTCGGGAGGCGCCTTGAGCACACCGTTGATTTGAAGCAGTGATTCAGCAGGAAGCTTCTGCACCCACTGGACCATTTCCATGTTTTCTCTAGAAAGGACACCCTGGATGGAGAAGGTCTGGTCGCGGAGGAGAAGGAAATCGAGGGCCTTGGAAAGCTGGCGCTGCGTGTGAATGCGGCCACGGAAGTTGACCTCGGTGCCGATGGGCAGCGAGTCCAGCTCGGCGATGGTGTTGAGCTCATACGGGTGCGTTGGCCAGTCAGAGCCGCTGCTGCGCACGCTGTCAAACGACGTGGTCGAGTTGTCCATGCTGGATCGTGGAGAGCCCTGGGCCGACCTACGACCGCCTCCCTCGTTCATCGACGCCAGAATCTGGCGCGTAGCCTCGCTGTGGACGGCTGGAGCAACGGGCGAGCTGGGGATGGACAGTGACGAAGCCACCGGGGTGGCAGAGGTGGGCGTGGCATTCATCATGTACTGATGGTAGCTGTTGCGGTTGGAGCTGGTGCCGCCATACGCCTTGGGGAGATGGTCGCGAGGCACGGAACGGTCAGGGCTTGCTCGTCTGCTGCTTCTCGTGCTGTTGGAGCGCAAGGGGAGGCCAAAAGCCGATAGGATGGGGGAGTTTCTCCCGCTGTCGGTGCCCGGCATGGTGATGTATAAATACGGATGAAGATGACGGGCTGGTGTCGAGCGTCTCTTGGACTGAGGGACTTGAGTTCCGTTGGTGACGGAAGTACTAATAAGACGTAGCCCCTGGGGTTATCGCTGCCAAAACCCGCGGAATCGGTGAATTGATTGGCTGCAGTGATGATTCGCAAGTTTTGCGCAAGGGACGAAGGAATTGCAAGTGTGGCAACGGGCAACTGAAGTGTGACTGGGTGGGCAGCAGTTCCAGTTCCGCTTGTGCTTGTTCGCCGTCCGGAGCTCGCGGGGTTGCTTGGCGGGGTCGCAATCAGTCAAAAATCAAACCAGCAGATGCTTGCAGCTGACTGGGGCTCTCTAATTGGTGCGGCGCTACGGTTCCCCTTCTGGAGTGATGATGTTATCGAAGCCCCTGCCCTGACAGCTTTTGCGTCGTTTTTTCGCCTTCGCTGTGATCGCTTCACGGGAATGACGTTGGACTGAATCACGACCGTCTTCGAGGCGACAGCTGTCAAGTGGTTGGTTGCTGGCAGATTTGATTTGATTCGCCCGCGGGAGCTATTTTTGGTTGTTCTGGGAATATTAACCGGTAGTTGATATCTCGAGGGAGGGGTGGCTAGCACCAAGAAGAGTAGAATAGTGGGAGCAGAAGCAAGTTGAAATTTGCCTTTATGCTTGGAAAATGGATCTGTTTCCTAATGCTCTGGGGTATTTCATGCGCGAGTCAACGGCAGGATGGAGAGATGGAAAGAGAGGAGGGGAGGCGACAATGGCTCTTACTGAGGCTGCTCAAGCCTTATATAATACAGCCAGCAACTTCAGAGGGGTGCAAGTGTCTCTGACCAGGGTGAGAAGACAGAAAAAAACTCGAATCCCTCGATACAGCTAAGCAATACCAAATCACAGACTCAGCAACGACCAGAACGCAAATGGCCGGGTGCCGAACCGAGCTACGAGGCCTCGACTTGCCCACTCCTCGGCAACGCTCGTGAAGCACTCACTCAGTCCAGTCTCTGCCCGTACAGTAACATGGAACCCAGATCTCCACCCTGCGACTTTAGACTCCGCCCGAACCCGACAGCCTATCCGCCTAGCACGTTGGACGCGGAATTATCAGTGTCATTGGGTGGCAGCTGAGAGGGGGGACCGTGTTAATTCGCTGTTGGAAGCCATTAGTTAGCCATTATCTAAGCGCAATGCAGCATGCAGGATTCTGGCGTCCATCCACAGTAAGGTTCCCAGGCCAGGATCCATGGATCTCGTCTTTTTTAGGCCCTGGTTGGCGCTGGCCTGGCCTGTGAAATTCTCCTCCGTTAGCTCGCGCTTTCGGCCGGCACTGCTGCTAGGCACTTTCTACCCCGGCGTCACACGACGGATTCAACGCTGTCTTTCTTAGGCGACAATCGGGCAGCCGCATTCAGCGCGCGGGCGACGGACTCTAGATAGGGCGCGAGAAGGGCAGAGTAGAAACCGGCCTGGGTCTGAAACCGCTTGCACATGATGAATAATAGTTTAGTAGTAGCAGGGAGGTATCAGCGCATATGCAGGTGAAATTCTACAGTCTTGCATGGTCCAATGATGTAATTGAGTCTTCTTTTACCTCTTCAGTCCTACAGTACGGAGTACCAACATGGGAATCAAGTAATCTACTACTAAGGTACCTGGTGATGGCAGCAATGGACCGCTCTCACGGGTACCTTTGCAGTGTGTACGCGTACCTGGGAAGACGCCGCGGCTGTGAATTGGATCGCTAGTGCTTGCAATTAGTGGTAGAGCGAGTGACATTTTGCAGAATTTTCTTCGGTTGCCGCCTAATACTCGTGCATACGGAGTACACACATACAGTACAGTACGAAGCACTCGCACACCAACTTGGAATGCTGACATGAGAGATTTGCGAGCTAGCCAACCACAGGCCAGTCAGAGGGCTCAGAACATCTACCGGGCGTTCTTGATCTCTGCGCTACCACTTGCGGCGCAACAGGAGAATCCTCTCAAGGGCTTGGCTATGCCTTATCAGGGCGTTGCTCTGCTACTACTGTACTGGGCAGATGCTGCTGGGACTGCAGGATTGCCGTGCTGTACAGCCGCCGAGGTCGGGCACCTTGGTATCGCGTGGGATGAATACTCGTACATTGATGTCAATATTCACGCATCCAATGTGTTACAGCATACGACATTCATTCAAACAACACACTCTGCTTGTTGTTTTCATTGTTTAGTAAAATGTTACTGTACCTTATGCAATGACGTCAAGCTCTGTAATTTGATAAGGCTCCCAAGGCCAAGACGGGACCAGAACAAAAAGCACATGGGAATCTGCATCGTTGCACGGCCCGGCATCGTGCGATCAGGTCGCCAAGCACTCTATCATATGAGCAGCGTCCAGGTCCAGGATCTTTGTCTGCAGCTCCCCCCAAACCCATCCGACGTCATGGCAGGTCTGTGCTCGCTTTCCAGCTTCTTCTACGGAGCCGCTGCCGGACCCATGCAAGAATTACGGAGTAGCCTCTCCGTTGCAGTTACAAGGGGTTGCTGCACTACGACTGCACGTAGCATCGATGCTGATGGCGTCTGTTGCCCAGCTTTCTAGAAGTTCGTATCTCGTACTTGGAAGACAACTAAAACAACTTACAATGGACTGTGGCCCAACAAAATCTGCCAACCCTGAACCAAATTGCCTCGTCCATCCTGTCATAGGTAGTCCAGCGCCAGATCACAACCACCAACATCCATCTCCTCTTCAGCCCATCCAAACCATTCAAATAGTGTCCCCCAAAGAAGCTTTTCGCCGATCCCATTGAACTCTGCTAGCGCCAGTCCCGACGCTGCCGAACCCGCTTCCGTCTCTCGTTGCAGCGTCTCCACGAAATAGATCAATCCATCCACCAGCTACGAGTATTAGTCCGTGGTTCCATTGGCATGGGCACTGCAACCATTGTTAGGGGTTCCATGCAAGCCATTTTCCTTTTTCTTCTTTTGACTCTACTCCGTAGTCCGTACTGTAAGTTAGGCTCTGTTGTTGAATCTCGCGTCTGGCCATCCTCACACACACCTTGGCAATACTGTATTAAGCCGTTAGATAACAACTTAGTAATAAGCCCTAGAGGGAGCCACTTGGACTCGTAGAAACAGGGCAAAATCGATACGGTACCTGGACTCCGCATTCCCCAAGGTATATCAACGACCTCGGGGTACCGATGACGCGTTATCCAGACTGTAGAAGAACAACCGCAACGTGGCAAAACACAGCACAGTCGGTTCATCATCGCCATCGCACTCAAGTATTCGCCTAGTACCTCATCTCATGTTGCCTCTTCCATCTAAGCCGTACCTTTTCCGTGCCTCGTCTCGTGCGCCACCCCTCATCTGATCAAAACTTTTTTTCCCCTCCTCCTTTCCATCTTTCCATCTCACTGGCTTCGCTCCACGCCCCTCTCTCCTCCATTCACCCCGCCAGTCTCATTCTCATCCCCAGCACAGCCAATCCGCGTTCCCCCAGCCTTTCCGCAAGTCTGGCTGTATAGCAACCCAAACTGTCCATTCTCTTGAAATAGAATCGAGGCGGATGACCCTGAGCGCGCCTCCCACATGGAGATCGTCCCGGAACACATCAGGAAACCGACAGTCCCGGAGCCGGATGACTATGTCAATCCCTTGGAGGCAAGTTCCCGCTGGACCCTGAATGCGCGTGCTCAGGCCATCCGTTATGCGTCCAGCCTCGGCTTCAGCATCGCCAACCGCACTGAGCCTGCGGCACCCACGCCGTCCACCGAGTTCTGGGTAGACTCGACGCTCGCCGAAGCCAAAGGCCCCAAGAAGATTCGTGTCGAGGTGTGGACGCCGCCGCGCCTGGCCATCGGGCCTCGTGCTGCCGTCGTGGCCCTCCATGGAGGTGGATGGATTCTCGGCCAGGGCACCGACAATGCGCGCTGGGCATGCGCCGTCATGACCTCGCTGGATGCCGTCGTCTTCACTGTCAATTATCGCCTGGCCCCCAATTACCCGTTCCCGACGCCCATTGAGGACTGCGTCGATGCCATCTTGGCGATTGCGAAACGTGCCGCGCAATTTGGCATCGACCCCAATCGTATGATCCTCTCGGGCTTCTCCGCTGGTGCCACTACGGCCCTCTCCAGCTGGCTCATTCTCAAAGAGCCGGCGCGCTGGAACTACACGCTGCCATTCGCCGTCCCTCGCATTACTGGTCTCGTGCTCTTCTACCCAGGTCTCGACTGGACAATCAACAGGGCAGACAAGAGGCTTAGTTGCGCCCGTCCCGATCTCACTCTGTCCAAAGGCCTGACAGACCTTATCGATGCCTCATATGTCTATCCTCCCATTCCTCGTCATGACCGCGCCGACCTAAGGCTCTCCCCGGGCCTGATGCCTGATGATCTCATGAAGAATTTGCCGCCCATCCACTTATGCTTATGCGAATATGACATGCTTCTCGCCGAGGGTCTCCGCTTCGCAGAAAGACTAAAGGCCCTGAAGAAGACGGTAACCGTCCGTGTCGTCGCAAAGGAAAAGCATGCATGGGACTGCCCCCCGCCAATGGTGCAAAAGGAGAGCGTCGAGGTCGAATATGGAGAGGCAACTCAGGCCATCGCCAATTGGCTGGGTCAGGAGCACGACACGGACAGGGAGTCGATGCGGTCCATGAAGACGAAGCGCCTGCGGATCCCCCGGCCTAGCTTCCTGGCCCTCAGGTCGAAATCAACAATAGGGCCTTTTTGAGTACGCTCCTTTGATTTCATTTTTCCTTGATTGGAAGCCTGTAGCGTTCCGGTTTTTTCCCTTTGTTTTCCTTTATTTTTCGCCATCGTCTCTGATTACCTCAGCCATTCCGTATGCTGGGTAGACAAGAATTAGTAGACAAGACAAGAACAAGAAATGCGTGCATGGGGCAAGGTTACACCCAGGAGAATGCTACTGTATTTAGCGAATGGTTATTTCTGGCGTTGGGGCATGCATAGAAGCGGCGAACTGGAGAAACCCGTGTTTATACGATATAAACGGGAAATGTCTGACAAGATATCAATGTTCAATTTTACTTTCATCTTATCTACAAAAGCTAAATATACTCGATTATCTTATGTCATCACTAGCCATTCTTTAATCAACTCAGAGTCTATAACCTTGATAATCATAAGCATTCCAAACAACCTTGAAGTAAAAAGAGAGATGGAGTAGGTTCAATTTCTCACGCCTCTCATCGCCCACCCCCCTCGTCACATCTCTTCCTCATGCAAGCTACCGGCGGTCACATCCGCGGCGTTAAGTATGAATAGCTATTGGATCAATACTTGACATGCCTTAGTCCTTTCACCTCCACTTCTATTCCACGGGAGCCGGAAGTCAAAGTGGATTTGGGTGATGCGGGTCAAGCACGTGGATCAAAGGTCCAATGCCGGGCGTGAGCCATGTGCCGGGATCGATTGGGTGCTTCTCTTGGCACGATCCGCCGGAAGGGCGCCCAACGACAAAATAACAGTCGTGAATATATGGAGTGTTGCTATTCGTTGCAGCACAGTATTGATATCGAGGGGGGTGGGATTTTCTGGTTTAGCAGCTACCGGCTCGGAAGGTTCGGATAGGCTATCGGGATCACGGGCCCATGAGCACGAGGTGGCTTGGAGAGAGATGTGTGATTTAGAGGTCAAGTTAAGAAGTTTTGGGGATTTTATGATTGGAATGCGGGTTAATTAGAGTGCTTACAAGGGGATGGCTTGAAGGGAAGATGTGCCGGAGGATGAAGGGGGGGTGTTGTTTAAATTGTTGATGGAGGGGGGTGGTTCTGGTGGTTTGGAGTTGTATGACTTTGAGATGCTTCACGTGGGGGGAGGGAAGATAGACAGACACATGATGCTGTTGAGGAGGTGTTGATGGCTGCATTTCGAGGACTGGCTTTGAAGAGGCGATGGGCGGGGTTTTTGCGACTTTACTGCAATAATTTGTTCATGACTGAATAATTTTTGTTTTATTTCTTCTGTTCCGTGGCGGTTTGTGTGTAAGTTCTTGGAAGAATAACAAGTATTAGCTTGAAATGCTGCATCGAGGCAATTGACCAACCAATTATTACCTCCGCTACATCTTTTATATTGAACATGTATCTACTAGCTTCAATGCAGAATTTTAGTCAAGATCAAAAATTTAATAATATTGTTCATATTGGCCGTCATATGATGCCATATCCACGCTTCTCGGTATCTGACTTTCTTGGGCTATCACCATTATGCAAGTAGAATTACTATCATTGTCGCATTCTACGGGATACGAATAGTGCTTGCCAATGAGTCTAAGTCTCTTTTACACTCAGATACTTGTGTAAAAGATAGATACGCTACTTGTTAGACATAGACTTACAGTTTCTCGGTCTATATCTATATAATACCGAGGCAGAGCTCGGCCAAAGCTGCACTATCATGACTCTTGTACGACAGAGCACCAATCCACTATCAGGTACTTGCTAGATCCATATCACAATAACAAATATAACAACACTCTTAGGCATCCAACAGTACCTCTTAATTGCATTATGTCAAAGGACACGCAGCTTTCAATTCATCTTCAAGACGCTAGTATATTTGACCCAAGTAATAATAAGATATACTCGCCTCATGTCGTTCCTTCGTAAAATTACTAATATGTACTAGAACGTGCTAACAAGGCCGCTTGAATATGCCAGCCAAATTTACCACTTAGCCTCCTTGCTCTCAACAAAGCCCTTCAGAATGCCAACAATCTTATCCAGAGCGGCCAGGTAGACCCTCAGGTCAGTGGAGACCTTGTCCTGGTCAGCTCCGAGCTTGGTATAGAAGTCGTTGCGGTAAGGGCAGGCGCTCATGGCGGCGCTGAAGACGGGCTTGATCAGGAAGCTGTGGTGAGGCTTGAGGGTCGAGCCATAGGCGTTTCGGAAGGAGTCGGCAAGCTCCTCGGAGGGGTTGGCGACGTTGGCGCTGAGGGCAAGGCAAGTAAACTCGAGACCACTGGTTCGGGAGTATATGGTTAGCGACACGACTGTTTATACAGAAGGACAAGGTTAGGTTACATACCGGACAAGCCACAGGAGGCCCTCGGTGGCAGTGTGCTTCTTGGTCTTGAGCTCGTTGCGGACGAGGTCCTGGATGTTCTCAGACTCGGCGGGAGCGGCGAGCTGACGCTCACGGAGTTTCTAAGTGAAGCCAAACACATCAGCTACTGAACATGCATCCAATTGACCAGCCACTCTCTGGATGGAGCTGGAGCTTGATACATACCTTGACGTTGCCAAGCATGTCGTTCTTGACAGGGGAGAAAGCAACAGAGCCCAGAACGTCTAGACGGGTGAAATGGTTAGACACAAAGCTCTTCCCGGTGCATTGGAGCATATGGACGCAGCAGCAACCTACCAAACATGGTGGTCAGGGACTCGGCAGCATCGAGGAACTGGGTGGTAGCAATGGCATTGCCCTTTTCGGCATCAATGGGCACGTCGACAAAGGACTGCTTGAAGGTGTGGACGATGGTGGCGCCCTCGGGGATGGCAAGAGCAGACATGATGAATTATTTTTGGTGTTTCTTTTCTGTTGGAATTGTTCTAGATTGTGTGCCAAAATAGGACAGAGACGAATTGAAGCTGGGGAGAGGAAGAGAGAAGTTGAAGTATCGGGTCGTAAGTCGGTGAATGCTCGACATTGTGCTTGGGAGCTGGTGGGGGCAAGAAGGCTCAGGTGGGGTTTTGGCCAGGTGTCTCAGGAGAATGCGAGAAAGGGGTCAAGGGTCAGGGAGATTTTATGGGGCGGTGCGGATGTATCTTTACGTGGCTGGGCCGGCGAAGAGGTACTTCCAACCTAAGTACGAGTACATGCAACCATTCGATTTACGAGGTTTGGCTGTTTGAATTCAATTCAGTGACCTGTCACAGTAGAGACGGTGAGGATTGAGGAGGCTGGGAATTGGTAATTGTATGCCCGATGTACAGAGTACTAACTGGTACCATGGTGTAAGCAATGCTGTTAAAGTGTTCTACTGTCAATGCTTGGATCAGATACATTGGCCACGATGGGTCGCCAATTGGAACACGTCCGTCCTGCTGCATGTGCAGTGCATGTACTCCGCATTTATCGAGGCATGGCATTGGTTTCACCAGATCGCTCTGGTGCTTGGAGGCTTACATAAGGCAGTTTGGCAGTACAGTACAGGCTCATAGCAAGGCCGCAGTGGATCTTCTTACGCGTCAGTTGAGCTCATGTGAATTATGATCAAAACCGGTACTCGTATATGTCACCACACAGTTCATCGCTTGTTTCGATGCGTTCTGTCCCTGGAATTGAATCCAGCGGTATAGAGATCGCCTGTTTTCTCCCTTTTCTCTTTTAATTATGTTCAAAGTTGGAAGATTTACGGTAAATCTCCTACCAATCTTGACTCCATCCACACGTGCCTTGCGCATGGCTTGAGGCATCTTGCTTCTATGCAGCTAGCTCAGATCTTCCGAGATTCAGCATTCAAAACAATGAGATCCATTCGCACACTCTAACCTTAGTATTCACATCCATTAGTTTAATACTAAATCAACAGCCGACACGAGGGGAACAAAACAATCGATTGCATTGATGGCTACGTCACCTTGTCCAGCTGCTTTTCTTTTAGGTAACCTCCAGGGTCCTTGATAGTCATGACGTCACTATTCCTCTGCCGCAATAAGGCAGCCCCTCCGACTCAATCAGCCTCTGAAACCTGCCAAACAATTTTATTCTGTGTCACACAACCAAAAAAAACTTGAATAGTTAGCCAAGGCCATATCAATGCAGCCAAATAGACGTAGCTGACAGAAATTGGCTTTGCATTAGCTGCCCATTTCACCAATCTGGAGCCACGAATCTCTGCTTTCATTCGATATCAGCCCCGTGGCGCCGCCAACATCTGCCTCCAGCTGCTCCCCCCCTCAAAGAAAGCTGTGCTACCCGATGATGTGCAGGGTTGGTTCAGCTAGCTCTCTTCGGGTCGATCCTTCGTCATGGTCTCATCTTGTCAAAGTCTGCTGAGCTTGGACCCCCGCTTCCTTGATGGCCTCGTCTTGGCATAGCTAGCATTCCAGCTATATAAACCTCCCGTATATTGTGCTTTATTAGAACCTCTTTATGTCGTCATGCCCTCGTGAAACCATTGAATTGATTTATGATCTTTTAATCGTTTATTTCAACAGTCAACCCCTCAAACCGTGACGTTCGTTTCCAACTCGTGTCCTTGCTACGAAGCCCCTACGGCCGAACCAGTAGATTTATTCCATCATTTTCAGCAATCGAGATGGCTGCCCCAAAGCCCGCGCAGCATAGTGGACATGGTTTCCATGGTTTCATGGACAGCTTAAAGGGCAAGCTTCATGATTCCAAGCTAAAAGACGCCAAAGTAGCCGTATCAAACAAGAAACATCAGATTGGAAAGTTTGGCAACCTGTTTAACAGGGACCACCGCCACGACGAGGCGCACGAGATTCGCTGCGATAACAAGAGGACCAAGATCTGTGCCTCTCACCGTTTCCAGTCATACTTTCCCGAGCGCGAAGGAAACCTTGTCAAGTGGTATGTGGACGGACGGGATTATTTCTGGGCGGTATCCGTCGCTTTGGAACAGGCCAAAGAAACCATCTACATTGAAGACTGGTGGCTCTCGCCAGAGCTCTTCCTGAGGCGGCCTCCACATCAGAAACAGGAATACAGGCTCGACCAGATTCTGAAACGAAAAGCGGAACAGGGAGTCAAGATCTATGTCATTGTTTACAAAGAGGTCGAGGCGGCGCTTACATGCAATTCCGAACACACCAAACATGCCCTGCAAGCTCTCTGCCCAGAAGGCACTCCAGGATACAACAACATCAATATTATGAGGCATCCAGATCACAATGTGCTCGAAAACGCAGCAGATATGACAATGTACTGGGCTCACCACGAAAAATTCATCGTCATCGACTATGCGATTGCTTTCATCGGCGGTCTCGATCTCTGCTTTGGGCGATGGGATGCTCACCATCACCCTCTGTCAGATATCCACCCAGATGAGGTGAAATCAGAGGTTTGGCCCGGTCAGGACTTCAACAACAATCGAGTCATGGACTTCAAAAAGGTCCAGGATTGGCAAGACAACGAACTCAGCAAGGCAGATTACGGCCGAATGCCTTGGCACGACGTCTCCATGGCTGTCATCGGCCCTTGCGTGTATGATATTGCCGAGCATTTCGTTTTGAGGTGGAACTTTGTCAAACGTGACAAGTACAAACGCGACGAGAGATTCGACTGGATTATACTAGAGGGCCGTGAAGGCGAGGATGAGGATTTGATCGGAGTACAACGGCCAAAGTATCCAAAGGGCGACTATCTCAGACACCCCCTGAATCCTCTGAGCACCAAGAATCTGCTCGGTCGAGGCACTGTTAATGCCCAGGTTGTCAGATCCAGCGCCGACTGGTCCAGCGGGATCCTGACAGATCGATCCATTCAAAACGCATATGCAGAGGTCATTGCTACCGCGGAACACTACGTCTATATTGAGAATCAATTCTTCATCACTGCTACCGGCGAGCACCAATCCCCAATCTGCAATACCATTGGCGCGGCCATTGTTGAGGCTGTGGTTCGAGCAGGAAAAGAAGGCCGGAAGTTCAGGGTCATTATTATCATCCCTGCCGTTCCAGGGTTTGCAGGCGATCTTCGAGACGATGCAGCCTCTGGCACAAGAGCCATCATGGATTACCAGTACAAATCAATATGTCGAGGAGAGCACTCCATCTTTGAGCAGGTTAAAGCTCAGGGGGTAGACCCAACCAAACACATCTTCTTCTTCAACTTGAGATCCTACGACCGCCTGAATAAGACTCCGGCCATTCATGAAGCGGAGCAGAAGACGGGTATCAAATACCAGAAAGTCCAGCGAGCTCTGGCTGAAGAGATCATGGGCGAGGGAATCCACGGGACGTCTGATCCGATAGAGAACGAAAGAGACAACCACATGGGTCAGGAAAACGAAAAAGAAAAAGGCCGCAACGAGGCACTGCAGGCAAAGGAGATCTTCGAAAAGGCCAAGCCCAAGGAAGAGGTCCAGACATCGATCTCTGTGGCGCACCACGCCATGGCCGACCAAGAACCTCTAGAAGACGAGCCGTGGGCAGACCCAGAGTCTGAAATCAAGAACTGGATCCAGGAGGAGCTCTATGTGCATGCCAAGCTGCTCATTGCCGACGACCGAATCGTGATTTGCGGCTCAAGCAACCTCAACGATCGCAGCCAGATGGGAAATCACGACAGCGAGCTGAGTATTGTCATGGAGGACACCAATATTGTCAGAACGACGATGGACGGAAGGCCGTTTGAAGCAGGATACCATGCGACGACCCTGCGACGATTCCTTTGGCGAGAGCATCTCGGTCTTCTCCCCCCACAGGACTTTGATGCCAAGGATGATATCAATGCACAACCCCCTAGTGTCGAGCCCGAGAATAACGTCTACGATAATGATGAGAGTTGGAAGTTTGTAGAGGATCCGCTGGGTGACGAGTTGTGGGATCTGTGGACAAGTCGAGCAGACAAGAACACGGAGCTCTTCCGCCACCTCTTTCACGCTGATCCAGACGACCACAGTAAGTTCACACTTCCCACATCTTTTTTAGGAGTAAGTAGCACAAGCTAACCACAAGGGCTAGTCAAAACATTCGACGATTACGATCGATATTTGCCGCCTAGGGGCGTCAAGTCGGGGCACATTTTCGACCAGTTCATGCCGCCCGAGGAGGCGAAGAAGAAGCTGGCGCAGATCAAGGGGCATCTGGTGTGGATGCCGATGGACTTTTTGAAGGATGCAGAGATGGCGGAGTGGGGGCTTCAGGTGAATTCGTGGACGGAGAGTGTGTATACTTGATTGTGCATATTTGAAGAGTTGTCTTTGTTTTCTTTTATTGTTATTGCTTAACAGTTAACAGGGACCTTGGTAGGGCCGTTACGAGGGAAGCATTTGAGGTATACCTAATGAGTAAAAGACTGGAGCTGTAATGAATGAATGGGTATTGATCATCCGTCCATCCCATTCATGAAATTTATGCACCGCGGCGCCTAAACCGTAGCTTCAGCCACAATCGATGCATCATTGACCAATGCTTGCGAATCTCGTGCATCTACCAGAAACTCCGTTGCCGAAGCGCGGCCGCATATTCGGTCGCATCAAGCAGGGGGGACAAGCGAACATAGCCCTACGCGAGAAACTCCTAAAGTAAGTAAAGTAGCAACAGAAGCCTTTTCCTGCCTCAGTTTGTGTCACAGCTTTTTTGTCACAGCTCGATGGGCGTGGAAAATAAGAGGACACGAGAATTTAGGATATAGTTAGCGGCTTGCGCTTGTGAACTGGAAGCGCCGCGGTGGTGGCCAATGGTAGGGGCGAGATGGTCAATCACACGCATAAGCTTGGGTGACATGAGGGTTCCATGATATGGGTGATGGAAGGGAAAGGAAAGGAAAGGGCCGGTTGTTGACTCAGAGGGTGATTTCGCTTCCCCCTCTTTTGTACCTTGCCTTTTGGTGAGTGGTTGTTTATGGCAGGAGGTGAGAGTTGGCGAAGGCGTTTGTGTGATGAGGATGGGGTTGAGTCGGTGAAGGTTGAGGGGAGACGGTGAAAGTTGAAGCTGGAGAATAAGAAGCTGAGTAGAGCAGTACTGGGCAGATATTGGTTGGCGTCTTTGAGAGACATGGTCAAAACATTGGCAAAGAGGAAGAAGTAGAAGAAGAAGCAAAAGTATAGCGCATCCTCTGGCGCTATTGCTGGATTAGCTGTTGCCATCGTCGAGTCTACGATCTTCATAGTTGAGGCTATACTCGTACATCCTTGTCCCTGAACCCTTGTTTCTTTGATGCCCAAGTTTCGTCGGCAGGATTTGACAGCGGCAACTCATTCAGACCCGTCAAATCCAGTTACAGAGTGCATCCAACAACATGCTCATCCATCCATATCTATATATCTATATATAAGTATTATGCTTCTTTTTCTGTTTCAGCCTCTCCATCCCGTGCATGTCGGCCCGTCGATGTGGTGTCTTCAGCAACCTGCAAGAAATGCTTGATTCATGCTGGTCCAGGGGCCCCCCGCCAGCCACCAGCCGCTGTAGCGCCCCGCAGTGGCTCTGGTTACAGCGGTCTAGCAGTACCTAACAGTACCTAACAGGCGCCGAGCCCCACGTTGGTTGCCCAAACCCAATCCAGCGGCTATTCCTGAGCCGTCAATGGCATCACCAGAGCAGCCCGGCAAATCACCAGTCGTCCATGCCAAAAGCCCTGGTATGTTGCTTTAAGCTTTTTTATCCTTTCTTCTTCTTTCGCAACCTTGATTTTAATTTTGTCTACCGTGAATCAAGCAATTACACGCATCTTCATCGACTCAACTCGATCCGATTACTGTTCTCTGGTCTCTGTCGTTGTCGTAGCTTGTCAAGTAGAGAGACCCCGCTTCAGAAGCCAAAAACAACGACCACGAGATACAAAGGCAGAGGTGTCACCAAGCTTAGGTAGCAGCTACGAACTAATCTTACGTTGCCTCCACAACACACACAGCTCGAGACACGCAAGGCTACTACGCAAGCCTCTTCGCCTTCGACATCGAGCTCGATCCTTGGACTTCGACCCAGCTGGGCATACAAACGGCACCGCTGCTTACAGCTCCCACTCGTTCGTTTCTCTCCGCCACTTGTGCCGCTACTCGTACTCCTCTCCCCATCTTGCCAGCAACCAGCATCTCGATATCCCTCTCGTCAAGCTTTGTCATCGCACCGCACTGCTGCATCCCGCTGGCCGTCTCTGTTCTCCGCGCCGCCGACGCGCATGCGACCTGCTGGCCGTCTCAGCCTTGGCCATTGAGTCTCCCGCCAGTGGCACAAGATGACGCAGTCCCCCATGATAGCCGCGCCGCCCAAGGCCACCAACGAGATCGACTGGGTCACGCCCTTGAAGTCCTACATCCGCGACACCTACGGCGATGACCCCGAACGATATGCCGAGGAGTGCGCGACGCTCAACCGCCTGAGGCAGGACATGCGAGGTGCGGGCAAGGAGAGCATCACCGGGAGGGACATGCTCTACCGGTACTATGGACAGCTGGAGCTGCTGGACCTACGCTTTCCCGTGGATGAGCAGCACATTAAGATCTCCTTCACATGGTGAGCCACCATGCTACAAACATATTCGATATACGTCATCGGTCTGAGAGATTCTATGCTAATAACAATTCTGCTCAACAGGTTCGACGCATTCACCCACAAGCCTACGACGCAGTACTCGCTCGCATTCGAAAAGGCGTCCGTCATCTTCAACATCTCAGCTGTTCTTTCCGGCCACGCTGCCATACAGAACCGAGAAGACGATTCCGCACTTAAAGTTGCCTATCACTCGTTTCAAGCGTCGGCCGGCATGTTTACATATATAAACGAAAACTTTCTGCATGCTCCTTCATTCGACCTGAGCCGAGAGACTGTCAAGACGTTGATCCATCTCATGCTTGCCCAGGCGCAGGAGATCTTTTTGGAGAAGCAGGTCAAGGACCAGAAAAAGGCCGGCTTGCTGGCTAAGTTGGCATCGCAGGCTGGATATCTCTATGGGCAGGCCGTTGAGGGTGTGCAGGAAAATGTCACAAAGGCCATATTCGAGAAGGTCTGGCTAGCAATGGTCCAGGTAAGCTGCACAATTGCCAGGGAGAATAGTTACCCTGCATTCCGCATTATTCTCTGAGTCGAGTATGCAACGAGATGGCTAATCTAGAGACGAAACCACATAATTACAGATCAAAGCCAATCTTCTCAACTCCATAGCGCAGTACTATCAGGCAATGGCAGACGATGAGGGTGGCCAACATGGCGTGGCGCTATCACGACTCCAGGTCGCCGACGCCCTGGCCAAGGAAGCTGACCGATTAGCGAAGAGCTTCCCCAGCACTGTTCCGTCCAATGCCAATCTCGGTGCCGACTGCAGTACTCATCTACAAGAAATCACGAAGCGACAGTGCTCCGCGGTGCAGGAGCGGCTACGAGAGGCTGTCAAGGACAACGATTACATCTACCACCAGACAGTTCCCCCGGAAGCGAGCCTGCCCCAGATTGCCAAGCTACCCGCCGCGAAGCCAATTCCCGTATCTGAGCTCTACGCAGGCCAGGACATCCAGCGCATCACCGGACACGATCTATTCTCCAAGATTGTACCCATGGCGGTGACTGAATCCGCGAGCTTATACGATGAGGAAAAGGCGAAGCTGGTGCGGGCCGAGACGGAAAAGGTGGACACAGCAAATGGCGAAATGGCAGCCAGTCTGGATTATCTACGACTTCCGGGGGCGTTACAAGTGTTGAAGGGCGGCTTCGATCAGGACATTCTTCCCGATGAAGACTTCCGGCAGTGGTGTGAAGACGTCGCCAATCACGAAAACCCCGTGAGCATCTTTGACTTTTTGCGGAGCGAGAAGGAGTCTATAGTGTCTACTCTGGACAAGAGCTCCAAGCAGCTGGATATGGAGGAGAGCGTGTGCGAAAAGATGCGATCCAAGTATGAAAATGATTGGAGCCAGCAGCCCAGCGCACGCCTCACGACGACGTTGCGGGGAGATATTCGCAATTACCGAGAGGCTCTGGAGGAGGCTAGCAGGAGCGACGGCCAGCTGGCGGCGAAGCTACGCCAGAACGAAGCCTGGTTCGATGAAATGCGAGACGCCGTCGCAAATGGGCAAGTTGACCAACTCTTCTCAAAGGCGGTTTCTCAGGCCAAGGGAAGGGGTAGCAACGCCGTCAGCCCATCCGGAAACGAGCCGAACCTGCTCGATGCTGACTTTGACGAATCTGGGCCGTCGGTCGTGGAGCAGATTGCAAGGGTCGAGGATATTCTCAAGAAACTCAATCTCATCAAGAGAGAAAGGAACCAGGTACTCAAGGATCTTAAGGAGAAGGTAAGAAGATTGTCTCACAATACCGCCAATGTTGTTTGGAGACAATAGACTGATGACAAACGAAAACAGATCCACACCGACGACATTTCACAAGTCCTTATCCTTAACAAAAAGACAATAGCAAACTATGAGCAGCAGCTCTTCAAGCAGGAATTGGAAAAGTTCAGGCCGCATCAGAATCGTTTGCTCCAGGCCAACCACAAACAGTCGGCGTTGATGAAGGAACTCACCGCCACATTCAACACTTTATTGCAAGATAAGCGCGTGAGGGCCGAGCAGAGCAAGTATGAATCTATCCAGCGACAGCGGCTATCGGCAATTGGCAAGTATAAGCGTGCCTATCAGGAATTCTTGGATCTGGAAGCTGGCTTGCAGAGCGCAAAGAATTGGTATTCGGAGATGAGGGAGACGGTGGAGAGCCTTGAGAAGAACGTGGACACTTTTGTAAACAACCGGAGGTCAGAGGGTGCACAACTACTCAACCAAATCGAACAAGAGCGAGCATCGAACAAGACGCAACAGGCAGAGCTGGAGCGAGAGCGGCTACGAGGCCTCATGGAGCGCATGTCGATGGAACCTGGGCAGCCAGCGGCACCACCCAAGCTTCCCTCGCAGAGGCCAACACCTGCACCTCTGATGCAGAAACAAAACTCGGCCTCTCGGTATGGGCAGGGTAGCAGCAGCAATAGCTATCAGGGGCAGTTCCAGATGCCTACATCGCCGCCACCAAACCAGCAGAACTTTCCTGGTTACGCCAGCCCTCCTCCCCAAAGCACATTTTCTCAGCCTGTATATAACCCGAGCACATACGGCAGAAACCCTGGCCCGACATCACCGCCTCCGACCCAGACCTCTTTTAGTATGAATGTCATGAGAGGCCCTCAATCACCGCCGCCAACACAGACATCTTTCGGACAGCACCAGGCTTACAACACATATGGAGCGTTGCCTGCGCAACATCAGCAGCCACTGCAGCAGCAACAGCCCCCTCAAGGATATGTGCCTCCTGGCTTCGTCCCACCACCTCCTCCCCCGGGCCCTCCTCCGCTGGGGCCTCAGCAAACTATCCATTTCGGACAACAGGACTATGATCCCAACCAGAGCGCACAGCCTCGGTCAGCTCAAGCACAGCAGACACATGATCCATGGGCAGGACTGAACGCATGGAAATAACGAACAGCGGTGCTATTGATAGGGTTATTCGCGCAGTGAATACCGTGGCAGTTGGTTGGATGATAATGTGAATAGCTGGTTTAAAAAACACGCAGAAGAAACAGGGGCAGTTTGAAGGATAATGTCATACTGCAGGATGGAAACTGATTGGGGGAAGAGGGTGTAAAAGAGACGGGCAAAGGGATAGAAGTATGTATGCTGATGGCATCAATAATATGTTTCTCTCTTTTCATTCTCTGTTCTTGGGTATAGATGGCAGCAATGTATTGCGAGAAATTCCAAACGGGCTGGGCCAGTCGTCTTTTACTTAAACTCTAGTACTAATAGCTTGGCTGTTCTTGTAATACACCTAGCTCATCTTCGTGTATGAGCATGCATAAAATAGTAGCTTATCTTGACGTTGCCCTTCACAGGCAGTAGTTGGCCAGAGACTGGGCAATTGGGGCAGTAAACAATGTGCTTTATTCCCATCCATACAGGTAGTTTAAATGGAGCAGCCCGAAAACCGGACAAGAAGAATTGTGAAGCTTGGACCCGAAGTTGGAGAAAACTGCGGAGTAGCCAAGCGTAGACCGAAACTACTGTTGCTACCGTACTTGACTCTCCCCGCAAAAACTCGGTCCCCCGGAATATTAATAGCCGGTGGGAGGCGTCTAATTCGACCGCTAAAGGGGAGCCATAACAGCAGAATAGTGTCTGGTTCGCTTGGCTTTTGGGGGGCGGGCAAGGGGTTTGGCATCCGCTTTTATGGGTAGTTGTGGGTGCTGACGAGTAATTGATCTCTTTTGGAGGCTGGACGATGGCTGAGATGGACGGTGGAGGATAATTATTGAACAGGCTGCTATATGAGTGAGTGGTTTATGGTGATTAATCTGTTGATTAAGTCTCGATTTAATGGAAATACCCGTCGGGAGAAGAGCCGAAATTGATGCTGTACCGCTCGGTATCTGGGGTATTAGGCTTCATGTTAGTGAGCGAAGCCCTGAAGAGTCAGCCGCTGGACCTTCATGTTAGCGGAGCAATGGAAGCCACCCCCGCAAGCAGCGAGTCGCTATGTGGCTATATTATTAGCCGACGGCCAATGATGTATCTCCAAATAAAATCGGCCTCCAGGCTATCTATCTAGCCCATATATCTTGCGACGACAACCGATAGGCGACGCGCGAGGACTGACTTTCTCCCTTCTTCATTCTTCATCTTGACTATCATTTGACGGGACTTCAATTGCATTTTTGAAAACGGACGGATCTGGCGATTGGATAGTTTTCAATTGGCGTGCTTGCTTTTTCTTTTTTGGGGGATTCCCGTTAATACCGACCGGCTTTAGGACGTCATCGGCATCTTCGCTCGTCAGCAGAAACAAGAGTTTGTTCGATTAAAAGGGCAAACAGTGAGAAGATGGTGCTCACGGGAAGCGACGTCGCGAAGCACAATGACGAAAAGTCATGTTGGGTGATTATTCATGTGAGCCGCTTACTCCAATGCTGGTCAAGATGAGATGGACGGACGGACGAATGAATGGAGCTAGTGAACTAACTCTAACTAACTTGATCTCTCTCTCATTAGGGCAAAGCATACGATGTCACAGAGTTCTTACCAGGTATTTCAGGAAACAATCTCGGATGAAGCATCCGTTTATCCAACTCTTGCTGACGTGGAATCTCAAAATCAGAACACCCTGGAGGCGAAGAAATCATTCTCAAATATGCCGTATGCATCACACGCACACTTACTTTTGCACCCCCTCTTGTCATTGGCCCTACTTTACTGACATCAACATCCAGGGCAAAGATGCGACAGAAGAGTTTGACCCGATTCACCCCCGGGACACTCTCGACAAGTATCTCGACAAGTCTCTGCACCTAGGGCCCGTGGACATGTCCACCGTTGCCCAAGAGGCCAAGCGAGAGGACCCCGAGGAGGTTGAGCGGCAGAAGAGGATAGCGGAGATGCCGCTGCTGTCGGAATGCTTCAACCTACACGACTTTGAGGCCATTGCGCGGAGGACCATGAAGAAGGGCGCGTGGGGATACTATTCCAGCGCAGCCGACGATGAGATTGTACGTTCTTCTTCTTCTTCCCGCTCTCATCTCTAGTCAAGCTAATCCATTCCCCTTTCTCCCCCCTTTAGACCCTGCGTGAGAACCACAGCGCCTACCACAGAATCTGGTTCCGCCCCCAGATCCTCGTCGACGTCGCCAACATCAACCTCTCCACCACCATGCTCGGCACCAAAGTCGACGCCCCCTTCTACGTGACCGCCACGGCGCTGGGCAAGCTCGGCCACCCAGAGGGCGAGGTCCTGCTCACCCGCGCCGCCCGCAGCCACAACGTCATCCAGATGATCCCCACGCTCGCCTCGTGCTCCTTTGACGAGCTCGTCGACGCCCGGCAGGGCGACCAGGTCCAGTGGCTGCAGCTCTACGTCAACAAGGACCGCGACATCACCAAGCGCATCGTCCAGAACGCCGAGCGCCGCGGCTGCAAGGGCCTCTTCATCACCGTCGATGCGCCGCAGCTGGGGCGTCGCGAGAAGGACATGCGTCTCAAGTTTACCGATTCTGGTAGTAACGTGCAAAAGGGCACCAAGACGGACAACACTCAGGGTGCCGCGCGCGCCATCTCGTCCTTCATCGACCCTTCCCTGAGCTGGGCCGACATCCCCTGGTTCCAGAGCATCACCAAGATGCCCATCATCCTCAAGGGCGTCCAGCGCGTCGAGGACGTTCTCCGCGCCGTCGAGGCCGGCGTCCAGGGTGTCGTGCTGTCCAACCACGGCGGTCGCCAGCTCGACTTTGCGCGCTCCGGCATTGAGATTCTCGCCGAGACGATGCCTGTCCTGCGCCAGCACGGCCTGGACAAGAAGATTGACGTCTTTGTCGATGGCGGCGTGAGGCGCGGCACGGACATCATCAAGGCAATGTGTCTGGGCGCAAAGGGTGTTGGTATCGGACGACCGTTCTTGTACGCTATGAGCACGTACGGACAGGCTGGCGTGGAGCGCGTGATGCAGCTGCTCAAGGACGAGATGGAGATGAACATGCGGTTAATCGGGTGTGCCAAGATTGAGGACTTGCACCCTGGGTTGTTGGATACGAGGGGCCTGTTTGTGCATAGCAACTCGACGCCGGTGGATTCGCTGTCACATATTACGTACGATCCCCTGGTTGTTCCCAGCCAGAGACTCAAAGCGAAGCTGTAAAGTATAGGTATTCAGGGAGGGAAGATGTTTGGATACATAATCGTAGAGTCGGAGACAAGGAGCGAGACGGTGTATGATATAAACGAGCAAATATATTCCATAAACACAAGTCTAATCTATTTGATTCAAAGCTCTCCGCATTAATTAGCACTTGGTATGTTCCTCATCACATGAAAAATGTCCAATATCATAAAAAACTCCATCCATCTACAGTATCTCTCCCCTATCTCAAATCACAAACCGCTCAAAAACTCTCTCAGCGTCATCGGCTTCCTCACCGCATTATTCAACCCTTCATGAAACGTCACCCACACCTTCTCCTGGCCCGCCGCCTTCTTCTCCGCCAACCCACCCGTCACCTCCGCCAGCGGCTGCGCCTGAATGATGCGTCCAAAGAAGTCCTTCTTCACCACCAACCCGTCCTCCACCACCGCCGAATCATTCTTCTGGCTCTGAGTTAACTGAGTGAGCGGTTGCTGCAGGTCGCCTTCGCCGGTGGTGCGTCCGGCTTGAAAGCGTGCTTGGCGTGCCTGTGTCTCGCGGAGGGCGAGAGTGCGACGGAGTTCTTGGTCGAGGACCTGGCGAACGGCGAAGCGGGTTGGGGGCTGGGATGTTAAGAGAGAGGCTGTTTCATAGGTGGCGAGGGAATCAATGTCACTATAAATAGGGCTGTTAGATCGTCCACTGATATACACAGGCTTGGTGGGATACTGGAATAGGGGCTAAACTTACGGTTCCATGCGGTAGACAAACTGCGGGCCGCGACTAGACACGACTTCGCTCTCAATCTTGCCTTTATGCAAGGCAATGCCCACCTCGGCGAGCACTTCTGACGCACGCTTGACCATTGCTCGCTCGCTCTCCTTGCGCACACTTGCCGTGGTGCCCTGGCTGCCGCCGACGACGACAGGCTTCACATCGGGTGACAGCATGCGGGCCAGGTAGGGCATGAATTCCGTCGACACGTCCTCTGCGCTGCGGAAGAGTCGCATCATGGTTGGGCTGAGCTGGGCTTGGAGTGCCTGCAGCTGCGCACGAGTTTGCTTCTCTGCTTCAAAGGCCTGGTAGTCGGCGCGCGGGCCGGAAAAGGGAATCGTAGGGCCGGCTTCTTCTTCTCCCGGAACGCCAGATCGCTGGTTGTGGTTTGATCCCATGCCGTTGGCATAATGTCGAATGGGTGACGCAAATAGATGATGACAGGCCAGGACAGGCTGCGCTAGGTAGGGTGCAAGCTCCCATTCCTGGCTGGCGTACAGCTTTGACTGACAGGCATCGTGAAAGTACAGCCAGTCATAGGCTTGGTTCGGCTTCGAGAGATAGGAATCGTCGTTGAACTCACGGTTTGGATACTCTGCGAATATCTCCGTTACAATGTGACTGATTTCACCGCTGGAATCAACCATCTGTCGAAGACACTCCATGGCATACTTCTTTTGATGTTCTCCAAATCCGAGTTCCGTTTTTGGCTGTTCGTGATGCGTCTTGGACTTGGCCAAATTGAGCGCTTGCTTGGGGAAGCCCCCGCCTTCTTGAAAGAGGCGAGAGATGATATCCTTGACGCTGCCTCGCCCAAGCCCTCGAGTGCCCGCCGAGCCGTTAGCAAGCTCCTGGAGGATGTTTCGTTCAATCCAGTCCCTGGTGAGGCGTTGGTCGTCATTCAGACTTGAGACCTTGAACCGGGAAGCTACCCATTCGCCCACGACCATGACACCTCGAAGATCACCTTGCACGGTACTTTCTTGTCCTCGCCTCGCGTCAATGCCGCTGGCCATACCCCACGCCGATTCACACAGTTTGC